CAATAAACATAATCATTATAATGCCTGGCAAGCGGGTTTTCTTGCCATTTCCCTTGTATTTGTATATATATGTTGTTTTTTTTTCATTTTTTGTGGACGCCACCAAATCGATTTCATACACCTTTATTCCGCACATACTGTCACTCACACACGTGTGCACATTAATAAATACGAAATTTATGGCTTTATGGTTTGCCCGAATATTATAATCGAGCAACAGTTGAGTCGGCCACGTATGAAAATCCTATTCCAACTTCAAATGAAAATATTTCGATAAATGAACAGAAAATTTCTGTTTGCAAAAAATAGGTGGGGAAATGCAAAAAATATTGCAGAGTCAGTATGACATTTTGATTGTGCAGAAAAATGGGAGGTTATGGGAGAGTTTTGTGGTTGTTTTCCCATAATTAAACTAGAAAAATATTTCACACAAAATCCGGGGAAACTAAAAGAACAATTATTTAGACCACTTCGCAATTAATGCATTGCCGAACAAATGCTATAAGCTGCTTAGGAAAAATCCTGTTTAAGTCCTCGGCAGTGGTACTTCCTGCAGAACCTCTTCAAACGGCACTAAAATTTTCTTAAATAAAATCAATAAGCTGCTTTCAAAACCGTATTCAAGGGCCTTAAATATTTTGCATTTGGCGAAAGCCTTCATCAACAGAAAATCTCCACTCGAAAGGGGAAATCGATTAAGGGCAAATGGTTGTTGTCAAAAAAAATGGTGTTCAAAAGGCCAGAAGTAAAGGATTTGAGAAGAAAGCGCAAGGCTAAATTTTTTCTGGTTTGGCGCCAGGAAACTCGGGTGATTCCTAATTAATTGGTATTAAAGTAATTGGTGGGCCACCGGCGCCGCAGAAGTACTAAATACATGCCGCCCATAAATACCCACTCTTCTACTGAGGCACTCTATCAATTCGTTGTCGGCCGTTGTCTATTTATTTTGTTATTAAATAATAAGACACAAATTAATGCAATTTGTTTACCCAACCGAACTCAAGGCAGGCGGTCTCTCTCAATTAACCCCCCAAGAAGAATTGCCGGGCAAAAAATAAAATAGAAGAGGACTACAAAAAATAACACAATAAGCTGAGAACCGAGAGAAGACAGAAAAACCTATTTCTGTTTTCTGATTAGTCATTGTCTGGACACGCGACAACCGAAAAGTAGAAAGCGAAAACGCATTAATTAAGCAGTTAAGGTCTTCCCAGATTACAATCGGCGTATAAAAAATGCCCAAGAAGAGAAGCTCATCTCAAAACGTGCCCAGCCCAGCTGGCGGCACCTCCAACATAGTGCCAGGTCTTCGGTCTTCGTAGCCTCCAAACCTTGCGATAGACGACTTCCAGGTCACACGATAACACTGTCGAAATCTCAAACCTCAAAATGCAAACAAAAACCTCAAATTTGACACTACATGATAAATGGTTTTCTGTTTTTTCAGCTGCCAGTTTTTATTGATGCCTCCGGCTACCTGACCAAACTGGATGCGATTGTTTTCAATTTGTTTTGGCTCCGCTTTTGTTTTCTGGCAGATTCAATTAATTGGCATTTTCTTAAATTATCCGATGAAGATGCCCAATCAAATACTCTTTAAGTATAATTGGATTTGTTTTCGGCTTCTCTAATAGAGTTTGATTGCTTTTTAAGAGCATCTCTTGCAAGTCTTTTCTGAGTTCACTAGTTTTAATGAAAGTTCATATTCTTTATTTGTTCAACTTTTAAAAAATAAAAAATGAGGCTGCAACCTACGGGTATAGGCTATATGTATTACATATATTCTTTATATTATATATACTTGAATACAAATAACACAGTCCTTTTCCTGACATGCAAAACTTATTTATAAAAATAACCTATAACTGTTTGCATATTTTATATATTATTTTACATATTTATATTTACTTTTTATTATTATTTTTAACAATATTTTTAAAATGTACATGTATATTAATCGCGTGCTAGTTTTGATGTCACAAATGTGAGCCTTACTCGCATTTCCTTGCTCGTAAGCCAAAGTAACTTAAGCACTTGGCTAAGAACGATCGTTTCCCAGACCACTCACAATTGACTTCTTTGGTGCTAACTTAATTGCGGCTCGACTCAAGTAACCCAATGACTAATAGGCCCCATTGAACTTGTAACCCGCGAAGCCCCCTCCTGCCACCAATCAAAGTCAGTTAAGTAAAGTCTTCGACATTTTGCCGGAGCAGCCAACTCGTCGCCTTCGCTCCATTGATTGATGGACTCGGCGGGTCTACTGGGTTCTTCATTCATGTCCCGAGTGTGGGTTACACATATTTTTAAGCTAATTACCCGGCGCCTACGACTCCCAATCTGAGTGGTATCACATATAGCCAATCCGCAAGCACTCACGTAAATTATTGGAAGGCGAAAAGAATTACTTGTCAAATACGTAAGTACAAACGAAACACTTGATAAGAACTCGAGATAACCAAATGATTTTGTCGACAAACAAAAACAAATAATTGGCTGAGGGCGAATCGAAATCGAGTTGAACAGTATAATCACTTGAAAACGTCAGTTATAAGACCACTCCGTCCAACTATAGAGCCCCGAAAACGATCCATCGTCTTTGAATCGCATTTCAAGTGTTGCCATTGACGTTTAATTGCCGCTTAACAAATTTATTCTCCTTACGCTTTTGTTTTCTTTTCGGCTTTTTCGACTTTGGCTCCATGAATAATGACAGTTGAAGCTTGAATTCATCTCATGAGTCTTTGGTTTTTTTGTGAACCTAGTCTGCGGGGAGGCTGAGGAAAGAGCCGAATCGAAACGGTAGACGATATGGAGAACGATTGTTGTTTGTTATTTTTCCGTGTGTTTTGTATTTTTATTTCAACTGTTTTTTGTTAGACTTCAACGCTTGCCGGTTGTATAGAAATTGGATGCCCTTGGGTGGCTTCCGCATTACGATGAAAGTGAATAGATAACAGAAGGCGAACAAAAGATAGTGGTCGAGTTTGGCTTCCTATTCAAATTTGGCTATTCTGTTTTGAGTCGAAATCTGATTAGAACTGCATATTAATTTGGCCACACAAAAATTGCTCTAATGCGATATTTTATAAATTATAGCAAACTAATTTAAACTGCAATGCATTTGGCCAGCTTTGCATCAATAAATAAGGTGAACAATATTCATATCTAAATAAAAGATGGCTTTAAAATTCAATACTTTTATTTAACGGGCAGAAACACGCTGCGCTTTTTTTGTTCTACAAATACAAAACTCAATACATTGGCTTCAATAAAGCATTTATTATTTATATCTAAAAGCCTTTTTTAACTGAAACGTTTGCTAATAGGTTAACTATAATTAAAACTTTCAAACGAGTTTAAATAAATCAAATAGCAAAAAACCATTAACCACAATTTAAATATTGACCAACTGTCACAGCGAGCTTAAATTAATTGAAATTGTGCAAGGCCCGCTGCTATTTTTAGGTTTTTAGACAGATTTAACTGTTTGCGTAGAGAATCCGTATCTGTGATCTTTAGGTTTGCTAACCTCTTTGGCTTAATCAGCTAAAAGTTTTTATCTCGAGCTTTATCCCCAACACACGCCTTCATGCCTAATGAATAAGCAACGAATTTTTTCCTGTTTTCATATAATGCTCCGATATACATATATAATATGTATGTATGTCTGATGGGGTCGTATTTCTGCATGGCAAAGCTATATCAATGGAGCCCCGACGAGACAACCTATCATGTTAGTAATCGCGGTTCTTTGTAACTGCTCGGATTCTATTTTTAGACGGCGCGAATTCAGAGAGAACAAAATTTATTGTTTATATAAAAGTTATCTTTAAATTATCATTAATTTATCGTGCATAATAAAATGTGCGGTTCTCCATGTCAGCATATTGCCCTGTCTCCGTGTCTCCGTCTCCATGTGCGAGTGGACTTGTGGTTGAGCGTCGCTAAATGGCGCGGGCTTACGAATATTATACGCTATCATACGAGAATGGGTCTGAGAAAACAAATGAACACAAACTGAACACAAAAATGTGTAAATTACTGTAACAGTTGCTAATAAACAAAAGTTAACAGAGGAAGGCGGCTGAAGGTTTTCCAGCTCGAGTGTAAAAAGAGAAGATTTCCACGTTGCTTCAGAAAAGTTCTATAAATAGAACCTACGACAACTTGGCTTAAGATAAAGCCTCTTGACATGCTATACTCTCAGAACCATGTAATTCCATTTAGCTGTTAATTGAGTTTGAAACAAGTTAGTTCCGCTGACTTTCTTGCCTCTCCCTCTTGTAATTTCCTAGGAACTATAAAAAAAGAAACATCGCTGAAACCATAAAGTAGCCAATGGCTTCGTATTTGCATATCGAGCCGAGTTTTTTAACTAAGTTGCCAAAACGCTTTTGGCTCTACGAAGCTGTGTGGAAAGCAGCAGAAATTCGAGCGAGTTTGGCCAGCCGCTGAATCAGACATTGACGTTGAAAATCGACAAATAAACGTTGAAACTTATATACCTACATGCGAACGCATACCCACGATATATAATCATGTGCGAGATGTTGTATAAGAAAGCCGAGTTGTGTTCATTGCACAAATTTTGCACATGTTCGGTTTTCATTTCTGATTCAATAAGCAATTAACACATTTTGAGTAAATTGCAAGCTGCGAATTTGCAAAATGCTGTACATCGTTAATACGTTTTATACACTGTTAAGGGATCGAGATTGAGATCAACTGTTTAGGAAAAGAGGATTTATGGAAAAGTTTTCTTAAATTAAAAAGTACAACCTTCTACAAAGGTACAGAGCATAAAGCATTTACTCTTTATATACAACTTTTCAAGCTTTTAATTTTTTTTTAAACTGTGTATGGTAAATCAGCGTATTTATCTGCATGTCAACAAACAAATATTTATTGTTGCGAGCCAAAAAAGCAGTTCAAATTTTTTTTAAAACCGGCCTTAACCGACCAATATTTTTTGAGCATTGAAAAAAATTAATACTCACGCGGGATTTATGTTGGATAGCCTGTAATACCGAGCCGCAATTGTTGGTTTAATATAAAGAACAGCGGCGAAAGTGTGATTATTGGACGATTGGTACTACTGTTGTTGTGAATTGACAATTACTACGAGGGATATATGTGGCTGGCGTATCAGGATAAACCATAAAGTCTGGCAATCAACTGCAGTTCCTTTTGTTAACGGGAACATAAATGTTTACATTGATCAGGAGCTGGAGCTGCAAGAATACCAAAACAATTTCATACATTTCCATAAATTACAAATTGATGAAAAGTGTGTATAAACACGAAGAGAATATGCGCCCCCGGTAATTTACATTCTGAATCTGATGGTCTGAAAAAACAGCAATTAACGAAAAGTCAAAGTTGTTGAACCGAATCAAGTTGACCAATTTACACATAAAACGCATATACATTTTAAATTAATTTCTTTTGGCAGAGATATTTTTATCGACTTTATCAATGAAATAATTTTTTTTTTGCACTAAAAAAGAGTATACTTTTTTTTAGATTTTATATACAACGTTTCCATTTTAAACAGAATTAAATTACAATGCAAATTAATATTGTAATTTTTCATTAATCCGGGATCAATGAACACGCAAAAATTTGCTTCCGCCGGAATGCAAAACTGTTTAACTTAATGGATTTTAGACCTTTTTTTTGCACAATCTATTGATATGCACACACTACAATATCGGTTCAATGCCAAAAGGCAGGCATTTAAACAGCTGTTGATGAGGTTTCGCATCCCCTTGCCTTAAGCTGCATTTCATTTTACAGTAGAATCCTGTTATAACGACTCCGCTTATAGTGTCCGTCCGAGTATTGCGACGAAAACTCGATGGCTTGATTGGTCCCCAGACAGACTTATACACTTAAATCCTTCTGCTTAGTGCGTCTTCCGGGTATAACGACGAAAAATCGTCGGTCCCTTGAAAGTCGCTATAAGCGGATTCTACTGTACTTTCATCCCTCAACTGGCGTTTTTCCGAAGCTCAAGCTGTTGCCCCAATGCCACCCAGGTGCAACCATTCAAGTAACGAAACCAAGTTGCAGAAGAAAGCCCTTTAATAATTATAAAAAAACGAAATAAAAATAAGACCCATTTCAAAAGTTACATTTAAAATGTTGTCTTGTTAATACCTATGTTTATTTTAAAGACGCTGTGCAAAAGTCCCTAACGATTCCAATTAAGTGACTGTTTGCCGTGGCAACAAATTAGCCTGAGTCAACATGGCGAAAAGCTAAATATATAAAAAGCAAGAGGTAAGTAAAAATTATTTTCCAGCTTTTCTCAGTAAAACGCCAACGCATCACCCCTGCAGGATTAAGCTCTAGAAAAATCATTGATGTTTAAGACTGCAACAGAAATTACCCCACTATAACCAAGCCACGTTTTAAGCTGAGTCTTAAGTAAGAATAAGTAAAACTATATCTTTGAAAGTGGTTGAAAGAAAGGAAAATGGTAAGTGGGTCGGAAAAGTGTTTCTTTAACTGAAAAGCAGACATAATTTCAGGCCCAACGTTCGGTCAAGTTATATGGAATAAAGAGGATGAAAACAGAAGGATAAAGGGAACGATGTAAATTAAGAGCATCAATATAACGAGAGGATTTCAATTAACCTACATGCCTTTATGCGGGATTCCAGCTTATTGTAAAAAAGTCTACATATTATGTTGCTCAATTTTCGTATAAGAAATCGAGAATACAACTTTATTGCTAAGTTTGTATATAACTCAACTGGAAAATCGGTCATAAGCAAACTTTTCCCATAATTTTCGTGCTTTCTTAAAAAGTTTGAAAGCAATTAAACTTCTGCACCTTTACTAAACTTTATTTATATTCTTAAACATTTAAAGCCGAATGATAAAACTGAAGTGTTAAATAATTTTCATCTTTAAACATTAAGCAAACCTCCACAAAAAGAACACAAAAATGTCAGAAAAAATATGCGGAAAATTCTTCTATCTCTCGCTATCGTCCACTGCAAATGCGACTCCTGGTGGCCACCGTGAAATAGCCTCTTTGACATTCACAATCAATTCATGTTAGCCAAACCTACACCACCTGCCCACAGCCACCGAACTGTGCCACATTGGACCACTGCGACATATAGGATGCTATAAAGCTCGGTGACAAATTGAGTTTAAGCTGGTGCTGGTGCTGGCCTTTTTTCGCGGACACCACACATGCAGCAAGGTGTAGTTGCAGATGGATGCAAATTAAGTCGGCGGGCGACGCAAAGTTAATTGCTTTCACACAGCGCCTACCCTGAAAAGTATGCTAAGCAAGCTTGTGCATTTGTTTTTTCTGGAAAACGGAAGGAGGGAGCTAAGTTATTAAAAAACTTTTGTGCCAGTATCCCATGTTTTCTTTTGCAAGTATTTACCGCCCCTTCGTACTTCATACTTTTTTACATCTAAATTAGTGGCGGGAGCAAATTCGCAGAGCTCATAAAAATAATAATAAATTTGCCTTCTCTCTCGTTTGTGGGAAATTGCAGAACAAACAGTTGTTAAAAGCTCCAAGAGTCGTAAATTTATGGCAAATGTTTGGGGAGGAGAGACTAGTGGTGGTGGTGGTCTAGTGGATATATGGGACCAGTGCTCCAAAGGTATGCATATTGACTCGCACATCGCAGTGCCCCGCACCTTGCCGATGGCGATTAATGCTAATAGAAGGAGCCCCGCCCAAAAATTAAGGCAAACAACCGCAGCAACAAAGACAAAAGGAAATGTGGGGGAGAAAACCCTTTGTGGACCTTCCACCGCCTGGCTGGCGTCGTTTTCTTCAATCCACTTCGCTTACTTATTTGTTTATTAAACAAAAACACTTAAATTGCGACCAAGGGCAAGCCCACATACTGAAAGCGACGAAGAAAAAGTCGCGAAGAAAGGCGGAAAAATCAGTCGGCAGGAAAAACTGGCCCTCAGGTAGGCGGACACTGATGAGGGCGAGAGTTCCCTGCATATTTTCATGGAAAATTGTTTCGCTTCTTGTCTCGCTGGCAACCGAAGACCGTAGGCAAATGGACAAGAGGGCGGTGAAAAATGCAACATATTTTCCAAATTGTTTGCTTTTGATGAAAAATAACTTTAAAGCGAGCGAGGGTCACTTTTGTTATATCAAAAACATACGTGAAAAATGGAAAAAAAAACATAAACTCTACCCTAAAAAGAGTTATACCATACTTCAAAACTTAACATTATTCAATTTACATTGTCTAAATAAATCCTGAGTCTATTCTATTGTATTCTATAAATACAACAATTATGTTAATAAGCATTGTTTAAAATTATTTATTGTAGAGGTTAAACTTTTATTTATTATTCGTTCTTGTTCTTGTAGTTAAAGGCTTTTTCTGATATTTAATTTTGTAACAAAAAAAGAAAGCTACTCAAAAAATTTATTTCTTAAATATTTATTTGTTTCTATGGTGTCGAAAAAAATATTAATAGAGCTTGTGATACGAAATGTAAATGCATTTATGTCTTTCTGCAATATCTGAATTTATTTACTACCATTGAATCTGAAACAGCTAAACCTGCCACCGCAAATTCGGTTATCTGTTGCTCTCGGCGTATTCAGGAACTTAATTTATGCATATAAGCGGCGGCTTGAAGTGAAATCCAAGGAAGTGGCAGAGGGCACTACAAGACAGGAACTGGCAATCGACACTTCCGGGGAAGGGGCAGGTGCTGGCAACGAGAGAAAACATTGCCTCCGGTCAAATCGACACCGTCTTGTGGCAGTGCCCAGAAACACCAACTTGGAAAGGGCCATTAATGCCAAGTTAAATCAACATAATTTAGTGCCGGGCCTTTGGGCCAAACATAAACAAATTCTGGGCAAAACGAAGTATACGACAAAAGCGCTGAAAGGCCCTAAACTGTTTCCTTTTTGGCCCGAGTTGCGATTCAGAAGACTACAATGTTGCCCAAATCGGCGAATAGATTAGCAACCTTGTTTTGGGTATATTACGATTATGTAAATTAAGTCTACTGAAAGTCAGGTTGGATGCGAAGTATTTGTGGATTTCCGGGAATCTTAACACTTAGGATATAGGATAAACAGTGCGTAATTGGGGGAAGCGTCAACAAAGACATTTTGCGGCTATTTATGAAAATTACATACCAAAATAATTTTGAGGTGATAATATAGTTAACGTAATATAGTTTTTTATCCTTTTGGTAACATTTTCTTTATTCACGTAAACATTTCATTCGTTTTACTGTGAATCTAAGTGGCTTAAAGTAGGGTGATCTTTATCTTAGTTAAAAATAAGAGATTTATTTCCTTACTGCAAAAATGTGAATAGGAAAATAAAGTCAAAAAGATGTGTGTTTATTACATGAGCTGTCCAGCAAAACATCTAGATTTTATCCTACTATTTTGCTTGAACTAACGCAAATGTCTCACTGCTAATTCCCGCATAATTGGGCGTAAATAAATAAACCAACAAACGAACAATTATATATAATTCCATCATGAAGCATTCTGGCACTAAGTCTACTGATTGTGTTTGAATGGTCTTTTGTCTGCGTCTCCTCTTTCAGTTGTCACATGTCATGTCTCACAGGAATAAAGTCCATGAAACAAAAGGCATCAGCAGAAAGGTTTTCTATTGGCCAAATTAAGTTACGCCCAACTTTTGGCAGCCCCCAGAAACACGTACACAATTAATTTTCCATCTTTCCTCATCACCAACTCTTTTTTGGGTACTATATTTAAGTCGCCGACTAACTTTAACATCATTTTAATTGCTTCCCATATGATGAATCAAAGTTGGATTACTTTGGTATTTGGACAAACATACATTTTTTTTATAATTATTTTTGTTTCCTAATTTTTTTCGTTGCTGTGAAAATAAATTTGACTTCTTGATTGAACCCTATTCAGTGGTCTTAAATGATGGCTTCAATATTGACATGGCACAAGTGTGCATAAACCTGTACATATACACACATATACACATACATGCACAAAAATCTGTTCATTGGTAGGAGGTAGTTGTCCCTGTGCTGAGTATTTCATATTGGGAAAATATTTAGCGCAGAAGGTTTTCCCTTTGATATTTTGTTAATTGGTGCAAAAACAAAGAGGGTTAAATGTGGTGTGGAATAAATTCGAATGATTAATGTTTGCTCGTATGGTGGTTTCCCCGCGTAAAATCAAATTTTTTCCAAGAGCATTAAAATCAATAAATCCTTCAAAGTTTTTTAATGTTATTATTGCCATTTTGCAAAGATTTGTGTTAGACTTTTTTTATAAATATAATCTGGTATAGCGTAAATCAATTGGAGTTAGGAATTTCGCTAAATTCGGCAGCGCACCATAGCATCTGGGCTTTTATCGATCTCCCCTGTTTTAGGCCCTCATCCGTGGGTGGTTTTTGGTGCGGGGTACATACATTAGCATGGTCGTACGAGTGAGTGGATTTCGAAGCGGACGATATAGTAGAATGGCAGAGCAAAGTGGTCGGGGTTCAAGAGGAGCTCGGGAAATGGTCGCCAGGCGACGGGCAATGCTGCGTTTTTGGGTTCGCCTATTTCACGCTCCGTCAAAACTGAAGGAGGAGGCTTATGCACTTCTCGGTCTCATTGACGTAATTCTCAATGAAATTGTTGTTGCGGCGATGACTGATTGTACTGCACTGGCTGTTAGCGGAATGCATTCAAGTCGACTAATGCGAGAAAAATATTAGACTCAGGCTTAAAGAGCAAAAACAAATTGTTTGCCAAACAATCCACGTTTTAAACTGTCCACCTACTAGTTGGAATACAAAATGAATTACAAACATGTAATTAGAAACAAAAAGTTTATTTACTAACAATACCATCAACTTAATTGTATGAATAAAATAATGTAGTGTCCATGATGTTCACTATTTTTAAGCATTAATTAATTATAAAAACTTTTAGGCCCTTCTCAGTTCGTAACATAATTTTACTAAGCTTAGTATGCGCCTCATTTAAAATAAACACATGCAAGTTTTTTTTTTACAAAACCATTGCAGAATTATGCAAATTGTATTCATTGTGTAATTATAATCCTAAGATATCCATCATCCTGCAGCCACCGAATCTTAAAACAATTAGCAAAATAGCAAGAAGGAAGCCCCCGCTTGGCAATTACGGAAAGGAGTCAAGGGATCAGAAACTATCTTCTGGAGAATTTGCATATATGCAAATCTAATTACTGGCACAAGGATATCGAGGACTCTCGACTAACTAACAGACAGCTGGCGTCTTCCTTTGTTGCTTTAGTTGATGAAGAGGAACTAAGCCAAGTCATTGGCATTGATAAAGCCATGGTCACCGGGTGTCTGCCATGTTATGTCTAATTTATGCAGTGCCAAAGACTTTCAAGTGTCAAATTATTTATAGTGGAATTTTTGCTACACATCTCGCGGTATTGTGTATAATTTTAATATGCAAACACAATATGTATGTTCACTCCCAATTGGCCAACACAATTATTAAAGAAACCACAATTTCGTGCTAAATTATTGCCCAAATAATCTTATTTTCTTTAAAATAAAAAAGCGGCCGGAATTTCTTATGTTAAATAACGTGGAATTTTTTATTATTCGCAGCGACAAACATTGATTCTGTGGAAATTTTTTTCTTAATAAATCTCTTATTTCTTCTGACACTGTTTGTTATTTTCAGATTTCTGTTTATTATTTTATCAACGCGCGAAAAACTTTTCAGGCTTGACAGCAAAGAAAATTGTGAGTGGAAAAAAAATGGCATGTTTCTTCTCTCCTGCTTGTTTGACATAAATTTATGGTTGAATCAAGTGACACTAATATTGGAATACTAGAAGGTGAGATCGATGCAACCAGAAGGTGAATGAAATAGTTCATAACTCTAAATTAAATGGTGTTTTTACCATTTATATAATGGTAACTTATAATAAGTTACATAATATTTTACATAATATAATTTGTCAACAACAATTCCGCTCGCCTTACTCTTTTAGTTTTATAAAAGACGAACATATTTCCACATTTCAAAAGTGTTATTTAGTATTTGGCCTCTAATTTGATTATAGGCGTGAAATTTCTTGTTGTCATTTCCAAATTATTTATTTATAATTGTTTTGTACCATAAATTTTTTATCACAATTACTTGCAAAAGAAATTAACTTATATTCTGCTATTTTGTTTTTATTGCGTTAGGAGTTTTAAACAACTCTTGCTATGGCAATTTTTAGCTGAAATTAGGTATTTCTGTTCGATTTCCTATAAACTCTTCTGATCTGCAGAAAGCAAAATCGTAGCTCACAAATCTACAAGACACACACCTGTACGCTATAAAAGCAGACATTCAAACCAAGAACAGAAGACTCAAATTGAATTAGCAGGATGCTAAATGATCACACGGTTGCTCTAAAAGAAAACAAGAAAAGTACAGAATTCACAAGCAAGAAGAAGAAAGTTAGATTTTTGTTGTTAGCGAAATTCGCAAAAAGATACAATGCTGCTGAATAGACTAGCCGAAAGAACACAGATACAGATACTCAGATAGCAGTGCACCTATGCCGCATATTATTTACACACAGACGAATAAAGATACAGCTAGAGATAGAGATAGATAGCGAGATAGAGCTGAAAAAGGTTAGGCGACAATTCGCTCCAAGTTCCAGCACTGACATTCTGCTGTAGTTGTTGGTTCTATTTTTAGCACATTAGATGATAAGATTGCGTCGTGGCCAAACCGCAAAACTTTTTGCGGTTTTGACACAGAAAAATATGCAAAAGAAAGGAAACAAAACCTTTATTGTTTTCAACAGAAACAGATCAGGACTTGTTTTAAGTTATACTATTAATTATAATTCGTAAATTTCGTAATTTTCATACATGTATATTATATTTTGTACATGTTTATAATAATAGATAATAGTTTTCATTTCAACTTTTAGCTCCAAGAACTGTTTCATTATGTCTGTTATGCTCCTGTGTTCCTCCCTATTATTCGCCTAATTCTATTTTCATATATTTGAGTTCCCAAGAAGTAAATTAACAGTAATTACAAACAATTTGTTGTTGCAAGGGATTCTATATTTAAACTAAAAGTTTTAGATGTTGTGAAAACAACAACAAGGGAAAGACTAAACAAATGCTGCCGAAATATTTCGGTTTGTTTGTTTTACTTTTTGCGGATGTGACGACGGCCTCAAGGGAAATTATGCTACTGCGTACACTTTAGAAAGCAATGGCTTCTAACAGAAATGCACACCAACCTAATTAAAAACCTTTAACTTTAAAATTTGTGGATATGTTAACAAAAACAGAAAACTAAATTTATAATCATCGCGTTTTTTAAACGAAATAAAAAAAAATATATTCGTTAATTAAAAAAAAATGAAATATTAACAATCCGCAGACAATAAATATGTTAGAATAAAAAGAATGGTCCATAACTTGAGGAAAAATAAATTAATAAATGGTCTCACGAAATTAAAGAATATATTAGTTTAAAAAAATATATAAAATTTTATGAATGTTACACAGATAATAAAAATTTTGGATAAAAAAAATAGCGTTTTTTATGTCCTGGTCTTATAATGGAGAAAACACACATATAGCTAAATTATAAAAACTAAATAAAATTTATAGTTTATAACGTAATTTCAATTGTCATAATATTCTTCATCTGTTACACAAAAATGATATATCGTTTAAACACAGTTAAATCCGAACGTTATCATGTTTTGTTCTAACTTCACTTTCAAGAACACCTGTTTAATCTGACTGGCTATTACCACGGCATTGGCTTTCGCTGGCGGTGGAGTCGAACATATTTATTACTTAATATTTTGCAAGCAACCATCGTGAAAATGGGAAGCATTTATTTTTTTGCGCAAATGTTGACATAGAACAGATACCCCGAAAATTGAATTCAAAGTTAAACGTATGAACATTTTGCGTTTTTGCCGGTTGCCAAAAATAATATTCTCTAAGGTCTCGAGGAAGCTGTCAATTACACCCGCCGCTCACATACTCGCATGCAAACAGCGAGCGCCTCATTATAAATACACAAATTTATTATTAGAACGCTTTCAGACACATCGAACATTTCAATTTCATTAGCAAACCTAGAATAATGTAAACATACCAAAAATACAAAATATGCAATCGAACATTTTATTTTTTAAAATTTTTCCACATCATAAAAATTTTACTCGACCAGAAAACGCAAATGAAATAGCCTGAGAGGGCTAGAAGGAGGTTGCTGAAAACTGTACAAGCAATGCCGGCAATTTAACCATCCCCAACCGACCCCTTACATAAGCTAGGAAAAGCCAACTTGTTGCGGTTCATTGCCGGCATTTCAGTGGCCAACTTTCATCGAACTTCTCCATGTGCTAAAGGGGGACGGATAGGAAACAGGAAAATGGAGAAGAGGAGCAAGGGTCCCACAGCAGAGTTAACCAAAGTATTTTGGTTTCATTGCACTGACTCCCCCATTGGCATCACATACGCATCTTTGCAATTATTTGAATTGGAAACAGCTCGATTTTCAGATAACCAAGAAGTATAGGTTTCGGTTTGAAAGAAACTGCCAGAAAGAGGGGGATAACTTCAGTAGAAAAGGATTTTTTGAATAATTTAAGCATTTAATTTAAATCACTCCTAGAAATTAATTCGGTAAATTGGTAAACATGCTAAAATTCTTGTTTTCAACCATAATTTTTTAAGGGTGTAGTCACCTTAAGCTTGGTTGTGATTAAGTAAGTTTTTAAATTAATTAGACCAACTTTTTTTTGATCCAAAACAGACATTTGTAGAACTCTTTCATCTTCTCAGACATACAAACACATGTAATTTTCTTATCGTGGAGTGCGGTTTTGTAGGATCTTAGTGGTGTTTTTGACAGAGATTAGGTTTACTTACATTGGTTGGCCTTGGCGTTTTGTCGTCAGCTTTGCCAGAGATCGCTTTACTCTTCTCTCTCTGCCTTTTTATCCGTTGTTTTCGTTTCGGATGCCTCCCACGTTGGCGCTCGGATTCACAGTTAGATAAACTTTTTGTTTTTCCGTTTTCTCGGCGCTTTCTTTTCTATTCTCCTGTTTTTTGCTGGGTTTTTGCACTGTGTTTATTTTTCTAATTGGCTTGCCTTTTGGTTGTTTTACGATTGTTCACTTTGTGCTTTTGTTGCTGGGTTAGCTATTTACTCGCCTTTGCTCTTCATATGGAAAATATTGCGGTTAATATAAATTTAAATTTTGCGTTGATATTGTTACACACAGAAAGAGATCGAGTGGGAGAGAGTGGAAATCTAACTAACACACTTGTGTTTTTAAATCGAAAAGAGAATGACTGCAGCGAAGAATCTGGAAGAACAATGGACTGACTGCCGATAGGTCAGCACAAAATCTTAAAATTATAAAAATGTATTTTGTTTTTCTCATTATATTTATAACAAAAATCCAAAAAGGAAAAAATCGCGCAAAGTTCGTAGTAGCAGTATTCCAGTTTCCAAAATTTCACTTTTTCTGTGGTATCAGCGAATTCCACGGACGAGATAAAGATGTACGCTGGAATCGCTTATCAGGGACACGAAACAAATCTGTTATCTTTGCACTGCTCTGCCTCACTCGCTTCAAAAACAATTATCACAAATTCCAGTTTTCGTTATTTTGTCGATTTTTTTCCCGCATTGTTGTAAACTTTATGGCTCTGCGCCTGCGAACACTCTTGTTAACACATTTGGCGGAATTTGTTTTTCATTCAATAATAATTATTAACACAAACCGCACAGAATATTATTCGAAATGCTATTCGGCTTTTTACTTTTTCACCTTTTTCGCACTCTTTGGGTTTTGTTTTTGCTCCAATCCAATCAGAAAAATATATATTAAACATACATACATATGCATAATATCGGTTTCTATGTAGTTGTGTGTGTTTGTGTGAGTGGGGCGCACGCGGCTTTGGCAATCCGAAAAAGCAACTTGGAGCGCAGGCGAATAGAATAATACTGAAAGCCCCAAACGAAAACCGAGCCAGCAACACCGCATGCTCCCAAATCTGTCACTTTGGCTTTTTTTCTAGCTTATAATATTCTTTTTAACCAGGGCCATCAAATTAACCAGCAATGTTATTCTCATACTATTTAAGTGCGTAACAAAGCGCATTATTATTTAAAAACTTAAGAGAATTTTCTGGTTCAAGGGAAACACAAAAATGTAAACGTAAATTTTAAAAATAACTATTCCCTATTATACTTTTTTTTAAAATTTTTTAACATGTTTGTAAAATAAAATACCGTACATTAAAAAACCTGCTATTTTCAATGTCTACCACCAGTTTTAAGGACAACCATCTTTACTTAATCATCATAAAAATAAAGCTGTCAAAGTAATCTTAAAAAAAAAATCAGTCTTAGTTAGTTCTTTAAAAGTTTGACACACACAAAGTAGTACCATATTGAATAAATTTTTAAGGAGCTTTAAAACTTTTATGAATTTTTTGCTTTCTCAAAATTGGTATTTCCGTCTGCCAAAGATTCAATCCCTTGGCATCACTGTCTTGCATGCTCCAATCAGCTCTCCACTCTGCATCAACATGTGTGCGTGCCTTAAAAGAGAGAGAGAGAGTGGTCGCGAGAGAAAGATCAGTTCTCTCGCAATCGCTCTCGCTCGCACACATTCATGCAATGGGCATCTGCAGCAAATTCTATTTTTAAACTTAAATTAATATTGTTCTTTATTTTATCAGCGCGAAAATAAAGCTGGCAGCGTCGACGTTCGTAGGCGGCTGCTGCGAAGAAGAGGGTGCAGTGAAGACCAGAAAACAAATAAATAACACGAGAAAAACTAGACGCTGCTTCTTCTTTGCTCGCTATCACCGCTTGATAAGAAATGCGTTAATCTTTATTAAGCACTGCCCCTGTGTATATGTGTTGGTGTTTATTCCATTTGGCTAGTGTGTGTGTGCGGTTGGGGAGTATTAACATGGGAGTTTTTCATTTTTTGTTGACAATTTCCGTTGGAAACTTTTCGCTAAAAAGGTGCTAAACAAATCTGGCAAAGTCCGAAAGGAAAATGTAATTTATGCATTAGGCAGCAGAAACAGGAAAATAAAGAACACGAGAACAAGCAAAGAGTAGTAATAGAAAAATCGACCCAAGACTGCAACAACTTGTTGGATGACTCAATATTACAGTGGGATAGAACTGTATTTTAATAATAAAGGATTTTCAGAACAACCTTGTTAAAGCAAACACTTTTTCTGAATAGTATTATTTGCTTTACTTTGTTTTTCTTTATAAAAACGTTATTATATAAATTATAAATAAGAGCTTAACAATTGTAAGAGCTTATTAAGGTCCAAAAGATAGTTCCAATATTGCACAAATCGAGTCCCTTAGTCGTCATCGTATACCACATTCTTTTATAAGTTCACATAAGAAAATTTAAACGATTTTCAATCCCGTTTAACAATTTATTCATGTGTATGCTTAATCATTCATGAGGTTTACAAAATAAATAATTTGTTTCTCTACCAGTTACTTCTTGTTTACATTGGAGGACTTTAAAAAAAAATATTAGAATTCCAGTTATCATATTTAGGATAACTCTTTTTGTACTGCGGTGATTTGTTAAAATCAAACAAAGGTTTTAAATAAGAATCACAATTGCTATTTGATCAGATGCAGGAAACATTTTAATGGGTATTGGTCTTAAGAAGTTATTTAATTTGGGTAGCATTTCAATTTTGCCTTGCAATACTTTAACATAATGTTAGTATTATGAAAATGTGATTATAATAGGCTATCCAAAAAGACTTTGAACCAGACATTAGGAGAATAAAAATGTAATAAACAAGCCACGATTGCTTCACACCCGCAATCACACACCTATGTATAAATGTATGCATGTATGTATGTAGGCAAAAAAACGACAGATAGTGAGAGTGATCTGTTTTATCAGTCCCGCATTGCTATTTTTAAACACATCACGCCCTAAGTGGCAAATCACCCAAAAACAGAATTGGTTCCTGTAAATGTGCCAAAACAAAACCGTTTAAAGTCCCGCTCCTAAAATTATAATCACATTTTCCGAACAAAATTGTCATCCCTGCAAAAGAGAAAGAGGGTGAAGGCGATTGAGAAAATAAATGAACAGTTGTGATAATCCAACAAAAACCTAAAAAAAAACCAATCGGAAGTCGAGTCGCGTCCTTTGTACATATGTAAGTAAAATATGGAATTCACTTTTACAAAGGACCGAAAGAAAAACAACTTTTTCTTTTTATACATACAACTACAAATCTTAGTGGATCGGAAACGATTTGTTTTTGTTTTTTTTTTAAGCATTTATGTACAAATAATATTTTATAAAAAAGCTAATGTACATCTTGCATTCCTTTCTGTTATATATTTTTTATGTTGAAATGTGTTCTCAACTTCTGGCTGGGTGCAAAAGTGCGTGAGCGGCAGCCAAAACAAAAACGAAGCCCAAACAAAACAGAGAGTGGAAATGGTGTTTTTGTAGTTGTTTTCAGTGTCGTGACAAGTGCAAAGAGCGCCAAATTGGACATTTTTATGCATGGGCCGCCTTTGCATTGGGAAACTTTTCCGACTTGTCTTTATTGTTGTGTATTTGTTTTATCACTGGTGCACTTTTGCCTCTGCGATCGTGTGCGTCGTTGTGTGTGTGCTCCTCGGTTTTCGAAAGAGCAACTCAGAACGCAATTAACTCAAGAGGCGTGTTTCTTGTTATCATTTAATTCACAGTCACTGTCATTTTCACTTCGGTCGATTTTCACTTGATTTGATTCGTTTTATTCAATTCGTTCTTTCGGAATCAAGATTTCAAATTTACCGCTCTTCGGCTGCGAGTTTCGTCCGCGTTTTCTGTTTTCCGTCGCGGCTTTTGAAGTAATGGCACAAAAAGTGATTGTTTGCCCCATAGTGCCATGGTAGAATAAATACGGTAGTCTCGTCGTGTTCGTCAGTCCCGAGAGCGCTATCCGAACCTTAACGGACTGAACCTGAACCAACGATTCGCCAGTAATTTTTGTCCGCTAGAGGCGCTTTTTCAACCTGGTCTACAGAAACTTTACATTGGACAGCGTTTTTCCAATTGGGACGTTTGTTCAAACGGTTGAGCCGATAACCCGAGCTAGCCGAGCGAAAGAAACAGCAATGGTGTGAGTTGTTTAACCCCTATTTGGTGTGCGGTAAAAAGTAATAGTAATATGTATGCCAAAATAATATACTTTTATATAAAAGCTTGAAATATGTCCCGCAAAATAAAGAAATGCTCTGCGAAATTGGGAAATTAAAAAATACAGTTTTTTTTTTGTATCCATAATCACTTTGAACTTTTTTTCATAAAATTAATTTCTTTTTTAATAACTTTTATTAAAAAAACAAAACCCAGAAATGCGGTTTTGTTCCGAAATTATCAAAAATTGCTACACAAAGTGGTCGTTTACCCCATAGTGCCATGGTAGAATAAATAACCCTTGAGCGGTGCATGGGGCTGTCATATGACAAACCTGAACGCGAACGATTGCCAGTCATTTTTTATCCCCTAGAGGGCGCTTTCTTACAGCTGGATAACGGTTACTTTACATTACAAAACGAGGCAACGTTTGCTTGAACGGTTAACGTTAAACAAAGCTAACCCGAGAGAGCCGAGCCCGAAAGTCACCCGAAAAGCCGTTTTGCAATCGAACTAGTTTGATTTTTCTTGGGAGAGAGGCAACGAACAGTTCTTCCACTTGTTGAGTTGGAGCAAAAGGCAGAATGGATACCTCTCGATAACAGAGAGAGGATGACCTTAGGCTGGCTTCTTCTGCTGGAGCGAATTTAGATGGTAACGTGCATTGACTCAATTCTGATCTCCGACATTTCGAAAATTATCTTACTTTATTTGTTAAACTACAGAATAGGTCACGGAAATAAGCATTTACAAAAAATACCTACGATTATTTTGCACTTCCTTCCTTATACCGTATACTTGGTGCATTCTATGACAGCTCCGGCCAAAGTTCTGCATGATGCCCTTTGGCCTTTGGTTTTTAAAATTATCTGTTGGGATCTAATATCTTTTTATGATTCCATTTTTTATGATTTTTTGAAAATGACTAGAAATACGCATTTAAGCCATATTTTTCTCTTTTCCATACAAATTTTTTCCGACATTGTCACCTTAACAAAATCATAAAAAATAGAAGAAAGTAGATTTTCACAAAAATTCGTCCTTTTTAATAAATATCGAATGAGTTAAGAAAAGTATGGTATCATTCAAACGGCATTTAAATTACCTTTCCATTGATACCAAAAGTTAAACGAAGCAAGTTTAAGTTTCGAGTATATTTCACTTTTATTTTGTCAAAATACTTTTGACCACCATTGTATGTAAATTTATTTGTATAAAAACAGAAGTATATTTTTCAAAAAGTTTTCAACTTTACGATATGTTAATAATTATAAAGTTAGAAAAATGTTCACGTTGTATGATGTTTACAAAAATAGAATTCGAATGTCAGAAATTTTAAAAATAAAATGCTGTATCTACGATTTAAACTCTGTTGGTTTAAAAATACTTAAGCTAAATTTATTTATCTAAAAAACAATGATTGTATACCAAAAAAATAAAATATAATGTAGTAGTATTTTAACTTAAATTTTATATAGGGTTTTTTTATTTGGTCTAGACTCGTATTCTAATATGATATTATGGTTGTGGTTAGCGTTGCTAACTACTAACTAATACTACTTACATACATATGTACACTATAATACCTTCTGCAAGGATACCAAAAAGGCCTTAAAAACGATTAACGTTGTTTTTTATTACGGGTATATTGGAGGATTTTGGTCATTTCTCACATGAGGATGGATGGATACCGCATGCCAGCTATCATGGGGCGCTCCTTGCCGCACACCTGGAGGAACTCGCTCTGCTTTCGGGTGTACATTGAAGCTCGTCGGCGAAGGTCGACGTTTACGTTATTCTCGGCTAGCAAGACGCGTCCGTTGATGTGGATGTGGCTGTTGGTGATATAAATGTTCTGGGAGGGCTGGGATCTTTCCGATTGTGTGACCCTCTCTGAGTTCGATGTGCCGGACAACGTTTCGGTCAGGGACTCCGCTCGCTTCCACACCACCATGGGCTCGTCGGAGGTTGGACATCGCGATACCTCATTTCCAGATTGGGCACTTAGAAAACTACCTCTGCTACCTGTACTGCTTATTCGAAGTTCCTGCAAAAGCTCGCGCATTTCCAAACACTGCGATTGTAGGACGCTTATTTGCTCCCTGAAATCCACGTTGGGGTCCAACAATTGCTCGAAGGGATTCAGCTGGCTTTCCTGATCCGGCAACCGCTTTTCAGATGCAAGTTTCTCAGTCTGAGAAACAGATACCGAAGGCAGGGCCTCGCGACATTTAAGATAGCTCTTGGCCTGCACTTCCGCCAGCTGGAGCAGCTTAGACAGGCCAAAGGTCAGGGCGAAGATCACCCCGAAGCTCAACGCGAATTCGTAGGTCCCTCCCGAGGGAGTCTGATCCAGGGGTCTGTGACATTGGTGCGGCTCAAAGGCAATACCGGGTCGCTCTGCAAAGAATTAAGCAATACAAATTAGAACGTGTAACGAGTACTTGACTTTTATTCATACAGTAAGACTTCTTTTCTTTTTTTTTTTTTAACATTTAGTTGGACCGCTCTTTGGGAAACTTTCTCAAGTTAATTTAATAATGTTTATGTTTAATTTATTTCTAAAAGTTTTTTAGGAGTTTCGCTTCTCACCTGTATAGATTTCCACTCGGTAATCGGAGAAGCCGCGGGTCCGGATCTGAACGACGTGCTGGAAGCAGAGCAGGACCCAGGCTACGAAGGCCAATGCGATCAGGAACAAGAAACTTATGCTTTCGAACATGACTGCCGAAATTTTTGTTGTGTGTAATTAACATGTGTAGATGTAAAAACAACAATTGAGCTTGTGAGGTTTTCTGTGGAAAATGTGAAAGTGAAAGATGGGAAAACGTTGAAAGTGACATGTTAATCAACAAGAATATTCCTACTTTGATTATTCACTGGGTGGCTGGAACTCACATGAACAAAATTGTAATGCCTTTTGAGTGCTAGTTGAACAATTAACTGAATGTAAGTTTATGCTACTAAATTAAAAAACCAAGCGAGAAGTTATTTAAGCTGAGAGTTGCAGAGTTTTCAGATTATATTTTTGTAAAAAAAGTACTTCAAAAACCTGTATTTTCTTAATCTTTTAACTCAAAAATTAACAACATTTTTGAATTTAAGATCCATTGGTATTTAAAGGCCTCTTCGTTAAGATTTTTACCTTAACCGACGTCTGGTCTCACATAAAGGAAACGTGATTTTTTAATTAATATTTTGGAAGTAATTTAGCGGATTTTGCCAGTTAAAATGGAAATGCTGGTATGTCGTAAAGAATATGTTAGATCCCGAGCCTAATTTATGTGTGGTTTCAGCAAGGAGCATCGCTGCTGTCACGGCCAGCAGACGAATTCGGGAACGACTCTCTGGTGGAGGAAATGTGGGCATCAAAAGCTCTGGAACATGCCGAGGTGCATTTTAATGTATGTTTGCTTTGTTCGCTCCTGGAGATTCTTAACTGACAACATGATTTTTTTAAATCCTTGCAGCTGATCACCAGCGTTCATCCCTCCCAGCTAAAACTCACGCCCTATGACGACCAGATATATGCCACCTTTCGGCAAGATTTCCCCGATCTCCAGGTGGGCCGGCTTACCGACGACATCCTCAAGTCCGCTGTGGAGAAACTCAAATGGCGCCACTTTGCCGAGAAGTTTAACAAGATGGACGATTATTCTTACGGCACCCTTATGCGCGCCGATGCCAGCAAGGAATTCTCCCCGGACAACTCCATCTTTGTGTTCCGCGTCCAGTTTCTGGCTATTGAAATTGCTCGGAATCGGGAGGGTCTCAACGATGAGGTTTACGAGAAGCATAAGCCAGCCAGAAAGATCCCGGAGGAGACCCAGTAGCTTATTGCTCCGCCTTAGCTTAGATTAAGTCCTACAGATTATTTGCATTTTTAGATGGTGTCCGTCTAGCTACTATTATAAGCAATAAATATATATTTTTAAAAAAATGGATTATAAAAATATTAACAATAAATTAAAAAATGTTGGTCCTATTTACTAACAATCTGCATTCGCATTTAGATTTGGTTAAATAACTGGGTTTTTACGATAAACAAACAAATCCAAAATACCAAAATATATTGACATTTTTTTAATTTATGAAGATTTGAGACCAGACAAATCTTCATGGTGAAAAGATTTAACGGTCTAGAAATAGTCGAAGACCTATGAAAATATTAATTAATCAAAGTCTACGAAAATATAAACTTTTTATTAAATTGCCATTATACTTATTTAAGCTCAGTAAACACTGGTTAAAAACATATTCGCTTTTATTGGGAAATCGATTCCTTTAAATCTGTGATTAACAACAAACCCAAGGTTTCAAGTTAGAAAATATTGTCTTCTCTAAAGTACATAATGAATATATTAAATATCTTTTAAATGGGGATTTGCCTAGTTTCTACGTGTATTGCCCGCACTTGGTCCATCTTCAGTCTTTCTTTTGGGTAGCCCTTCAATATAGCCTACCCCTTGTTGTCTTTTATACCTAAAGTCCACTGGTGTTGCTGGTCATCAGTATAAACGGAATTAAGGCATCCATCTGCATTTGGCCCACCAGATTAGCGAAGAACAGCTCCTCCATGGCCTCCGAATCCAGGCTACTCAGTGGAAGAAGCCGAGCCACCAGCAGATTGAAGCGCTCTTCTCCACTGGCGACGCCTGCCTGCCGCCTCAAACTGGACAAAGCGTAGAGCTGGACTCTTCGAACATATCCCCGCAGCTGCCGCTCCTTGCGCTGCTGTAGAAGCGATGGGTTGAAGAGAAGTATTAGCCGTAGCAAGCCGAACTCCAGGTCCGAGACCTCCAGCGACTGGAGCTCCTGAACAAAGTCGTGCAAAGTCCTAGTAAGATTGGCCATTTTGGAGATCTTCAGCGGCTCGATCTTATCGATATCCGCGAGTTGGCGAGTGCTCTGTATAAACTGACCGATAATGGTGGGCACCGATAGCTGACCCTGGCATTGGGCCAGGGCAATAGCCATCAGAGCTGGCCAGGCTCCTCTAAGGAGCTTCACTTGGCTATGGGCGTCCAACTGCTCGAAAACGGGAACTTTTCGAAGGGTGTGGATGGTCAGAAAAATGATCCTCGATCCCGTTTCGCACACGTAGTGGATGTTCAAATAAGAGTGGACTAGGGTAGGCGGTTGAACATGGAAAGCACATTGCACATCGGTGAGAAGTTCTTGTTCGAAGACCCCCTCATTGACCACAAAGTCGCCTCCGCCGCTTCGATTGCCGCCACACTCAAAGTCCAGATCCAAATGCTCAAGTTCCGTGTCGGCGGCATCCTCGGTGCCACTGTCTTCCGCCTCGGAGTCGCACTCAGGCTTGACACTCAGATTGCCATTTCTTTCGAGCTGGTTTTGGATGGGCTGCAGGATCTGCAGCCCCTTGTGGATCACGCGGATGTCCAGCGAACTCTGGATAAGGCCCATTGTCGAGGTGGTGGGAAGAGCACTTGATGCTTCGCCGGCGTTAAAGTTCAGGTGCTGGGAGTTGTTGTTGCTGGCGCTGTTCGCCAGCAGCTGAAGGCACAACGTGCTGCTGTTGTCCATGGAGTCGTCTTCGTCGTCCTCGGGATCAGCCTTTGGAAGATCTGGTGAGTAGCTGCCGCCCTGCTGCTGCTGTTGCTGTTGTTGCTGCTGCTGTTGGGTGGCAAACACTGGAAAAAAAAAATTATATTTTGTTAGGGTTCCAATAAAATAGAAATAGTACTTCTTATTTTGGTTACTATACTATTACTCTTAAAAATTTTAAGTTCAAAATTTTAAACTACTGTGACTTTATCAATTTAAGAGTACTGATCGTTAAACTTACTCAAAGTCTGTGTTAGTTCCGCAAAATTCAACCCCATTGGGAAAAGATTCTCATTCAAATTGAAGGTCGTTGCTGGCGTGCTGTGCACGGGGGGCGTGGCCGCTGCCTCGGCCTTGACACTGTGCCCCTTACCACGCCCCTGTTGGTAGCCGGATTTGCCGGCGAGGTAGGCGGAGGAAGTGCCTCCCCCGCCGGAACTGGATGAGCCGCCGGCAGCAGCAATGATCCCCTCCTTTCTGTCCACAATCGGTTTCCTCTCGTGCTGCACAGCTGCGAACCAAAGAAAGCAATTAAGTAGAGCAAGAAGTTGTATCAAGATGCGGTTTGATGAGTTTTCAGGCGAGGTGAGCAAGTGGGTGACTCGGTTAGTGTGTGTGCTGGTTGGGATACGTTTGTGCCCCCCGCAGCTGCAGGTTTAGGATGACGAACACGTACATAATTGCGGTGGATATTCATGTAAGAGAAGGTAACGTTGAAAATGCAATTAGTTTTGAACCTTTTATAACTTGCTATTAAAACGCCTACGGTTATTAACTATCCAAAATCATTTTTTTTTAATACACAGATAAATATTTTTTACCGATTTGTAGAAGTTACAACACACCGGTTAAATTTTGTTTCTAAAAAAAACTAACAAAATAAATCCAATTATCTGTTTGTACTAAACTCAATTTAAAATATAAAAAAAGAGGTGAACAAGTTTAAAACCGTTTTGGGATTGGCGCAATAGGAAAATTTCGCTTTGATACGTTTTTACAAGTTGCGGTTTTAAGAACTACTAAAACTTTTTCAAACTTCACTTTCTGTAAGTACCCTTCCCATAGGCATATAAGTTAATAAATATTCAAGGAACACCATTAGACTTAACGGCCACTGGCGATTAGCCTTTCTTAAGAGAATATCCCTCGACTATATAGATTCACTGCGGATATGGCCTGCTGGAGCACGTAGACCCTGGCCAGGCCAGGGATTCGATAATAGCTTGAGACGACGACTTAAACGAAAATTACAATCACTTCGCATGCCGCTGGCCAGGCACTTCTGCAGCCGGCAGAACTGGCACCGGTTCCGGTGGTGCTTGGTGACCTCGCAGTTCATGGCACCGCGGCACTGATAGCCCAGCTGCTTGCGGATCGAGCGCTTGAAGAAGCCCTTGCAACCCTCGCAGCTGATGGCCCCGTAATGTCGCCCGGAGGCGCGATCTCCGCACACGAGGCACAGCTCCACGCTCAGCGTGGCGGATGCTCCGGCTCCGAGTCCCACGCCGCCTCCGCTGATCGAAGTACCTCCAGAGGCACCGCCTCCTCCCATCAAGGGCATCGCTCGGCTTTCTGCAAGGTCAGAGGGCAATGGCTGTGTCAGAATGGGCTCCAAGGTGCAATGACTCGTGTGACCGAACTCACCTTCGCTTTTGATGAACGCCTCAACCTTAACGCCGTCCATTGTCACAACAGCAGCCGTCAAAATAATGGTCTTAGACCGCGAAAACAACTGAAAAAATAACAAAACAAAGATTACGAATTTAAAAAAAAATGTTTTTAGCTATATTTGAATATCGTTTATAAAAGAGAGTTTAGAACTCAAAGACCAACTTAAGGTCAGCAGGTTAAAATTAAAAATTTTTTGGAAAACAATATATTTTAAATGTATCTTGGGGGAGATTTTAGTTTCCGGGGCGCCAAGATTTGAGGACATATTTTGGGTAATTGGCCCAAAATAAACACTTTTTAATAAATAAAATTTTTCGATTTCTCGCACCGTTTACGAGATATCGAGCCCTAAATTTCGGATTATGGTGAGGGCTGGTAGCAGGCGAAATTACTTATTGCACATATTTTTCGTGGAACTTTCAAGATTTGCGGTACTTTCGGTCGAAGACGAACACTTAAATTTATTTGTTCAGTTTTTAGCTTAGTTTTTTTTTATAACAATTGCCTCAAAAAATAATATAGCATATGTATCAATGCATAAGTGCGCGCGCACTTATGCATTGATACATATGCTATATTATTTTTTTGAGGTAATTTTTATAAAAATAAAATTTTGGACAATTTTCAGTTTTTAGCTTAGTTTTTTTATAACAATTACCTCAAAAAATAATATAGCATATTATAAGTGCGCGCGCACTTATGCATTGATACATATGCTATATTTATTTTTGAGATAATTTCTTAAAAAAAATTTTTTCCCAGTGTAACGGCCGCACTATAAGCCGATATTTAAGGCTCGATATCTCGTAAACGGTGCGAGATATCAAAAAATTTTGTTTATTAAAAAGTATTTATTTTGGCCCAATTACCCAAAATATGTCCTCAAATCTTGGCGCCCCGGAAACTAAAATCGTGCCGTATCTTGATTAGTCAACACGTATATTCTTAGTCAAAAAATATTTGAGATGTTAACTTGCTGACTACTATTATTTTGAACTGAACTGTAGGGGGTCTGCTACGTTAGCTATTTTAATAGAACCCGTTTCGAGTGCATCAGTGTTAGTGCTTGAGATGTGAATAAGTTGGTCTTGCTTACTTGGCTTTTAGAAAATTCTTATTGAACGTCTGCTATCACCATCCCGCACTCTTAAAGTATCACTTATACGAGGCACTTGATAAACAGAATACTAGGCCCGATTAGTTTTACTATATCGAGGTAGTATAAGCCTTTTTTAACCTTTCCGCACGAACAAAAAATCTCCTTGTTCCAATTGGCTTAAAGGCAGTGTGACCACAGCTTTGCCGTTGCAATATACCACCCGGCTCTCAAAAATGTGCTAAAGCTTATGGAACGTATTTATTTCAACACCAAAACCACTTGTGGAGCTAAACAAAATACATAACTGACCTAAGCTAAAAATATTAGTATTATTAATAAAAAAAATAAATAAGTTTTAATTCCAGTAGCTAGTTTTTCGACATTGAATTACTAAATTTCTTTTAAAGAATTCGGATCAAATATAAATTTAAACTTTAAAATTAAATTACAAATTTCAGAAAATGCCTCCTTAATTTGGAAACGTTTTTTAAGCTCAACATTTGCTGTAAGAAAGTTTCGACCAAAGTACCCAGCCCATGCGATAAATTTTCAAAATGCACAGTTTGTTTACAAAAATACAATTTAATATACAGGTGAAATTGTTACAAAAAAGTATAACAAAAAGGCCCTAAGAATGGAACTAGAATATTTTATTGTTTCCTCTTTTTTCGCTTAATTTTTGGTCTTACAATCGATTAAGCCACAAATTGCTCACACAAATATTAAAAAGGCAGGCTGGATGCAGCAGGATGAGAGGAAGCAAGGATAGGAATCGGGTCATGGGGTCAGCCGAAATGGAAAACAACAAGCTCGCAAATATGAACTTTCCGTCTACACAGCAACACTACAGTCTACTATTTGAATTATTTATTCTTTAAGCCCATTGCACGTTTGGTGGCCCGTCCCAGGAAGATGCCGGTGAGGAAGACCAGTCCCGTGGCGCTCATCAGTATCACAAGGAAAAATTTACGCGCCGGCGAGGCGACCACCTGCTGAACCAGCTGCTGCATGTCCCCGGGCGGCAGTGCCAGCGTGTCGTCCGCGTTTCGGAACATCTCGATGCGCCGCTGCAGCTTTTCTCGGCAGTCCGCTTCCAGTGAGTTCGGCGTATCCTTTAGCAGCGTTCTAAGGCAGTTCAGCTCTAAGAGAGGGAATTAATAATAAGATGTTATAACAAACGTAACACATAAATATAAATTTTTATGAGAGATCTTCTAGCTTAGTTTAAAAATAAAAAAGGAATGTAGAAAGCGTGATTCCAGTTTTTAAATGTAAATAATTTACTTTGTTTATATAAACTCCAAACAACGATTAATTGTGGTTTTGTTCATCAAAGTTATAAGCTCGTGATTGGTTCTTATACATTTAACTCTACGAGTGCAGTCAAAAAACTATACGAACGACACTGCATTCACTAAAATAAATAAACTAAATCGTTACGTTCTTAGGAACAATTTCTGTTCGGTTAGATAGTATTTATAATTAATAATCCTACATTTTTGATAATAGGTATAACCACTCACTTCGTCCATTGCCAGCCGACACCTTTGAACAGTATCGTAGCAGATCCACGGTGCAAGCCGTTTCTAGGATGGGATCGACATGGATGTCGGCCTTGGCTTCGGCGATCAGAGTGGCCACCTCCATCTGGCACTGCCGGTTGATTATCTGCTTTTGCAGGAAGGCCGTCTTCAAACATTCCGCCAACTGACCATGCTCATCAGAATCAATGTTAGCCTTGCACAACTCCTGGATCTCAGATTTGCAAAACACCTGCAGCAGGGGATTCAGCTTGTAGTTGAGGGCCTGCTCCTGAAGGATCTTGATCATCTCCTTGGCACATGGTTCGTCCAGAGCTGACTGGCGGAACTTGTCTTTTAGACAGTGAATTACCTAAGAAGCAACAATATTATTATGGTTTCAATAACTGAGCTAATCATTGCCTGTGGAAGATGTAGAAAGCAATAAAAATATTAAAACTGTTTTGAGTTCGCCAAACCAAATAAATAAGTAATAACGTTTTGGTTAAGAAAAAACTTTCTCCGACAGTTTAATAAACATTTCTTAACCCGCTAATTAAAAGTCAATTGAAAGCTTGTACAATTGACAGGGATTTATATAGCGTAACGCAGATAACAACGCACGGAAATATTCACGTTTTGCCCGTCATCCAGCGACTATACCTCTAATCGTTGCAAGCACTACGTTAGACACCAGAGCCTTTTCATTCTGGCACTCAGTTCTCGTTCAAAGTCGAAATCAGTCGGGTCTGATGCGTAAACGGGGCGTATACATGATGTTGACGCTGTGCGGTGTAGCGACCGCTGCCTTAACCGGTTTTCTTGTGATTTTCCTCACCGGAAACCATGGAGCCAACGCGTCTGAAGAAAGTACGGTAAAGGTAGAGCTATCGAATGGTCAGGGCGAAGTGCTTGGGAATTATGGGTACACAGCTTGGACGGATCAAACCTTTATGCAGTTTCGTGGCATTCCATTTGCCGAACCGCCAACAAAGGACCTGCGATTTCGGGTGAGTCTGAGCGTAACCTTTGCTATAAAGCTAAATCTTAGAAGCTTCAATACCTGCAGATATACCAATATCTGCCCAGTTTTCTGTAAACGTTGACAAGTGTAACAAAGTTATAAATATAAATTGGAGCTAATAGAAATATAAAAAAAGGTGTTTTGAAATAAATGCAGATAGTTTAGCTTTCTCAAACGCTTCTGTGTTGTTTATATAGACATATAAGCTATTTTCGCCCGCCTTAACTGATAAGCAGCCGTATGACGAAATATAAACGATTTCTATTCTACATTTTTATGGATAGCCACCTGTGGCTCGATCACCGTGGACTGGCACTCTCAGCGCCCTGAACTTTGGTCAGCGCTGCCCAGTGATAACCAATCTAGATGGCCAGTTGTCAGATGCTGAACTCGAGGATTGTCTGAATCTGTCGGTCTACACTAAAAACGTGAGTAAGAGTAGTAGAATGACTGCAACGATCACATAACAAAAAGAAACTAAAGCAAACCCTTAATTTAGCTATATGGTAGCCAGCCTGTAATGTTTTATATCTACGGGGGAGGTTACTACAATGGGTCCGCAGAGGATCACCCACCGAACTACATCCTAGAGAAAGATGTGGTGCTCGTTGTGCCACAATATCGCGTGGGCGCTCTCGGATGGCTGTCGACTTACACGGAAGAGCTTCCCGGAAACGCTCCCATTGCGGATATCCTTTTGGCTCTCGATTGGGTCCAAACACACATCAGCCGCTTTGGTGGTGACCCCCAAAAGGTGACTATTTTTGGCCAGAGTGCCGGTGGTGGAGTAGCCAGTGCCTTGCTGCTGAGCCCCAAAACTGGCGAGAATCTGTTCAAGCGAGCGATTGTGCAGTCGGGCTCGATTTTCGCCAGCTGGGCTATCAACAAGGATCCAAAAGCACAATCGCAACAGATCTGTGCCAAGCTGGGATGTCTGAGCTGCGGCCAGCAGGATAAGCTAGTGGAATGCCTACGAGAGGCCAAGGTCAAAGACATCCTGATCGCCACGAGTTCGGAGTCTTTTTCGCCTCTTGTGGGAGACCTGCAGGGTATCCTGCCGCAACATCCCAGTGAGCTGGTGAAGAGCTATCGCAGGCAAATCCCCCTGCTTACCGGGTTTACTCAACACGATGGCTCGTTCGTTCTAGCAAGTATGTGACGGAAAAGTTAAGTTTTCAATTATTTTTTGAATGCTAAATCACTTTTTATAGGCTATTATGATGCTGTCGCTTCTAAAGTGTCGAATGTGAGTTCGTTGAGTGTTCGTCAGTTTGTACAGGGCATCAATAATTTGGTTAACGATACGACGGGACTCACAGATAACACCTTGAGTCGGTTACTGTTTAAACCACAGATCCTCAACAGCCATGATCACAATGCTGCGGTTCCTGCGTACTTTGATGTGAGCTTTTAAATTACCCACTATACATTGAAGTTTCTTAGTGCCTGTTAACCGCCTCTCCCACAGCTTACTTCAACAATATTTATGAAGTCTCCAGTGATTACGCTGGCCACAAAAATTTACGACCAACAACCCCTTACGCCAGTGTATCTCTATAGTTTTGAGTACGAGGGCAAATACACTCGATTTGGTTATGAGTTCGGAAATGCACACTATCCATTTAATGGAGGAGTCCATCACTCAAACGACAACATTTATCTGTTTGCCACTCATCCCTTGGAGGGAGAGGACACAGAGATGGCACAGAAAATGGTAGAATTGTGGACCTCATTCGCCATCGATGGCGTTCCCAGCGAACTGAGTCCCCTGACCAGTGCCAGTGGGCCATATAATCAACTTAACTTAAAGTTAACTAAAGGCGACGATTTATTGGAAACGTTGACGGTAGCAATAGACGATCCTGACAATGGGAGACTGCAGCGTGAAGATATGGAGTTTTGATTGTCCAACCAATTCATAGGTAGTATAAATATTTAAAGAAAAAGCGCATTTCAAAATGAAATGAAAAACCGGCTAGCGATTTACTTTAGTAAACGCCAAAACTAGTATGTTTGATTAAATTATAATATATGGCTATGCAGTTATCTAAGCTTATAAATTCTTGCTAAAGTGCAATAGGTTATCCACTCACCTTTCCATTCAGCTCCTCGTTGGGCAGAGCACTGGCCACAATATTGGAGCAATACCGGTCGATGTTCTTTCCGCAGGCGCTTTGCAGCGAAGGATTGAACCGGAAGTCCGTGTTTTGCTCGATCATACGGTTGACCACCACCAAATGGCACCTCTGGTCGAACTGTGTGTCATCCTTGTATGTCTTCAGGCAATCCAAAAGCTTTGCCGAGTCAGTGCTTGGACAGAACTTGTAGATCATCTCCTTGCACGTGGTGAGGAGCGTGTAGTCAGTGCCGCTGTCACCCAGCTCCGATTTCTTGACCATAAAGATCGCATGATGACAGGGCTTGCCCAAGCTACTCGTTTTTCTTATAAGGCACTCCAGAGCCTGCAGGGTCCAAATAAATTAGTCATTGCTATCTGGGTACAGTCTTTCGATTTTGGGTGTGAAATGTGATAAGCACGAGTCATAGTGATTATATGTTGAACAGGAAAGTACAGCCTTATATATATACTTGATATAGTACTTGAAGACTCGGACAGAAGTATAACTGACATATTTTAAGCAAGCAAATACTTAATAATCAATCATAAATATATATTCTATATGCTTTCTGTTTCCTGTTATCAACATATATCATTATAACCCTCTTTAGTGTTAAGGCGGCTTTGTGGTTAAGGATGAGTTAGATAACTTGCTTTTTCATTCACCTGACCGGGACCCTTTTCCTCCTCGCAGAATTGTTCCAGCTCACGCTTGCAGGCGTTCGCCAGCTTGGGGTCCAATTGAATGCTCTCGCGCTGCTGGTAGAGTTGCGCCTTCACCTGGTGGCGGCATTCCTTGGGAATCTGATGGCGCTGCGCCTTGATAGTGTCGTTGCGCATCACCTCGCTAAGGCAGGCCACCACCTCGTTTTTGGTGGCGCTCGAGGAGCAGAAGCGCTGAACGTATGGACGGCATGCCTCCTTGAACTTGGTGGTGAAGTGGAAGCTTTTAAGCGAGATGATCTGAAAGTGTTCTATGGCGGCGCGACACCGGAGGTCCTTTCGTAGATCTGCATCGTTTTTGTGCGCTATTAGACAGTCCATCATGTCGCCTGTAAGGGATTAAAAATCTGTCTTAAAACTGTATAAATTTTTGGGGAACTTTAGTTACCATTATCCTTGCCGCTCTTGAGGATCGCCGAGCAGTGCTGCTGCATTGCCTCACCGCACACGTTCATAATGACGGGATTGAGTTCCACGTGAGCGGCCTCCTCCTCAGTGTACTTGACCACCACTGTTTTGCATTCCGGCTGCAGTTGGTCCATATTCTTTTGCAGACACTCCATTTCACTGCCCTTTTCCGTGCAGTCGGCGCAGAACGCTGAGAGATCGTTGAGACAGTAGTCTTCTACCTCGGGGATTAAGTCCATGGATATGGCGCGCTGTCTCATCACACGTTTCACCTCCTTAAAGCAGTCTTTCCGCAAAGTCTGATGCTCGTCCTCGCTGAAAGCCATGCGATGCAGACAGGGGAGAATCATGGGTCCCCTTTCCGGATCCATTTGAATGTTCTGCGCATCATCCCATTGCTTCTTTGCACGGCAATACTTCACTGCGTCATCGCGACAGTGTTTGTACAGCTGCGGGTCCAACTTGAAGTCTCTAGCAACGAAGTACTCGATGATAAGCAGAGCTTGCTCGCATTCGGGAAGCATCACAGGGGTGCCAATGTGCTCCACCAGACAAGTCATGACTCGCGCGTCGCCTCCTTGCACATCTTTGCAGGCCACGTCCACAACTGGCTTGCAGGCCCGCCTAAGCACCGGATCCACGCGCCAGTCCTCGCCGGCGTCACTTGCCTTTATCAGGGTTTCCAATCCCCGCTGGCACTGTGCCGTCACCCGTCGCTGTTGACGCCTGGCCTTAACATGCTCAAGAAGGCAATGAATAATCTCGCCACCAGTACTCGCCATGCCATTAACCAGCTGCGCCTTGTGCTCATCCGGACAGAATTTGGGTATGTCATCGGCACAGTCGTTGAGAAGCTCCGGCGAGAGCTGGTAGTCCGTCATCAGCATGCGACGGTGGTCCGTCAACTCGGCGAGGCAAGGGGGCGCCAATTTTGTCCCGTTTTTCGACACCGACTCCAAGCAGAGCAGGATCTGGGCCAGTCGTACGTGCTTGTCCTCGGAGACACCGCGACGGCAATGATACGTCTTGATATCGTCCTTACAGGCCTTGGCCAAACCGTGGGACACGCGGTAGTCGCGGCCCATCTGCTGATCCCTCATTGTGATTTGCGAGGCGCACTGGGGCGACATTGAAGGGTGGTTCTTGTGCCGCACAAGGCACTTGAAACCGCCAGCAGTGCCAGGCTTTTCCTGAAACAGAAATATAGTTAGTTTCAGTTATTAATTAATCCTTTAAAGTATAATTAAAAAAGGCTAAAATATAACATTTTGATAAAAGCAAAAGCATACGAGACAAATGTATTTTTGGAAAATATCACAATCATAAAATGTCTAAACTATATTGAATATTAAAAATGTTCATTTTTACTGAAAAATACAGCAACTTATTCGACATGGAATCGAATCTTATCTGTTGTATTTTACAGTGATCCTATTCCAAAATGGTACTCATTATTTTTCGACTGTTGAACTCGCACTATTTTTTTTTTAGGGTCAATGATTTCGCCCCTTATCTCTAAAATATTTTTTGTACGTCCTTTATATGCTACAAAATATAATTTGTTTGAGAACTTAAGACTATTTTTGGCGTTTCTAAGCGGCATGTATGTATGCGTAGTCTCAACTCACATGTGGACATTACTTACCTGAGAGCACAAAGAGGAGAGATCCTCCTGGCAGACCCGAAACAGTTCAAGCATTCCACGCTGCAGCTCGATGGAGTTGATGGCGCTCTGACAGATTGGCTCGATTGGCTTCGGGGCACTCTCCTGGAGGCATTGAACGGTGCCCAATTGGGAAAGTACGGAGGGCAAGTGGTCGATGTTTAGCCGCCCGCACTTGTGCTCCTCAACGAGCTGTCCACAGACGGTGTAAAACTCGTCAACAGCGCTATAATCCTGGCCCAGAGACTCGTAGCCTTTTCTCAGGTGCTGATGGCAGGCGCTGCTCTGCGGCAGTTTCAGTCGCTGCTGATCCAGGCAGCTCCACAGGTGCACGGAGTTTAGACAGCTCTCTAGCTTGGACCGCTCGGCGGGACAATATAAGGGCAGGAAGCTGCTCTCCATCCAGGCGGGCAGCTGCAACTGGCGTTGCTGCAGCCACAGCTCATGCTGGCAGGCCTCCGGGAGGTCCTCCAGCTGACTGGAGCTGAAAGTTAGTGCGCACTCCAGCATGGACAGGTTGTCTGTGAACTTGTGGTGCGCGCAAAGCTTCTTTAGGTCCTGGCACTCAGCCAGGTCGATGATGCTGTGCATAGCTTTTGGATTATCCACGTCGATGGCTGCACGCCGAATGCGCTGGAGGGAATCGTCGGCCGAAGTGGTGGTGGCCACCAGGAAAGCCAACATAAGACGCAACATGTTTGCCGGGCGGCTCTTCTGCCTTTCTGTCTGTGTGACCGATCTTTTAAACTCCAGTCTCAGTGCCTAGACATCGAAGAGACCTCCAATGGCGTATTGCTTGCGTAAGCTAAAAAAGCGGCTATATTTGCAGTCGACACGATGATTCGATTCGCTGCTTTCGGCCGAAATACATCAGCAAAAGCAAATATATTTCGTCGAGTTTCAGAGTGCAGCGCGCAGCAACAACAAGTATGTAAAATGGTTGGCCGGTTCACGAATCCGCCGCTCTCACGTCCTGTTCATTGTTCGAATACGTTGTCTGGCAGCTTAATAGTATACAATATCGCCGGGAGTATTACAACAGCCTCGACGGCTGCTATTCCGGCATTTAAAATGATAATATCAACTAAATTTGCAAAAATCCACTGAGCCCAACAGGCGATGGAAGATGACCAGAACTATCGGCTGGTCGTGATCTATCGACAGGGGCGCCGCGAAGGGGCAGTGCCTTTATAATACTCGAACTCCACTAGACATTTTTCTGTTGATATGTATTGTATCGAATGAGGTATCAAGGGTTTGATCCCAGACAGGGGCTTAGGCTGGACATATTTATCAAAAAACCATCGTATAGATTTATGATAGACTTAAAAAAATTATAGACTTGAAAAATATTCAACCTGAACCGTTATTTTCCTCATTTTATTGGAGTAAGGCAAAATTGTCTTTCATATCAAACTTTTTAAGCTCCAATAGTTAAAATACCCTTTGGGAGCACAGAAAATGTAAATCATTAAATTAATAAAATTGTGTCTTATCCAAAAACTATTTGTCCCATTTTGACAAACAGTATTATTTTTTAAATGCCTTAAAAAAACCGATGAATACTAAAATGAACTAACGCTTAGGGTTTCAATGTTGTTATCGATATGTATCCATATTCACAATAAACTCGTTATTGTGTAGATACGTTTTGTTTTTAGACGAATTCAGTTGAGCTACTTCGAAGCCTAGGTTAATAAATGTGTGCGAATAACTTATAGCATTCATAATATAACCACCTGTCGTTTTCGGTTTAAATTTCAATTTTATATAAGGACCAAGTGCAACGCAAACAGTTTAAGCGCGAGTTCAGATTCCCCCTCCACTTCGAAGCTCACACCTTAAAACTTGTTTTTAGTTTGCCAAGTGGAGCAAAGTGCTTGTGCGTTTGTGTACACATACAAACATATGTAAAAGACTTCAGAAATTTCAACACACAAATTGCACTGCAGAAGTATTTGCATTGATAGTGAAGATATTTAAATGATATAATTTTACAGCGCAAACTGCTTACAAATCACAGCCATTAAAATGGGTAAGTTAGCAGACAGCTTAGGCATATATTTTACGGATGACTAAAAAGTAAACCAACTCTGTGATAAATAAATAATATAAACTACTTGCTAAGATAATAACTTTACTGGCTCCAGTTGGGTAAATATCTTCTTAAAGTCTAAAACTGTATTGTGCAGCCTTTAACGTAAATTTAAACTTTGTATTCTGAGCTCTTATTTTATTTAGAAGTTTTTATTTCACTAAATGATCACTTAGTTTAAATTATATTGTAATGACGCATACAGACGCCAAATTTAAAATCTTCGATGGTTTAATCCCGACAGAATTTATTTTAATTTATATTAGATATGTAGTACATATTGTAAAAACTTAGTAAACCATATTTTATGAACACAATAATCAAGTAAAAAATTTTCAGTCAAGAATTAATTTTATGTCTTATGGTGTTTTCGTTTCGTAAGATTATAAAGATTTGACTTGAAAAGATGCAAAAAAGTATGTATTAACATTAGATGATAAAGCAACTTCCTCAAAGTATGGTGGGATTCACTGCCAACGTTAAAGTCGCATTTGAGAAATTAGCCCTTTAGCGCGAAACTAAAGTTATGGTAGATTCTATCTTAATTAATAAACTTAACAGTTTTATCAGAAAGTGTACATGTATTTAAATAACTAATTGAATAAGTTGTAATGAACAATTCGCTTATACACTTTTTATGACAAGGCCCAGTCTACAAGAATTTTACAGTTTGCAGCTAAACTTTCCAAGTTATTTTATTTACGCTCTAGCAGTCCGCATTATTTCGTTCGCAAAGTGTCATTGCACGCTACCGGAATTAATGTTTGGCTCTAATGCGGAGCCTAGGCTTGTGTCTTGGTGTCATTGGCATCCAGCATTTGGCATCTGGAATAAGGCATCTGGCCCAAAGCCTCGGCGGCAATTTTCATTCCGACTGGCACAGACACCGCGGGACTTCCGGTGAGAACCTCTCAAATGCGGATGCATTTAAAAGGCTCAGGCTCTTCACTCGCTTCGCTGGCAGGATGTTTACTGGATGTTTCGCATTTCTAAGGTCGTTGTCCCGTCTGTCTTGACTAGGCCTTAAGCTGCAGCTCAGCACATAGTTGTCTTAGTTATATTTCAAGAGGAAGTAAATGAAGGATTTTGTTAAACATGTGGAAAGGTTTTTTAATGATATTATAGTTTATGCAAGAGCTAGAGGAATATTTATGACCTCAGTCGCCACAAGGCTCATAAATATCTTAGTTATATTTCAAGGAGAAGTTCATAAATAAATTTTGTAAGTGTGACGACTAAATAAACTATAGGAACTTCTCTATATGTATATCTATACATTATAAAACTAATTAGAGCATAATATTCTTTAAAAATTTGTGTTTACAAAGGTTTAACTTATTCCATTCCTGTAATGTTTTAAAGATGCTAATTACTCTAAAATTTGTCTTTTTCCTTTATTGGTGTGACTTTTTGACCTAACCGAAGTTGTGAACTTCTGCCAGCAAGTTCGAACCAATTGCCTCGTTAATTAAAGCAAAACGAAAGACTTACACAGAAAAAAAATGTAGACATAATTTATCAAAATTTTCAGCTGGTAAATAACAATTATTGATCAACTCTTTTTAAATTTAACTTGTTGCTATTAAATTGAAAACGAGCCTAATTTTGGTGTAATTTCAAAGTTTTGTTACATCTGACACCAACGCTTGGTCTTAACCAAATTATGATTTTTTACGAATGAAGTTTGTTTTTAATTATGTTTTCTTTTTACTTAAAATCAGCAAATATTTTTATCTGTGTTTTCATATTATATTAAGAGATACAAAAATCAACGCTACGCTCTTTAAAGAGTAGTTATAAGAGGCGCCTTCCATTGAGAGTCGTCAGTTTTGTATTCTACTGGAGCGTCGGTCCGTTAACAATACTTACAATAAGTGCGAAGGAAAGGGTGTTTCCTAATAAGTGCGAGAGAAACTGCAATAAAGTTTTTTGTCTAACCCTTATGTAGTGCATAGATCTTAAAATTGACTGTCATATTGCAATGGGTATATTTTTGTTGCCTTGAGAAAAAAATGTATTCTTATATTGTTAGCCTTGCTAAATATGTTGGTGCATTTATAAACTAACAGCAACTGTTTACAAGAGTTTATTAAAAGGAAAATTTTTTGTTGGAACCCGCACATATTCTATTTGAAAATAAAAAGCCGAAACAAAATAAAAGAAATTAATATAATATTAATTAAATATTGAGACATATTGGAAACAAAAAATTAATAAAACAATTCTCCCTAATACCATATTTTAAAAATATTCGACAACCCTACTCTGAACGTTAACGGACTAAGCCCGAACAATTTGGCAGACGACGAGACAACCTTGTACCTATTCTCCCATGGTCGATCCCATTCAGAGTTTTCAGTTTTCTTTTCTACGGGAGCGCCAGTCGCTGTTCGCTGCCATTCCTATAAAGACTAATTATTATCATTGAAACTGTTGATTGGGTGACGTCGGTGTGCTTGTGATTCATTGTGTGCGGCTTCTTTCGGCTAGCTTTTTCCCTGGGCAGTGTGTAACTAAACTTCTCTGTGACTCCCGATTCCACAAAGCACTGTGCAGTATGCCGGGCAAGGGGAACAACCGTGATCGCATCCGGGATCCCCGCGAGGAGATCCTGCTCGAGACGAACTTCGAGGATGATGGCGGAGTCCTGACGCGCGCCTACAACGGAAATCCGTACAATCCGTCCATCCAGAACCGAAGGCGGAACTCGTACCGCTCGGATCACTCCTTGGACAGGTACACAGAGCGAGGTGGAGAAGGTACGACCCGAGTTCCAAAATACTTCCGGAGCACGAATTGCACTCCGGGATGCAATCAATCGATTTCACTCTCATAGAATTGTGTGTACACCTTGTGACTATTTGCTTTTCGTGAATCACTGGAGAACCTGTAGCCACCAGTCGCTGGTTCACCTGTTATCTTATCACTGTCTTTCCCATTTATGCTTGCACAAGCAACTCGCATTTGTGTGTGTATCGTCTCAAAAGTACCATGCGCATATGTTTTTAAACGCTAACAATTTTTTTATTCACCTTACTATAATTTCTCTGTCAGTCAATCTGTATCTCAGTTATTTGTCTTGATTTCCATCTCTCTTTAGTAAGTCAGCTGTTTTAATTAATGTTTAATTAACAACTAAATTATATCGAAAACAATAAAGACTAAAAATTAACTAAAAGACAAAAATCAAACAAATATTCTGGTTTTGTTTGGTTTTGATTATTTTATGATGTTGATAATTACCTAGATTAACATTTGCATACACAACTTTTAAATATGTCAAAAAACTCTTTGTAGTAATCTTTATTTATTTTTACATACCTATATTTTGAAATTTTTATAATGTTGTTTTAATAATTTAGTAAGTTTTTATAAGCCACACTGTCTTTTACAAATACCCTTGTAGGATTTTAAAAATATGATTTCTTTTTTAAAGTATGATTTCTTTATTTTCTTACTCACTGTGCTAATAGTATATTCGGATTAATTCGATTAAAGCAGTCTAAATAAAATAAAGTATAAAAAACACAAATTTTAAATCCAATAATTTGTCTTAAATGCAATTTCATATTTCCAGGTGAATGTTGCCAATCATGCATGGCGCGAATCCCCTACGCCACTCTCATAGCCACTCTAATGTGCCTCCTGGGAGTCGGAATATTCTGCTTCACCATGTACCGAGGCGCCTCACTCACCGTCATAATGCTGGACCAGGTCTTTCATCTGCGACTGATCTGGTGAGTAATTAACTAGCACTGAAAAAAAATCATTTACTTGAACTATGTAACTCGTTAAGGATCGAAGCGGTGCAGATGATATTTGTAATAATCGGAGCTGGTATGGCGGCCCTTGGGTTCATGATTCTTTTCGTCGGATTTTTGGCCACCGGAGCCACCAGATACAAGGTTTACAGGGCGTGGAGATCGCGAGTAGGCGGTCGAATCTCATGCGCCGTTCTCATGGGAATAACGTACCTGCTAAACTTTGTCTGGAGCCTGATCCTGTGCTTCCTGGTAGTGGTTACCTTCATTTATACAATGTTCTGGAACATGTGCTCGAGTGTAGAGCACTCTCAAAGCTGCATTGATCTGACCCAATTCCGTAAGAACTAGTTGAATAAAATATATACCTTTAAGAAGATTTTTAAATGTCTCCCATCCCACAGATTTTATGTTTCCACCAAACACAAAAGCCGAAGATATGAAAGTCTGCGAAAAGTACGAGATAAAGGCATTCTGCAAAGACGGCGTGGAGAACGCTGAGGTCATGTTCATATTGGCAACCCTATCCACCCTCTTGGTGCTGCTCAGTCTGGTACATTACCTGATGTGCCTGTCGGCTAACTATGCCCACATTCGGGATCACGAAAAGTTCCAGGAGCTGCAGGAAATTCAAAACCTAAACGAGCTGGAGTACAGCGCTACTTCAAAGGATCGATTCTAGGACATATTTCAGAAGATTCAATTTGAGCTAAAAGAGAAGTCCAGCGCTATTTGAGACATTCGCGCTCCATACAACGAACAGTGAACAAAATTCCATCGAAACCAACATGCTATAGCTAAGATTTATTATTTAGGCCTAAGATTAAAGTTGAGTTTGAAGATTTGAATGATTATTTAATGAGTTACTGGATTCAACTATTATTTATATCCGAATATCTTCATAAATTAGCAGTTCTGTGTCAAGTAAAAACTGCCAATAGAGAATATCCCACTGAAATTCAGATTTTTATATTTTTGCACCCCTTAACTAATATTAGTTTTCCGTCCATTACATTAAGTTAGCTTACATTCGCTTTTATGTTTCCATTTGTTATCACCTTGCAAGCAATAAATCCATACAAACATAAAAGACAAATGCTTATGCTCAAATTGATTCTTCTGAATTGCCGAATGCATTTTATTAAAATACGAATACGTTAGTTAATCGCAAATTATCAGTACATAGCGTAATCCATCCGTGCATGATCTTTTAAGTCTGCACAAATATACTTTTCCATGTGAATATTTCACTATTGCATCTACAACTTGAAAGCAATACGAATCCTGCCGTAGTAATTCTGTATATGCGGTAACATCAGTTTTATAAGACAGTTTTTATCTAAAGATTGGACTATGTGTAAGAAAATGCACCTTGTGTTTAATGTATAAACGTACGTAATAATAATAATATATTTTCTACGACACTTTTCTAACCTCACACTTATACAAAAAAGTAGGATGACATTAGAATGTAGACTTTTAAATATGAAATAAAAAATTGATTAAAATCAAATTAACTTGCATTATTTGTATACCAGCAATATAATATATATTTCCCTTATCCTTAAAAAAAATGTTGATGTTTTCAATGACAGTCATATGATAAGACATCCGGTTTAAAAAAAAAACAGTTCTTCTGTTCGTTTTAGCTGAATAGCCTTAAAACTGGGAGACTGGTTTGTGTGTAAGAATAGAGAATGACGGGCTTGTCTAAAAGATAAGATATATATGTATACTTTATGGGATCGAAAAGTCGCAATGCGGCAAACTTGTAATTAAAATTTTAACAGCCAGAGTTAAAAATAATTTTTACTTTTATTTTCATTAAATCAATTTTGTTTTCTTTAATACATTTTTTTTACGATTTTCAAAAGCAATAATCAATAAAAAACAATAAAAAAAGGAAGTCAGCTTAGGCAAAACAAAATACTTAAAGGCTAAACAACATCGAAGATGTTAGGATTCTATATTCATAAAACTTTGCTTGTCTACTGAATAACAACGATTTTTATACCCTTGCAGAGCAAAAGGGTATTATAATTTCAGTCAGAAGTTTGCAACGCAGTGAAGGAGACACCTCAGACCCCATATAGTATATATATTCTTGATCAGCATCACGAGCAGAATCGAAATCCGTCTGTACGTCTGTCCGTCTGTCCATCTGTCCGTCTGTCCGTTTCCGCGCAAACTAGTCTCTCAGTTTTAAAGCTATCGTGCTGAAACTTTCCCAAAAGTTGTGTAGTTGTTGCACGCAGTATATAAGTCGGAACGAGCTGGATCGGCCGACTATATCGGATAGCTCCAATACAAGAGAATGAAATAAAAAAATCTCACTCTGTTGTTTTTGATCAGATCGACTTGAATTCTTCAAGATGGCGTTTTCTAACTGTTATTGAATTTCGGATTAAATTTGAACAAAATCGGATAATTCTATCATATAGCTGCCATAGGAGAGATCGAAAAATATATATAGAATTAATAGAAATAAATTGATAGCATCGTTGTTTTCTATCCCACGAGCATGATTTTTTGAACATCAAGTTTTTTAACAACCCTTATATTGAGAAAAAAGTTTCATAAAAATCGGACAACTATATCTTATAGCTGCCATAGGAAAGATCAAAAATCTATATAGAAATAACGGAAATAAAATTATAACATCGTTGGTTTTTTTTTGATAAGCATAATTTTTGAAATTTAAAGTTTTCTAACGACTCTTGAATTACGAATTAAATTTGATGAAAATCGGACAACTATATCATATAGCTCCCATATGATCTATAGTCGAAAATATGAAAAATGAATAGAAAAATCGTCTTAGCTTCGATGTTGTTTAGCCTTTATGTATTTTTTTCGACATATTTGACGACTGCAAGGGTATATAAGCTTCGGCTTGCCGAAGCTAGCTTCCTTTCTTGTTTCCCTTTAATTCTACATATATAGATTTTTCCTAAGGACCTTTCCTATGGCAGCTAAATTTTATTAAAATTTATTTTAATAAAATTTAATTCGAATTTGTATGTAGTTAAAAACCACCATCTGGAAGAAATCAAGTCGATATGATCAAAAACAACGGCGTAATAATTTTTTATCAATCTTTCGTCCGATACGCCCGTTTTGACTTAAATACTGCGTGCAATAACTACACAACTTTTGGGAAAGTTTCAGCGAAATAGCTTTAAATCTGAGAGACTAGTTTACATAGAAACAGAAAGAGGAACAGACGTACAGACGTAGTTCGATTCAGATCGTGATACTGATCTAGAATATATATACTATATGGGGACTTAGATGTTTCCTCCTCTGCGTGAATATCCTCTGCAAGGGTATAATGAATATAAATCAAACGTTTTAAAAAACGCATTATAAAAATCAGAGAAATATACAAAATATATTTAAGTTACAAAATATATTTACCTTTAATTTACAATATAGTATTATCATTCAATCTTAAAAAATATGAACAGATCCGTTTGATTAAGTTATAAAAGCATTCGATTATAGGAAGGCGTTGTCGTTTTGGGAGTCATTGCGCTGTTGTAGTCAATCTTCCTTCCGCTAGCAAGCAGTGGAGCGGTTTTGAGCTTTAATTGAATGTTGGGTATCTGACTGATTCTATCTCTGACCGAGAACGGTAGATCGTCGTCTTTTGCGAAGTGCGTTGAAGTGCCATTGGGTTGGGTGAAAGTTATACCCCCACCTTGCATGTGTGGAATAACAGAGACTACGGACCCATCATAAAATTGTATTTGCACAACTCCGTGGGAAAGCTGTTATAGAGAAATGTAAATTAGCTAAAAATATACAGATAACTACATTAACTTACCTCAGTTGCGATTCCAATATCAGGAACGGTAATGCGTTTAATGGGAATGTTTTGATGGGCCGCTAGCATATTTGACCTGGAGCAATTGGTTCCGAAATCTGTCGTATTTCGAGTCGACGAAATAGTGCTTACGGAAAAGTTTATTGAGCCCTAGAGAAGAAGAGAGTTGAATCATACAGCAATCAACCTTACATATAGTAAGTGTTCACTCTATATTTACCTGATTTGATTTTGGTGTGGAGAAAGCAATGTTTGTTGTATCCCTTAAACCATCTAATCTCTGAGCAGGTTGCAAGTCTGCGATAGGTCTTCGTCCGATGGTGACTGGAAAACATGCATTGTCCTTTGTCTGAGCAACCTCCAAGGCGTTACTAATGTTTACACAGTGGGTGAAACACTCGTTTCCATGTTCTATTAGAGACCGTGGCTCCGAGCAGGAATGATCCGACAGCAACATTCCGTTCGCATCGTAAACCTTAAGCCCCTCGGAGGGCGACTTTAGCAGCTTGGCACCCGAATAGAAACGAATCTCAAAGTCCGTCATCGTCTCCATTAATTGGCATTTGCCAAGGGCACTGAAGTAAGTGACTTTCGGTGTCTTGCTCTTCACTAGGCCCACAAATCGTGCTCCATATACATATTTTTTCCAGTGTTTGCTGGGTAAGTTTTCGTAGTTAAAGACGCAATCTCCGCTTGGTATTTGAAGATCTGGTGGATGCTCTCTTACTGGCAAGCCACTAAAATTTGCAGTGTTAATATTTTTTAGATTTTCATAAAACTTAACTTACCGTCCTGGATCCGGCTGGTAAATTATGATACGCTGTCCGTCATCCGATATGCGGCAGATATCATTTACCCGATCTTCGTTTAGCTGTGGTCGGAATTTTATAAACTCGAGGACCACTTCACCATTCCGCAAGATACTCATTATAGCATTCTTCGTCTTATACCGTGTCGGCAGCAATCTCTTGGTGTTTAATGGTGACACCGAAATACGCTCTTCTTTAGGTGCTGGTCGGGAATTTTGTCCTATGAGCATGTCCAATCGAAACGGTGGTACCTTAGCTGTTCCAGGCCAGTTTTGCTCTGTCAAACCAGTCGAAGTTGGTGGAAATATGACAGGCTGCTCATAAGCGGGTCGAATTTGATCCTTTTTAAACCCTTCTTGTATTTGGGGAAGCACTTGCTGTGGGACCGAGTTGTCTACAGAACGAATGCCCTGGGAGTTTCTGGAGTCACCTTAAAAAATGGGACTAAATAAAAAACCTATAAAGAACACAATTTTCTTAATGCTTACTGCTCGCAAATGTAATTATTCCACTGTCACCGCTTTCCAAACTCTGGCTGAAAACATTCAACGCTCCCGGCGCGGAGTATCCAGCTTTTGAGCCACAATCCAATCTTTTCAGCATAAAAGGATGGCACAAGACCGCCTCCAGGGTAATTCTTTCGTGTGGAAGCTTCTTGAGCAACTTGTTTATCAAGTCCTGCGCCTCATAGGACAAATGGGATGGCATAAAATACTCGGACATGACCACCTTGTTAAGCGTGGACTGCACGGCGTCTGTTTCAAAGGGAGGCCGCCCCACCAGCAGGGTGTACAACATGCATCCGACACTCCAAACATCCGCCGGCAGTCCGTGAGACACCCGTGAAACCACCTCAGGAGATATATAATTAGGTGTCCCACACATTGTCATATGCCGCTCATCCGGTCGCTTTAACTGAGTGGCCAGTCCGAAATCGGCTATCTTCACGTGCATTTCTTTGCTAAGCAGTAGATTGGATAGCGAGATATCGCGGTGCATTATATTGTGCGAATGCAAGTACAGAAGACCAGCAACCACCTGCCTTAAAATGGAGGCAGCTTCTGCCTCTGTAAACGGCCTGGCTAAGTGGTTCATGTAGCGGTGAAGTTCTCCGTTGTGCGCTAACTCAAGTACCAAGTACACATAGTTTGCGTCCTGAAAGAAAGTGTACAGCTGGAGAACAGAAGGATGCTTTAGACGGGAATGAATTTCCACTTCCTGGCGAACGCGACTGGCAAGTCCTGTGCCCTGTATTAATTTCTTATCGATCTAAAGACGAATGATTGATTAAAATAAGAATTGTCAATTGAAAAGTAGCCCTTACCATCTTAATGGCCACATCCTGGTGAGTGTGCAGGCATCGCGCCTTATAAACACTCGCAAATCCTCCCTTTCCCAACAAGTGCTGTACCTCATAATCCTGCAAAAGCAGTTATCGCTTAAAAATTCCGTCACAAATAGAAATTCCGGTGCACTCACCTCAATTGATTCTCCAAATGCCCGATTGGATAACATAGTTTATTTTGTTCTTAAAGCCACTTGAAAGTTATTATTATTATTAATCAACCAAAGCCATGTAAACAAACAAGCCAAAAAAAAATTTGAAAGGGAACGCCACCGTTAGTGTTGAAAAATTAAAAACATTTTTAAGAAGCTAATTTACCAACACAAACAAGGGTTGCATTTTCTATCGATATTTTAAACCGCGAATTGAATTTGAACTCTTTAACAATGAGGTCATTGCTTGTTTCAGAATTAGAAATTAAAAGTATATTGACATATATTAAACTCATTTGAAAATCATTTAACATTGAAAATAATTTATTTTAATTTTCTCCCCATATATTTATTTTAAACACAGCGCGTTCACACTGCCTTGAAAGGAAGTGCAGCCCTGGTAGATTAATCGCTAAGAATATTGCCAGCCATTGAAAATGCAGAAAATCATGGCGAAACTATTCTGATGGTTTTTCTGCCAAAACAATGCCTAATGAGACATGTAATTTGCATTTGAACAATCTTTCTTATATTTGATCCAACTATTAAAAGATCTAATGTAATTCTCGCGTAAAGAATTAAATTCGAAAGCGTAAACAACGTCGGAATACGAGTCCGCGACAGCCGTGTTATTTAACAATTTTTGGAGCTTCGGCGAGTGTGTCCGCCGGCAGCTGAAACACTGAATCGCAGTATCGGCCAGTTACAGCGAGTTTAAACTTTCAAAAGAGTAGTGTTTGCATAATTTACAGCAAAAAAAAAAAACTGGTAAGTACGAAGAAAAGAAAAATAAAATGACCCACATCCATACTTACATTTGTACGTATGTTGGTGCGTCGGTGTATGTCTCATGCACTTAGGCACGCACACAACGTTGTAATCGCACATACGTCAGCGACAAGCAACAGTGTAAAAACAGTGCTGGAAAATATCCTAAGCCTTAACAAAATTTGAAAATAAAACTTGGGAATCGCTATAAAAGCAATTTTAACATCAGGTTTTATTTTCAGTTTTTAAGACATTTCTCTAACGCAATATAAGCGTTTCATTTAATTTACTGCAGGTGAGAAACAATGTCTAATAACCTAGCGAAATTGTATATAATTTTGAGATTTGTTTATATAAAATCCAAAGTGAATACAAAAATGTGTTTTTGTTTTGCCAAATCTCTTTAGTGTGACCTCCGATATTCATCACCAAAACGTCAGTGGCAATCAATACGCGTTCTTCCGCTATTCACCACACTCGATGATTGGGCACACTTGTCACTTCATTATAACCTTAAAATGACAAGTTATAAATTTTTTTTATGTTAATTTTAGTGGAAACCGAACACTAAATCGTTTTTTAGGAGCAGTGCAGTGAAGTGTCGAACCTTTTCATTTGCCTGCGCGACTGTGGCGCTGTGGATTAGCACATATCTTCTCGATAATCATGTAAAGAAAACGTCACACGAATATGTGCTTGTGCAGAGAGCCAGCGATGTAAATAAAATTGGAGCTGCTCCCGAGAAATCTTACCGCAAAGCAATAAAAACTTTGATGTCTGAGTGTTACTTGCCGACCGAGTATCTATAGCGATCCAAACAACGAAATCCCAGCATAACCCATAGAGAACTGAAGTAGGTGTCTGCGGATCTAGCGAGTGTTCTTATCCCGACCGTCGAGACGCTACGATGCATGCATCCTCCGCCGCGGGGACCGCACTTGTGGAGTACTCGGACGTCAGCTCGGAGGACTTCTCTGACCAGGAGACTGGCGACTTGGAAACAGACGCCGGCAAGGGGGTCGGAAACATTAAAAAACCAAAGCCAGCTGGTGATAATCAGTTTCCCAAAGGTCGTCTTGGTGTCAAGCCCGATAAGGAGGGCTATGATAACTATAGGTAAGAACACGAACAAACCAACTAAGGTGAATGCCGTAACACCTGTTTCTTACAGGAGTAGACGGGCAGAAGACTCTATCGATCCTGCTGCGGCCGGATCGAGGCAAACTTCGAGCAGCGAGGCCACCAACCCGCGGGAGGATCCCTCTCAGACATCCAACTCGAAGGACGAGTTGTGGGGCAGGGATATCTACATGTACAGCGACTCCATCGACACCGACGAAATTGAGGCGGAGATGAAGCGGCAAAAGCGTAAAAAACAAAAGAAGGACAAGCACAAACACAAGTCCAAGAAGAAGTCTAAGAAGCGCAAGAAGAAGCGGGCCAAGTCGTACTCCAGCATCGATTCAATGTCGGACAATGACATCAATGCCTTATTGGACCGGCGTTACACCCCGCCGACGGCTCCTAACAAGAGCAACGAGCGAACGGTAAGTGCCGCGCCGTCCACCTTCACCCCACACAACCTCAAGGAAAGCAGTTCGCCGGCCACTCCGCCGCCGGCTCGTCGCCCGAATGCCAATAGCACCTACTACGGAGAGTCGTCCGTGGAGACAGCTAACACCGCGCTGGGTAGCAACCTACAGGTCACCGTAACGAACAAGCAAACAAGCAGCAGCCGGCACCGCTCACCTCCTCCTTCTACCCGCTCCAGTGGAAATGGGCCTAGATTTGGTAACTCACCGCGAACTCCTCCGCCCTCTCACTACACCTCGTCCAGCGGTGCCGGCGGTGGCAGTGGGTCGGTGGCGCGCGATTCACGCAGCTCCCGCTATGCAAATAGTCCCCACAAGGATGACTTAAATGCGCATCACCGCTCCAGTCACGATCACGGCTATCAGGCTCGTTACTCGGGAGTCGGTTCTAGCAGCCACGATGCCAGAAAGGTGAAACGCTTGTCACCGGGTAGGTTTGGCAAACATTTACATAAATGCATTTCACTTACTTTGGGACGTTGCAGAGTTGGACCGTTACAACCATCAGCCAAGCACGCCGCCGCACAAACGACGGAAGTTTAGCGATGGCAGGGATGTGAGTCTCGGAAGCTTCGAGCATAGCAGACACCACTCTGGCAAATACGAACGGTACAGCAGGGATCGATATTCCAGAAGGTCATCAAGGTAAAATTCATCATTCCATTAAAATAATAGCCCCAATCAGGCAATATCGAAAAATTGTCGAAAGTCCTAGATGTCATAAAGATGATAATAACTTTGAGCTTATTTTAAATGAATTTGTTTTATGCTATAAAATTTGGTAATGCAATTTTTTAACTCTTAAAGAAGTCCCAGTGTGCAACACTCGCGAAGTCGACAATCTCCCATCGGTGGCCTCTCGTCCAGTGGAGCGGGTTCGAATGCGTTCCGTCATGGCAGTAGTCACAGACACAAGTACGGAACTACTGCTAGTTCGCCGTCTTCCCACACGACGAGGTCCTCTAAGCGCGCTTCCGGAGCTGGGACCTCTGGTGATCGCTACTCGAGGTCGCCCAGGACAAGTTCGCGCTACTTGGACGCTTCACCACCGTCGCCAGTCGCAGCTTCCAGCTCGCATCACCATCACCATCGTCGCTCGCCAAAGATGCGCCAGAGGACCAGAGCAGGCAGCCGCCGCCGTTCGCCCAGTTCGCCCAGCAGCGGCAGCTCCGCTTCTCGCAGTCGATCGCCTACGTCGAGAGATCTTAAACACAAGCGCGAAGAGTATATCAAAAAGATAAGCGAGACAAGTCTGTTTGCCGAGCTTGTTAAGGACCGTCACAAAAGACAGAAGGCGCTTAAGGAAATCATAGAGCGACAGGAAGAGAACAGCAACAGCAATAGCAACAGCAATGGTGCTTTGACCATCAACGACAACAGTTCCTCGGTGGATGGCAATACTCCCAACACGGGTGACTGTCGATCTGGTCCAGGAAGTGGAACACCCGCAGCGGTGTCGACGACTTCTAACGGGCTTGAAGTGTTGGCCAACAAACCAGATCTGGACCTCAACAACATTCCCATGCCAAACAAGGAGAACGAAACTCTGGTTTCGAACCCAGGTCCTAGCGCCGATGTTCCGGACAGTACCACCCCGTCAAAGCAACCATTGTTAGTGACACCCTTCTCGGCCAGTAAGAGCAACCTGAAACCGAAGAGTCTGACCTCTTTGCCGCTGCCTCCTGGGATGAACGCTCTCGATCTGGTCAACGCAAGATCTCCTTCACCTGCGAAGAAAAAAGAATCGGATGAGAAAAACGTCAATTCCAGCGTCAGCGCCAACAAGAGCGTGCTTAATCTTCCCATGCCGCCAGTGATTCCTGGCAGTGAGGAACTCAGCGGCGACGACGATGTCATTGACAGTCCTGAAGACTTTGATGCCCCACCCGGTACAAATTTACACAGCCAAACTGCTGGGCAAGGAGCCCGTCGCCGCCCAGTGATACTTAATCGACGAGATTCGCGAAACAACGTTCGCGACTGGGGTGAGCGGTGTGTGGATGTCTTCGAAATGATTGCCCAAATAGGAGAAGGAACTTACGGACAGGTGAGAATTAGGTCAACTGAATGTACGTTAGGCAATGTTTAATCACAAAAATGTATTTTTGCAGGTTTACAAGGCGCGGGATCATCACACCAACGACATGGTGGCGCTGAAAAAGGTTCGGCTTGAGCATGAAAAGGAAGGTTTTCCTATTACAGCCGTGCGTGAAATCAAAATACTGAGGCAACTGAACCATCGCAATATTGTCAACCTGCATGAAATTGTGACGGACAAGCAGGACGCAGTGGAGTTTCGCAAGGACAAAGGATCGTTCTACCTGGTGTTCGAGTACATGGATCATGACTTGATGGGCCTACTTGAGTCGGGCATGGTCGACTTTAATGAGGAGAACAACGCTAGCATTATGAAGCAGCTTCTGGATGGTCTTAACTACTGCCACAAAAAGAATTTTCTGCATCGGGACATCAAGTGTTCCAACATTTTAATGAATAACAGGTGGGAAAATATAACACTTGGGTTGGTATGGATGTGCTTACACGGTTGGAACGAATTATTTTATCTGAATTGTTTCCCTTTTTAGATGAAATTATCCTTTATTTATTTTTTTTATTTTCCGGAAAAAAAACAGTGTTACAAGATTACTTTCTATATTTAAGACTATATTTTTGTACATCGAATTTAAAATAATTGTGTGCTTCTTGCAGAGGAAAAGTAAAACTGGCGGACTTTGGACTGGCACGACTTTACAATGCCGACGATCGGGAACGACCCTACACGAACAAAGTAATCACCCTTTGGTATCGGCCGCCAGAACTGTTGCTGGGTGAGGAGCGGTATGGACCGTCAATAGACGTTTGGTCCTGCGGATGCATCCTAGGAGAACTCTTTGTAAAGCGGCCACTATTCCAAGCGAATGCAGAGATGGCTCAGCTTGAAACCATATCGAAGATCTGCGGATCACCGGTTCCCGCCGTGTGGCCGAATGTAATTAAGCTGCCTCTATTCCACACACTCAAGCAAAAGAAAACACATCGTCGTCGCCTGAGGGAAGATTTCGAGTTTATGCCGGCGCCTGCACTAGATCTGCTAGACAAAATGCTGGACTTGGATCCTGACAAGCGTATAACAGCCGAGGATGCACTCCGGTCGCCATGGCTCAAAAAAATCAACCCTGACGAGTAAGTATATTAAAACCAAAATTAATCCTCTTTGGGTGTCGTAAACAGCAAATTGATCTTTTATGTTTTTAAAGGATGCCGACGCCACAATTGCCAACGTGGCAGGACTGCCATGAGCTTTGGAGTAAGAAGCGCCGTCGGCAGCTGCGGGAACAACAGGAGTCGCTGCCTCCAACAGTGATAGCCTCGACCAAATACCAACAACATGGCGCTGCCATGGTGGGGGACGCTTAGCATTTGCTGTATGCTTCGCTTTTCAACGTGAGAGAGAGCTACAAACAGCGTGATGGCGAGGAGTGTTCCTGGTGGCACTAGTATCTAGCTGTATCTAGCAATTAACGAAACCAATAATAGGAATCTGTTATCCTCGGACAGGGCCAGAATAGGTTATCTTGGACTTGCTCTAGCCGCTGTCGAGTTTAAGACAGCTTCAATAAAGTCTTGGCTACATTTACAAATTGCTTTATATGTTGGGCAAATTTAATCAATCACTGTATAAACGAAGTGTTATATATAATCGCAGGTACATTTAAAAAAAAAGGTTTTATTTTTCAATTTAATTTACGTTGCTATTAGTGTTTTTAATTTTGGAATCGAAATTTGGCAATCTGAAAACATCGTGCATGAACGGGAATGTAGCGTTCACGTATCGAAATTGTAAACTAGTAACTCAATACGTATTCGTATCATTCAAGGCGATTTGTAAGTGACCGATCATGTTTCAAGCTACGAAATAAGCGTATACAGTGAAGCAGTTAAAGATTAGCATTTTAATATAAACAAATTGTTAAATAATAATAGACTACAGATAGTGTATTGAATAGTTTAGTTTATTGTTAAGTATTTAAGAAAAGTGTAAATTATAAATGAATTTATCAAGTAAATATGTACTAATTTACCCATACGCAGGCATTTGATAAGTTTGTATTTTAATATGATGTTTGAGCGCACCCAACATCAGAACTAGCTGCATGACGTGCGTTAGACTGAAATCGATCCACTCCAAATTACATATGTAAATAGGTTGAATATTTTTACTATAACACAGACGATCAACAAAAGTAACATCTCAAAATCAAACCGACTAAATTAATTTTTGGTACACCAAACGCTATATAAATAAAAGTAAACAATAAAAAGTGTATTTTAAATCTATTGGTAAAGCGGTAAACACATCTAGTTATAATTGAATTTGGTTGGGGAGTACGGGTATTTCGATACCACAATTTTTTGTTTGCCTTTGATCACCTTTTTTTTTTTAATTTTAGCATGCATTTTAGCAATAAAAACAAGTTAAAATAAATCGATCCATTTAAAACGACGTTAAAAATGTTTAAATTTTGTACGCTAAATATCTGTTTTTCGTTATTTTTGTAAGTTCCGGCCAATTAAAAATGTAAGTTTTAAACATTTAAACACATATTTTATACAATATTAGCCGACAATTTAAGTAGGTCAGTTTTTGTGTTCACCAAAAAACAGAAACACCGTATAGGTATAAAAAAGGTATCAACTTATGAAATAAAAAATTGTTTACATTTTTAAAGTTTAAAGTTGTCGAGCGAGATTTTCAAAATTAATTACAAAAAAAAATTGAATTCAACTCGTTGACAACAGAGAATATTGTTAAACCAGTCCAATACAGATTTTTTTTTAAATAAAATTAAAAATTGTTACCCGAAGGTATTTTTATATTTAAAGAGAAGTAACGGGCAAACGGTCACTCAAATAAAAGAAGTTAGTATTTTCGAAAGCCTAAAAAACTGTTCAGTATTTTTGAGTGGTCCCACCAGTGCAGCACATATATAAGTGCGTTTCATCACATCGTCAGATTTGTATGTATATTGTGCCAGTTCGCCTTTGTTTTTTAATTGCAAACCCGTCAATTAAGAAATTGTTTAACGGTGTGTGTCCAGCTACTTTTGTAATTCGGAATATTCTTGCGGACGGGTTATTTTAGAAGCATAAACAATGGGAAAGGTTGCATCTGTAGGAGCGTGTATGTTTGTATACCTACACGAATATTACGATGCACTTGGAAGGCCAAAAGAGAAATGCAGTGGAAAGTGAAGTGTATTAGCGAACCTTCGTCAGCTGAGTTTGGATGCATAAATTGTTAACAGTGTTTAAATGATTAAAATCCTTGGAGACAAATCTTGGTCCAGACATTTTGAAAAGAAAGTTAGGAAAACAATCTGTGCGTGTATGTAAATAGATATATTTCTCATTCCTTTGTACCGAAAACAAAGCAAAGTTGATTAATACGAGCTCACACAGTCGGGGGCGGAAGTATAGGCTAATTCCGATTCTTCTATTTTTCTATAAAGGCACAAAATATCTAATCTTAATTCTTTTAATGTTATCTTTTACGTCGTAGTAAATTTTTTTGGTGATCTTAAAATTGGTTCAGTTAATGTTGTTTTTCTGTTTTGAGGTTAATTATATTTTTGGTTCTTAATTTTAGTATGTCTACATGCGTGTTCTAATATTTTTGTTTTAGTAAGTGCTAATTTTAATTGCGTTTTATCCACAATAAAGCCCATTGCTTAAGGTCCACGATATGGGGGTGCATTTTTTCTAGTGGTGTGGGTGAACCAGTTTAGTTTAGGAGTCGAAAATTCAGAGCAAACAAACAAAAACACAAGACGCATAAGCGAATAAAAATGCAATCACCTTTGATAGAGTCACACAACTCTGTTTCCTTAAAATCATTTCAAGTGAATTTTAGTTAGTTCTTGCTAATGTGGAAAATATAAACCTACCACTCTGGGAAGAATTCAATATCTTTGTCCACGACTGTGCGGCCAACATCTAGGGATGTACATATGTAAGTAAAATGTACGTACATTGTACATACATATGTACCTAGAAATGTAAATGTGTAGGAAGTAAAATAACCGAATGCAAATACCCTTGAATTGCGTATTGATTGGTTGCACTTTGAAAGGTTGTATTGATGACATCGGGGTGAATAGTTAGTTGGTAAATTTTACAAGGTAGTTGAAACTTAGCCTTTATAGGCAAAGATAACTCAAAGAAAAAACAACAACTACTCTTGGGTATAGTAAGTAGTATGCGATATTCAGGTCCCCAAACAATAGGCAGATTACGAACTGCACTCCTACAAAGTAGCCGGAATATAATGCACTATACCTTCTCCGTAGGTCGTAGATCGAATTGCTATCAGCGAGTGCTATCAACTGCCAGAAACGAAGCCACAATCACGCTGACACCCCTTGTGAAATCGTTGAATCAGGCCGCCTAGGCCCATCAGGCAGCGGTCCAGGTTGGAGGCACTTGGTCGGGATCGCGATCAAGATTCGCATCCGGGAGAGAGGCTGAGCCGGAGGCAGAGCCTGCTTGTTGCTGCCGCGTTCGCAAAGGACTCAAAATTGATAGAAACAACAAAAAGGCTGCTGCAACTGGTGCCTCTTCCGAGGACCAGCCGCCGCGCAAAAAGGGTCGTCGCTCAGGAGGCTCCTCATCCTCATCCGCCGTTTCCGTCGCCGCCGCCGCTGGATTAATAGATGCGGCATCTACGTCACGGGCGGCCCAGCAGTTACAGCACGAATTGAACCCCTCTTCTAGCACTGAAGCATCGGAAATTGCCAGCAGAGGGCAGCGAAAATCGACCGACAGCAACAAGAGACTACGTGACCATAGCATAAATACACACGGCTCCGAGGCAACCAGTGCTGGACCGACAATGCAGAGCACAACTTCCACTTCGAGCGGCTCCTGCTCCAGACCTTCGGAGGGTTCCGCCCTGAACTCCGGCGGTAGTGCCGAGAACGTCGCCCGCGAGGGCGGCGGCAGTGGGGAGGACAGCGTCGGGATCGGGGACGAGAACCCTTCAGGCAGCAGCGCTGCCACCAACGGACACGACTCCAAGCACAATGGGTTCGTTGTCAATAACAACGGCAGCAGTAGTCGCATTGTCGACGGTGAAAACAATAGGGAAAATACCAGCTACAGCGGCGTCCAGCTCGACAAGTCCAACCAGGAGATCATCCGACTAATCGGACAGTATCTGCACGACGTGGGCCTCGACAAGTCGGTCCAGACGCTCATGGTTGAGTCTGGGTGCTACTTGGAACACCCCTCGGCCACCAAGTTTAGGGAACATGTCCTAATGGGCGACTGGTCTAAGGCAGATTCAGATCTAAAGGTAATAAATTGGTAGATCGAGAGTATGACCATGAATATATTTTGATTTGTAGAGATTTTAATAAATACATTGTTAGAAATGTGTTGATATTTTTAAGACAACTGATAAAGAAATCCAAATATTCATTACTCGTAACACCATTTCACAGTAAAGAGACGTTCAGCTATGGCATTAAGTTTTCGTTAATTGATCAGTGAAGTGCTTGCAGTAAAATTAAGATGCTGCTAAAAATAAAATACCAAAAATTAGGCATTTAGTCTAATTATAGTTTAAGCTTTGAAATAAGATCATAAAATCTCTTTAAAAGATTATTATTGTTAATTTCCCATGTCATTTCCCATGTTTTTTTGTTTCTGCAGGACTTAGAGCCATTAATCGATAATGGAAAATTAGCAACGATCACCGAAATGAAGTTCATATTGCTGGAACAAAAGTATTTAGAGCATTTGGATGACGGCAATCCCTTAGACGCCCTGCACGTCCTTCGCAGCGAGCTGACGCCGCTGCAGCACAATATATCGCGCGTGCACCAGCTGTCCTCGTACATGATGTGTTCCACCAACCAAGACCTGTACCAGCGCGCCAAGTGGGAGGGCAAGGGCATCCTCTCTCGGGCCCTGGTCATGGAGCGCCTGCACACATTTATGCCACCGTCGGTGATGATGTCTCCGCGGCGTCTGCGCACTCTGCTGCAGCAGGCTGTAGAGCTGCAGAGCCAACACTGCCCCTGTCACGACATGGCGTGGGAGACGAATCTGGAGACGGTCTCGCTGCTCACCGACCATTGCTGCACTACGGATGGCTTTCCCATGCAGACCATCCAGATCTTAACCGACCACTGCGACGAGGTCTGGTTCTGCAAGTTCTCGCCCGACGGCCTCAAGCTGGCCACGGGTAGCAAGGACTCGACTGTGATTATATGGGATGTTGACCCGTACAAGTTGACTCTTAAGCACCGGCGCGTCCTCGACGGCCAGGCCCAGCTTAGCGTGAGCTTCGTCAGCTGGAGTCCTGACTCCAAGCTCATCCTCGTCGGAGGCACCGAGGACTCGCATGAACTTTATATCTGGAATGTGGACGACGGCAAGCTAGTGGTTAAGTTCTCACAGTCACTAGAGGACAGCTTGGCCTGCGGAGCTTTCAGCCGCGATGGCGCTCGCTTCGTCTGCGGTGGTCAAAAGGGTCAGCTTTACTTGTGCGACCTCAACGGCACAATCGTCGACTCTTGGGAGGGAGTTCGCGTCAACAGCATAGCCTTTCGGGCAGACAACAAAACAATCTTAGCGGCCGATAATCACTACCGTATCAGAGGGTAAGCAGGATTGCAGTTTGCCTAATCTAAATTGGTCCATATTTGCTGCCTTTCAAAACTAACATTCAAAGGCTTTCATAAAATAAATACGTAAATACTTGAATATTTAATTTGTCTAAAATAGCTGATTCTACAATCAACATGTACTCGCATACCAGTCTTAAATTCTATTAAATGTTGTGCTAAGTTTAACTTTGAATTGAATGTATAATTACAAATTATTTTATGACCACCTTAAATAATGGTTACAACTATACTTACCCGAAGCCACGCTCCAAAGTTCAAAATTAATTTTTAGTGTAGTTTTTTTTAATAATTACAACCCATATCTTTTAAAATTTCTTTAAGGTACAACTTTGATAGCCCGCGCTCAGACTTTGATATTTTGAGGGAGCCGCATCCCATTATGACCTTCAGCATCAACTCCGCCGACCGCCTGGCTCTGCTTAACGTCTCCAACCAAGGCCTTCATCTCTGGGACATCGAGGACAAGTGTCTGGTGCGTCGTTTTCAGGGAATTCGGCAGAGCAACTTCGCAATTCACTCCTGCTTCGGAGGCGTTAACGAGAGTTTTGTGGCGAGCGGCAGCGAGGACAAGGTCGTTTATATTTGGCACATCAAGCGCGAGGAGCCGTTGGCCAAGCTGGCCGGGCACACCAAGACGGTGAACTGCGTGTCCTGGAACCCCGTGTACCCGTCCCTGCTGGCCAGCGCCAGTGATGACGCTACCGTGAGAATCTGGGGTCCCAAGCCCAACGGCAGTAGTGCTACGACTGAGAGCGACGATTGCTCTTCTAGCTCGTCTTCGTCCTCCTGGAATATGACTTAAGATCGCGTGCCGCAGCAAATAAGTGTTCGTGGGGAAGATATTGGATGCTGATTTAGTTCTAGTGCGCCCTAATTTCGATATATATGCAGAATGCGTCCTGCTCTGATTGCGCGTCGGTGTCGTCGTTGCTACAAACTGCCATTACAACAATATGTATGAGCAGCATGACTTACGATTAGCATTAATTACTTAAGTACATTCATACGAAAGGAGAGGCATAACATCATATCTACTATGCTATCACAAGAAATCGATTCGTTCTCAGATTTCTTTTCATGTATGGCAATGCTAAAAAATATTTTTTGTCTTTTATAGCGATACTTCTCGACCTTTTTGTGTTTATCAACAGCGAAATCGACCTGATTGATTTTAAAATTATTGCCATTTGATTTGTTCTATGCAGTTTCCAACATTTAGTATGTAACACGATTTGACGTATTTCATAACCAACAGACAAAATAAAAATAGTTCTATATATGTTTTTAAATTGTCGATGTTTTCCTTTCGCTTATCATGGGTCTTAAGCAATTAATAAAATTTGAGTGACAATTGTGAAAGCTTTTTAATTGTAGATTTGTTGTTTTCAATTAATTGAGAATAAAGGTGTATTTGGTGTTTCTTCAACAACTTAATTTAAGTTGACGGAGATCAACGGGAGTGTTTACCCAGTAATCGACTTCAAGTAATTTGTAATGCGATTACCCGCCCAAAAGAATTTTCCGAATAGTAAACTATTTTTCCTGTGATTAAGTTACTAGATTTGGCAATACGACAAGACAGTTAGTTTTCAGCCTTTTTTATATCATTGCTTGAACAATGCTCTTACGTTATATGTGCTTCAAAAACCAGTGAAACAAACTGTCTAGCTGATTCCTTGAAGGCAAAAGCAAGCACTACCAATGTGAGGGCCCACCATCGAAGGCGCTTTCTAGTTGCGCCGACTGCCTCGTAAGCAAGCACCAAGGAGCACAGGTGATGGCCCATGACCAGGACATGATGTAAACTCCTTCCAAAAACGGTGGTGTTATTGCGCCACACCAAAATGGGCAATAGGAAGAACTTGGAAAAATTTGAGATCAGCACCACCTTAAAAATAGTTAAGGTGAAACTACGAAAACCCATTTTTTGAATCCAATCAATGCTCAGGGTGGCTGTTATTATCCCCAGCAATAACGTCATTAAAAGGTAGTCTAAAAAAAATATATTTTTTAATTCTTAGCTTTTCTTGGAGAAAGAGTTCAATACCTCCAATGTTTTGAAGCGTATAAGTGTAGAACCCCTTTTCGTGGACATGTAATGAGTCTGGGGGATTCGGATGCTTTTGGCGACAAAGTGCAAAGGATTCCAGAAGAAGCACCACCAGCGATATTTTCCAATATAACTGAAAAACAAAATACTTTACAATTTTAGATGAAAATCTACACCAAATTTACTAACCTTAAAATTTCCATTGTAAATTATGTGGCGGAAAGCGCACGAGTCTAACAGAAGTGCATCTATTAATATTATAAACTCCTCAAATTCAATGTATTTGTCAGTGGTTTGGTGACATTTATCCTGCGAACATAAAGTTATTGAATCAAAACATGTTATCGGCAATAAACATGTTGCAACTATTTATATACTCTTACGCATTGGGTTGTTTTAAGGGTGTTGCTGTATTTCTTAAACAACTCCTTGACCCTGTGGCCGCAATTAACACAAACGAAGCTTTTTTCATTCATTTTAGGTTGGCTCTAAAACAACTTTGTTCTCAAGCCGAGTAAACAAACATTTTTGTTCATCAGCTGATTAGTACTACCGTTTCTAGAAAACTAAATATTACAGGCAATGCACTTTTTATACCCTTGCAGAGCAAAAGGGTTTTCTAATTTCAGTTAGAAGTTTGAAACGCAGTGAAGGAGTCACCTCAGACCCCATAAAGTATATATATTCTTGATCAACATCACGAGCAGAATCGGAATACATCTGTCCGTCTGTCCTCCTGTCTGTTTCTACGCAAATTAGTCACTCAGTTTTAAAGCTATCTTGCTGAAACTTACCCAAAAGGTGTGTAGTTATTGCACGCAGTATATAAGTCGGAAGGGGCCGGATCGGCCGACTATATCGGATAGCTGCCATACGAGAGAATGAAATAAAAAATTCTCACGCCGTTGCTTTTGGTCAGATCGACTTGATTACTTCAAGATGGCGTTTTCTAATTACTATTGAATTTCGGATAAAATTTGATCAAAATCAGATAACTCTATCATATAGCTACCATAGGAGAGATCGAAAAATATATATAGAATTAATGGAAATAAATTGATAGCATCGTTGTTTTTAATCCCAAGAGCATGATTTTTTGAATATCAACAGCCCTTAAACTGAGAAAAAAGTTTCAGAAAAATCGGACAACTATATCTTATAGCTGCCATTGGAAAGATAAAAAAATCTATATAGAAATAACGGAAATAAAATAATAACATCGAAATATAGAGTTTTTTAAAGACTCTCGAAGACTCGGACAACTATATCATATAGCTGTCATATGAACAATAGTCAAAAATATGGAAAATTAATACAAAAATCGCCATAGCATCGTTGTTGTTTAGCCTTTATGCATTTTGTTCGACATATTTGATGACTGCAAGGGGATATAGGCAAATAGGTGGGATCACATTTCGAAGACATTGGCTTTGCCCCTCTGTATTCAGATGAACAAAAAAAGACTAGAAAATACCAGAAACTTTGTTTCGAAATTAAAATTAACTCCTAAAATGCACTCCGGTGAAAGTTCGCCTGACCGCCGCAAAAAATTTTAAAAATGTAATATTTTTAAGTAAGTGTGATTGTGCAAAACCCCAATAATCTTGCAAAGTTAACAGCAGCAGTTTAAAGGCTACTTTATTTAAAATTAAGCAATTTAAGTTGCATATACAAATTATTTTCATTTAAATTCATTTGTACACTAACAGTCTCGTCATTTCCAAGATACTTGAGAATGTCCTGTACTACTGTTTCGGTATATTCCCTTAAGTAATTTTAGGCTCCCTTCAGGGGCGGACGCAGGAAAATAATGAATGTCTTAATTAAATTGCTTTCAAGAAAATCAAATTTATTTTGTATTTAGAGAAACCATGCAGCTATGTAAAATAATGCTTTTTTTACTTGCTGCCTCAGGTTATGCGGACGAAAGTTCGTGCGACAGGCGTTGAAATAGTATTATCGAGAAAGAATTTAAAGGTTTGATCTCGGCTGTTGGCCACAGGCAAGTTTAGCAGCCATGATTTTTCGACATAGGCTTTAGCTTCCGGATTAATGTCGTGGATTACGAGAGACATACTGCAGTTAGAAAAGTAAACAAGATGTGTAATGTAGGCTATTTTCTATGTAAGTGAACGTTTCCAAAACAATCGTTTTTAAAACGGTTGCCAACCCAGTCACTTCTTTCACTTGCTTAGTCTATATCGGTTTTAAAACTTAACTTCGCGGGGCCAGCGGCAATAACTGACTTTCTAAGTTAACTGACTCAGGTTTGGTTTCTTTGTGTATTTTTTATTCCTGCGCTTTATTATCAACATAATGTTACAATTTTTTTTTTTAATCTAGTCTAGGTACAACTTCAGCCAGATTGGTTATTTTTGTTTTGAACAATTTTTAAAATGGGAAATGGCACAATTAGTATTCGACTCAAGGCTTTTGTTTTAAATCCGTTTTAAAAGGTTTTTATAATTTATTGGAACGGACCCCGACTTTTATCTTACAAGTTCTAGTTAGTAACCTCAAAATGTATTTTGATTTACAAGTTTATTCCGTTAAATTTTCTTTTTGTAATCCAGTTAAAAATTAAGGAAAAATATCACTTCTGGATAGGTTTTACTATTTAAGAAATCTTATTGGACAAACATATTGTTTCACAAAAAATTAATATTAAACTTAACTAAAATATGCTTCCTCCGCCCGCTCATTTATAAGGAAAAACTATCCTAGACGGTTATACAGAGTGTCGTATCTTTTGGTACATTACATCGAAATTAAATAAGAACAGAACAGGCATTACGTTGCAGCTTTTGCGATAGCGTGTATTTGTTAAACTGATTGGTTCATTCATGTCATACTTTAACGATCATATGCATGATTTTAAATCTATGTACTTATTACCAATTATTCATAAGATGTTTTCTGTTTGTCAACTATGAATCACATACAAATCGCCATAGTCGATGCAATTATTGAGATTTTCAAGTAATTGTTACATTGATTTTATGTTTTAGTTTTTCAACATGTTGAGTTTATATGTTAATTCCCTTAGTTTATTTAATTGTTGCTTTTCTAATCGACAACATATTACATTTTTATAAGTAAAAACAAAACATTTGAAAGAGGTACATTTCGAAAGTATAAACTTAAAATCAATATACAATATATTTGTTATACATATAATATTTGTAGTGGTTTGGGTAGTACGCTTGTGGCCAACGATTACAAATATACTGAGTTATAGGTATGCAACAGTAATACTCTAACACAAAGGCTCATAACAATAACAAAATTTTTTATTTATCGACGAATGGGAACAGTTTCTGCTCGGTTATGATACACTAACTCATTCGAGGTTTGGATGTCTGCAGTTATGCAGAATGACGTGCTTATATGGTTTGCTATGTGCGTTTCACTTAGTTGTAGTTTTTAAACTGCAAAAAATGAGTAGAAAACCGATTAAGAATGTATTTTTATCTTTACAATTCAGTCTGAAAGGCATAGTTTACACATTTTATATCACCTATTTTGAAAATGTACTGTTTACTGCTTGTTTACCTCTAAAATTGTGAATTTTTTTAATTGTGTAATGATATATCAATATTCCTTTAGGTTTAAGTTGAACCACTTGTTAATGGTATTAAGTATAATTTAATTTAATTTAATACAAGTACGGAAAAGTTGCTGTAAATTTCGTTGCATTAAGTGGAGAATAAATATTTATGTAACCTAAATTTGGTACCCAAATACATTTTTTTGTTTAATTTCGCATTCGATATTTGGTTCAGTATCATTTATATAGATCGTTTGTGTATTGATGACGATTTTCCGGGGATGTGTATCCAAATTAGTATGCTTTTGGGTTGTTGTTGCTTTATTGTTTTCTTCTGCTCCAGAAGCTTAGTCTTCATCCGAGTAATCGGAGCTTTCGCTTATTTCGCTTGATAATATTTCCAGCCAGTGATAATTGCGTTGATCTACATAGTCCCATAGATATATCTATAAAATTTTAATGTTAATAATAGTAGTCTTCTAAATGTTCAATCTTATATAATTAATTGTTGAAACAAATGGGGTTTTCTTATCCAATATCTGGTGATTTGGTACTTACATCAAGTAAATCGATGATTTCATTCTGGCTCTGTAACTTTCTGGTTCGCTTCGGCAGTCCCACATCGACTATATCTCCATTAGGCAGAGCGTGCTTGTAAAAACACTTGTTACCAAACGGACACTTGCCTTCGCCTTTCTTGAAGTATTTGCAGTCCTTGGCTTCTAAGGCAGCGCGGTAATCATTGAGCAGTTTGTCCTTTTCCTCCTTGGTTTCCACCCAAAACGCACTGGGACAGACAAAGTCCGAGCACACGCGGCATTCGGGGCAAGCTCTGCAAATGCACAGTAATTATAATAAATTCTATTCCAAATTAAATCTTGTTCAATAATCGAATGCATTTTTTTTCCCGCCGTTTTATCTTAAATCTAGATTATTTTGACTTTAATTAGGTTTTTTAGTTTTTCTTCTTGAATTGAAAAGGTGGAGGAGCACTCGTACACTCCTCCACTTTTTGGGCGCACATCTTAATTAAAGTATTAAAATATTTATAACTCGAAACCAACTCCACACATGCTAATCAAGCTAAATTTGTAATCCACTTACCGCGTAATTTTATGCTCAAACTGTTTAGCCTGGCGCCATGTGCGAATGCACTCTAAGCAGAATATGTGGTTGCAGTTGGGGAGGATACCAAAACGCTTTTCCCTGCCAGCCTTCTCCATGATCGTATCGAAGCAGATTCCGCACGTTTTGTCCTTGGACCTGGCGATGGCAAAAGACAGCTCCATGGCTTGTTCGTGCTGCTGCAAACACTCGCGGTTGTGCTTCTTGCGCTGAGCTTGGTCTGTTGGATGCAGGCAATGTTGGTCGCACATTTCGCACAGCTCCATGTGAATACGGTAGGGGCAGTGCTCGCCCCAGACGCAGGGACTTTCGTTCGGGCAAACCTCCTCCAGCGAAGCGGGATTCATGTCGGAGTAGTCGCCTTTTTTGTTTACAGATGATGGCCCACCCACTACTTCGGCCCACGAGGCCCCGGGCTGAAAGACGGCGTACGGTGCTTCAGGCTGTTCCCACCTCTCCAATTCTGAGCATACGGTGGCCTCATCCTCGCGATGTTCCTGGGCAGGATTCCGCTTTTGGCTAGGCACGAACACCGGTGCATTAGCCCAGTTCCTCTGCTGGCTGGAGGTGCTGGTGCTGGCACTATGGCTGCTGGTACTGGGCTTTGGAGGCACCTCGGTGGTAACTTGCTGCTCGCATTCGGGGCGACCAAGGGTCAGGTCGTGTGAGAAACGGCAGAGCTCCCCAAAGCGGCAGATTCCACGTACGTAGTAGCGACAAAGCGTCTGGCTCCGGCTAAGGACCATGCCGTTGATGGCTGGATCGGTGCTGGTGACGGCACTCATTTTGCTATGACAATTGCAAAAGGCTTTTACTTTCGAATCAGTGAACGATGACCTGAAAGTAAGAGCAAAGGGTTAGCGATTGGAAGAAAGTATGTGTACCAATCTCTTGCGTCTGCAGGGCGTCCGTGTTTTTACCCCCAGGTGCACATACCTACAGACACAACTGCGTACATACGAATTTATCGACTCGACTTTACCCCTAGGTGTCTTCCCAATTTTGCCATACTCGATTAAAGAAAACCCATAAAGCTCAGCAGTGTCGACCCCTGCATTACAATTATTCCCTAAGCATCCGCGAAATATGCATGATGTAGGTATGTACATGTGTATATAGACGTACATATGTGTGGCTCTGTGTTCTTCGGCGTCAAATGAAGGGAAATCATCGCATTATATATGCTTTACAATTTTACCTGCTGGCTCTGCGATGTTGCAATAACCTAAGATCTAAACAGTTTGAACGCCTAATAACTTACAATTTTTTACTTTGTCGTTTTATTCACAATTTTTCCTGCAGTGTGACCTAATCCATCAAAAGTTGAAATCACCAACAAAACACACTGTTAAAATTAGGAAAAGATTTAATTTTGATGGAAGTTGGAAGGAACTTAATGGAATCGAACGGAGATGGAAATAAAGGACAGTTATTATTAAATTTCGGAAATTTTCAGAAATAAATAATTATTTTTCCATGATTTCCATGATTTAAGTTGGCCCAAATCGTTGTTCCCTAATGTAATGACAACATTCTAATAAAAGCTGAAAACACCCCTATTATGGTTTTAATTACTGTGGTCGGGAGATAATGAAGCTTTCGCTTAATTACTTTTACTAATAAGGCATAGTTAGAGGGAATGATAGGTACCAATTATATTAGATAAAAGCATTTTTTTATATTTATAATACAATGAGAAAGTTAATTAAAATTTTTGTTTCGAATGTCTTTATTTTTAGTTTATTTAATAAGCATAATTTACAATTAATCATCTTCTCAACAGGTATACTAATTATAGGTATTCTATTGAAACTAGTCCTTCTCATTTCGACACAGTCAAAAGTTGGAAAAGGTTCCCAGTATAAAAACAACTCTTTTGAATAGCGCAAGTAAAATTTCAATAAGTGCGGAAAAATGAGTTTATTAAAACAATTTAATGGGAAAATACAGAGGTTAATTAAAAAAAGGGATAAGAGTTTTCTAGGGAATACATCGATGCAAGTGCTTAAATACGTTGTCAGTAATAAAGCCTTACCATGGTGGATAAAGCTATACTTTGCCTTAATTTTCGCTCTGGTCGTTTTTGTGGCCTTTAACTTGGCAGTTGGAATTTACAATAAATGGGACATAACGCCTGTCATTATTGGAAGTAAATAATCCTAGCTATTTTTTATACATATATCCAAATTTTGAATCCCATCCTGGTGTACATCTAATTACAGTTAGTTCTACATTGACTCCAATTAATAAAATACCGTTTCCGGCAATAACGGTATGTAACATGAATCAGGCTAAGAAATCGAAAGTAGAGCATTTGTTGCCGTAAGTACAATTTCGTTATTTTCCATTTGATTACTCATTATAATTTGTATCGATTTCAGAGGATCCCTGAAATTCGCAATGCTCCAAAAAACGTGCTATAGGGAAACAAACTACTCACAATATATGCATATTCAGCAAAGGAATGAATCCTTCCCGAATTTCATAATAGACGTTTCAGAGAAGTGTGCTGATCTAATTGTGTCCTGCACATTCCACCAGCAAAAAATACCTTGCACTGACATTTTCAGAGAAATATTTGTTGATGAAGGCTTGTGCTGTATATTTAACTTTTTGCATCCGTATTATTTATATAAGTTCAAGTAAGCTTTTTCTGTCTGTTTATTTTCTAACAAATAAATATTTTAAAATCATTTGTTTTAAAGGTCGCCATATATTCAGGACTACACTTCGTCGAAGAGGTTTGCAGATATCGCCGTTGATTGGGATCCAATTTCTGGTTATCCGCTGAGGTTACCCTCAAGTTATTATCCCCGACCCGGAGTGGGAGTTGGTTCGGCTATGGGTCTGCAAATTATTCTTAATGGTCATGTTGATGATTATTTTTGCTCTTCAACAAATGGACAAGGATTTAAGGTTGGTAAAATTTGTAAAAGGTTCGAACAGTTATTTAAAAAATCTCTTAAAGGTACTTTTATATAATCCGATAGACCAGCCACGCATGAAGGAGTCTGGACTACCAGTTATGATTGGGCATCAGACCAGTTTTCGCATTATTGCTAGAAGCTTTGAAGCACTTCCAAGTATAAGAAGTATTCACAAAAGCAAACGCCAATGCATTTTTAGTGATGAACAAGAGCTTCTTTTTTACCGTTATTTTTCGCGGCGAAATTGCGAATCTGAATGCGATTCCTTGTTTTTTCTAAGGCTTTGCAATTGTATTCCTTATTATTTACCACTCGTCTACCCGAACGCTACAGTATGCGATGTGTCTCACTTTCAGTGTTTGAATGGTGCAGAATCACAAATTTTTGACGTACAAAGTTCGCAGTGTAAAGAGCAGTGCCTAACCAGCTGCCACGATTTAATTTTTTTCCCCGATGCTTTCACGACTCCATTGAGCCAAAAAGAAGTTCGGGCTCAAAGTAGTTACTTAAATAATTTGTCAAGTGACTACATACGGAATAATTTGGCTGTAGTGAACTTCTTTCATACCGACAACTATTTTAGAAGCAGCGTTAGGACTTCGTATACGGGACCAACCGAATATATGGGTATGACTCTATAAATAAAATTTTTGTTTCGAAACACGGTTTTAACTTTATATATTTCACAGCTTTAACTGGCGGAATTATGAGTTTGATGATTGGGTTTAGTGTAATTTTTATTGCCGAGATAATATACATATTTTTGCTATTCTTAACACTGTTGCTTCTCATAATTTTCTGATTGAATAAGTCCTAACACGTTTATGCAAAACAAATTGACCAAAAGCTTAATAAATATATTAATATCTGAAAGTTTCCTAAGTTCTTAATCGCAAAAAAAATTGTGCTAAGTTAATTCGTATCGTAAATTGTAAAAACTGAACTATGTGTCTGTTATCCAACAAACAACAACAATAACCAACCAACCATAAAAAAATAAAACATTATAGACCAAAATTTTGGAAAACCTTAATCAATTTTTTTCAATTCAATGCCCTTGTTAATTACAGGGTCTTGCGATGTTTGCAAGGCGTTTCTGATTCGTGAATTTCACGTTCCTACCGGAATAGCTGGGATTATGAAAGATGTGAAACTCGGATTTCCACAAAGCACTTTTCAAAAACTGTCAATAAAAATATGTGTTTGTAAAAGCCCCAGAGATCCAAATACCTTTCGCTTAACGGATGGTCCATAAGGTCATGCCGATCCGAAAATGTTCCATTTTTGTCTGTGCTTTTTGGGAATTGGTGTCTCAACATTGTCAAAAAATTCCGACTGATTCGCACGGATGGGCTGTGTGTGAAGAGGGTATTAATATCAGGTGTTCCGGCGAATGTCGGTAGGTGGACGAACAAGCTGCTGTATTTTTTAAGAACACCTAAAAAGTCTATACTGTAAACGAATTTAATGTTTTCCAAAAAACAAGATATGGTCACATCTCTAGTGGCAAAGTGACAAGCAAAAATACGAAAATGGTTCTGGAGAGTACTATGATATGGTAAAGTATTGTTTTTATTCAACATGAAAAGGTTTAGTTTCTTTTTCTGTATAGCTTGCGGTAGCGCAAGTCCTGACACTATCATTTCGTGGTTTCCAGCTTTGATAACAGCGACTACCAACGCAATGGAGACTACTTTCCCACCCGTCTAAACGTCCAAAAAGATGGCATCAATCTGGTCTGCCTTACCAAACTGCGATCCAATCCCGAGAATAATGTTGGACTTATGACTTTGTCGAAGTGAGTGTGCAGTTGCTAGGTTTTTTTTTATTCTTAGGACCTCATTGTTTGCTTTGCTTAATTAACAGCACTGTGGAAGTGCTGGCCACACTCACCAGCGATGTGGGCCGGATCTTCTCGAAGATGCATCTGATCCAGCCAAAGGGGGAGATCAACCTTCTGACCGGAATTCGTATTGCCCACCTGGTGCTAAAGCACCGTCAAGGCAAAAACCACAAGATGCGCATCGTCGTGTTTGTGGGATCACCCATTAATCACGAGGAAGGCGATCTGGTGAAGCAAGCCAAGCGACTAAAGAAGGAAAAGGTCAACGTGGACATTGTCAGTTTCGGCGATCATGGCAACAACAACGAGACGCTCACCGCATTTATCAATGCGCTGAACGGCAAGGACGGCACGGGATCTCATTTGGTCAGTGTTCCGCGGGGATCCGCCCTATCGGATGCCCTGCTCTCATCACCCATCATTCAGGGCGAGGATGGCTTGGGCGGGGCTGGCCTAGGCGGAAATGTCTTTGAATTTGGAGTAGATCCCAACGAGGACCCCGAACTGGCTTTGGCCTTGCGTGTGTCTATGGAGGAGCAGCGACAACGTCAGGAGAGCGAGCAGCGTCGCGCTAATAGCGACGGAGTAGCCACAACCGGAGGCGAGACTGGCGGCGGCGGTGGTGGGTTGGGCTCTGGAACCGGCAATGTTGAGAGCGCCGGAGCGGACAATGAAGCCAACACCGAGGAGGCCATGCTGCAGCGCGCATTGGCCCTGTCCACCGAAACACCCGAGGACAACTTGCCGGACTTTGCCAACATGACTGAGGAGGAGCAGATCGCCTTCGCCATGCAAATGTCCATGCAGGATGCCTCCGATGACACGGTCACTCAGCAGGCGAAGCGCCCAAAGACGGACGAGGCCAATGCCCCGATGGACGTAGACGAGGACTACTCGGAGGTGATCGGGGACCCGGCTTTCTTGCAGAGCGTGCTGGAGAACCTGCCCGGGGTTGATCCCCAATCTGAGGCAGTGCGTGATGCCGTGGGCTCTTTGAACAAGGACAAGGAGAAAAAAGGCGACGGCAAGGATTCGCAGAAGAAATAAAACGCATCTATGATTATATCTTATAAGCTCGTTTCAAACATTTGTATGCCCATTAAAATCATTTGTAGCCCCTTAAAAATTATGCTTCAAGTGAAAATATATACATAAATACATTCGACATGGTGCTGCCTGAGTTATTTTTTCGATCTGAAAGCCTCCAAATCCCAAAGTCAAAGAATAACCCGAAGTCGTGTAAAAAAATCATCATCGAGCCTTAATATGGCCATGAGCTTTCTGAAATTTTTAAAATGCGCTTTCTTTAAAACCATTATATGTGTATCGGAGCTTGCTGACAGTTGAAATTGTCCACAAAGTTATTAAAATACTTCAATAAAACATTGAACCTTCAATAATCGGTTGTTATTACTTTAGGGCTACAAATCTCCTTATTTAAAGAAAATGTTTTTGATTTGGTTTTGTTATTACCTTGGTCGAGGATAGTTTTAACACTAAAAGTAACTTAAGAAATTGAACTTAATGATTATCGGAGACGTGAACTGGTCAAGTCATTTACTTTTTTATTTGACTGACTGATTATAAGTCTCTAGCATTGACTTAAAATCAAGTTACGTTATTACGCGACACGGCGTTTTAGTAATACAACAAATTTGCGGTTCAATCCATTATAGTTTATTTCCCTACCTCAGGGGCACTATGAATTCATTGACACCCTTTAATTTACATGGGGATTAACTATGTATGTGTGGTAACGAATCTAGATTATTTATCGCCCTTGTAGTCCCGGATATGGTAGAGCACCCAGGCTGGGATAAACAGCGCGGTCGCGCACATGCCACCACCAAGGATCACTTTCTCCTGCAACAAAATTTAAAATTAGCTATCGGCTATTGACAATTGGAAGCTCACTCTCAGCCGGAGAAAGACATCCTCGTTATGCAACCAGGAAAAACTTACGGCGGTGGAGACGTGCTGGGTTGGTGGTCCGGAGACGACCGACTGGCAACGCCTCTGCACGGCGCCACGAATGGCAGGGACCAGGAGGCGGGCAGCACTGTTTTGGAACATTTTTCACAATCTCTTTTAGAAAATTCGCTGGCAAAAATCAATGCTGCAAGGTTAGAATGCTTCTTCTTCTTCTTCAGTTTATCATTCACATAGGTCTAGGGATGTGCATAGATCGTGACTTTCACCGTGACACAAGTTTTTTTGGACTCCACCAATAAGGGTATTCTTTGTATTTTTTAAATGTGTTTATAACTTGTTCGTCGGCAAATCTGATTTTTTTTTATTCCACCCATAAGTACTTTACTTTAAAAGCACTGTTCCTTAAAACTTTAAAACGAAAGAAAGTGGAAACTTTCAACAGGGCGGTTCAGGGTGACCGTTTCAGTTGTTAGGATTTCCGCGATAGGTGGCGAGGGTCGCTCTACTGCAATCGTCCCATGCTCCGTCATGTGATATTCGTTGCTCGAGAAAAAGTTTCGTGATCGCGTTGTCCACCTTTTTATTTTTTATTTCGCCCAAAGCACTTCGCGTCGATCCTTTAAGCCTGCAAAATGGTTTCCGAGTGGGTGCCCCCGATCGTTATCACCTGCATTTGGGCCTTCATCGGCATTATCTGCCCCTTTTTCGCCCGAGGACCCAACAGGGGGTAAGGTGTTTACTAAACTCTAGGGGACCTCCACTAAATATTTTACCTTTTTTCAGGGTGACTCAATGCTGTCTGATGCTCACGGCAGCTACATGCTGGTTGTTGTAAGTATAGCTAGAGCAGGATCGAATTAATTAACTCATTCATGTTCCTGAAACTTATCAATGACCTTCCTGTTGCAGCTGGCTGTGCTGTTACATGACGCAGCTGAACCCGCTGATCGGACCCAAACTAAGCATGAACGAAATCATGATCATGGCCCGCGAGTGGGGCAATGAGATCAAAGATACCATGGACGTCACCGTCTAATCATAATGTATTCGTTTCGCATGTTCTGTTATTGTTTCTTTACCCCGGATGTTCTTGCATTCTGTATTATTAATTTTCAATTTAATGTTTAAAGCATAAAATAAAGTGTATTAGCGATTACGCTTTTGGAAAAGCTGTTGTAGAAAATCATAGATAAACAATATATTTGTAACTTAAGTACGACCAAAAATGAAAAGTTAGCCTTGACTTTTGGCCAAGCATTCCTGTTAACACATGTGTCTTAAAATGAAGATTGAAACTTAAAATAAAGTAAATTTACACAAAACTAAATGTGCTAATTTAAATATGTTCATGACTTCTATCCAACCCTTTGTTGCAACTGAATTTTTGTGATTTTGACAAATTTAAAGTTAAAACGCCCAAGATACTGGTGGGCGTAAAAGTGGACAACAATGAGAAAATGACAATGTCTGCGTATTTTACATTCTCTTTGTTAATATGGGTTTACCTTTATCTTTTAGTTTTTAATATATTTTTGATCATGAGTAAAATTTAAATATATTATCCAAATTGTTAAAAATAGTGGGCGTCACAAAACATCTCGGTTTTTAGTCGTCAATGTGGGCGCGGTACAAATCCTTAATAAATTTTGAGCTGCAAATTACTTCATTCTATATTTTTTCTAAATATTCAAGTTCATATTGTTTCTAAGATCGCGAAGATAAGAAAGGCAAGAATATTTGTACTTTATGAAGTCACAGATGCTTCCCTCTTCCTGTTACATACTTTTACCCTTCTACTGCAAGTCATGTAAATTCTTAAATAAAGCCAAATAATTATAGCTACCTATTGTTTTAAACGGAAGTCATGCGCATTACACCGAACCTCCCAACCATTTATTATTATTATTATTAATAGTGAAACATATTTTTGTGTTGGTCAGCAGAAATTTTTATATCTTCTTTCCTGAAGAATTATAAACGAAAATTCTGTTTAACATTTTTTGAGGCAGTGTAATTTTAAAATTCTGCGATTGAACAAATGTGTCACTATTTTATTTTAATTGCAGAACATACAAAATATAACAACGGCTAAATAACAAAATTGTTTTAATATTTTGCGAGGAAAGAAAGTCGCAACGCGACGACATAAAATACACCAACAAATTATTATAGATTCAACAAAAAATATTACATTTTGTGTTTTTGCCCAGTGGATATAAAATTTTTAAGTCAGAAGTTTGCAATATGATGTCATTTACGATCTGAAAAATCCGAAGTTATATATTAATTCATATATTTTTGATCGCAATCACCAAACGACTTGATTTAACATTAAAATCTGACTAGAAAAAAAATAGGCTTAAATAATTTCTCAATTGTTTTTATATTTTGCAGAGTAAAAGGTTATTACAATTTCAGTCAGTTTGCAACGCAGTGAAGGAAACAACTCAGTCCCCATAAAGTATATATATTCTTGATCAGCATCACCATCAGAATCCAAATACGTCTGTCCGTCGGTCCGTCTGTCCGTCTGTCTGTTTCTATGTAAACTAGTCTCTCAGTTTTAAAGCTATCTTGCTGAAATTTTCCCAAAAGGTTTGTAGTTATTGCACGCAGTATATAAGTCGGAACGAGCCGGATCGGCCGACTATATTGGATAGCTCCCAAACGAGAGAATGAAATAAAAAATTCTCAGTCAGCTGTTTTTGATCAGATTGATTGAACAACTATTGAATTTCGGATTGTATTTTATCAAAATCGGATAACTCTATCAAATAGATGCCATAGGAGAGATCAAAAAATATATACATAAATAATGGAAAAAAAATTATAATGTCCTTGTTTTTAATCCCACAAGCATGATTTTTGGAACATCATGTTTTTTAAATAGTCTTAAATCGAGAAAAAAAAAACCTGAGAACCTGCCTCAACACTTTATTGACAATGTTATAAGGATCAAAACAACTACACGAAAAATCTTATTAGTTAATATTTGTGATGACTACAAGGGTTATAACCTTTGGCTCTTCGAAGCTACCTTCCTTTTCTGTTTTCAATTGTCTTACTGTTTTACTACACATGTTCACCAAGCGATCGTTCAAATCACTTTTTACAAATCTTGAAAGCGATACAACAAAAATTGTTTCAAGAAAAATGTGTTTTAATGTTATTCCTGCCATTTCTTCCTAGAGGGATAACTTTCGAATGACATAGAACAGTGTTTCCCAAACTTTTCGGGACCGCGACCCATCTACACAAAAAATTGAAAGATCTATATGACAATTAGTACCCACCAAAAATCTACCCGCGACCCACCAGTGGGTCGCGACCCACACTTTAGGAAATACTGACATAGAAAATCAAAAAATCCTCTTTTAAAATACCCTTTATATGGTTAAGAATTATAAAAATACGTTGATTTTCTTACCTCCAAATGTCTAGTAGAAAATAAAAAGTTTTTTGAGCTACATTAATGTGTTTTTTAAAAGTAATACAACAAGAGCTTTGTAGATCGAGCTTTTTAATGAAATAATGATAAATTACTTTTTACTTTTAAATCTACAAAACAATTGAATTGTTTGTAGGCGATAGCAGGATGCCAATACTCCTTCATTGTACTTATCTGAAATTTATTGGACAGCCGACCCTAATCAAGGTGTAAAAAGAAACGTTTCGGTATAATAAGTTATTTATTTAGTAACTACGCAGTATGTATACATCACTTTGAATAGATGATGACTAAATATATGTAATATTCCTATAGGCATTGTTATATTATTACATTATCGAAACTTTTATTTACAGTTTTTCACTAATAAAATGTACAATTTTCTTAAAAAGTTCATAGAAAAATTTAATATTTATTTTGAACAAATAAACAAAAGCCAAGATTGGAAATTAGGAAATTTTAATCAAAAGTAGAACAAAAAGAAAAATATAAAACAATGGCATATCAACAAGAAGCGTTTGACTAATATTTACAGACAACCCCGTAACATTCGACAACTTTTTACTTAAATCTACCTCCAGATCTACGTCCTCGTACTCGAGCCAATTATATTGCCGAGAACATAGAGTAGAGCTGTTATTATGGCTTGTCAAAGGTGCATAAAGCAAAACAGTTAGCGCAGTTATGTGTTTGCGGAGCTAGTGGATGTCGAGTTCGATGAGGACGGAGCTGCTGGAGCTGCCAAATTAGTTGGAAGCTGTGCGGCAGCTGCTGAATAGTAAGCTGCAGTCGCTGGAACGTTTGTGCTAATAGCTGAAAATCCACAATAGTTAGAAAATGGTTTTTACTACTTTCTTAGAAGACTTACATTGGCGTAGTGCCTTTTGAAACTTTTCGTATTCCACATAATGTTTAAGACGCAGCTCGTCCTCTTCTATGAGTTGTCTTTGACGCAACAGCAACAGCCGTTGGTGCTGGTTAGTTCCCAAGCGCGTATTGCACAATTGATTTACTAACGAGTCTAAATTGTGCTTTATATCCTGGGAAAAAAAAAACAATATATTGTAAAATGTAAAGAAGCAGGTATTAGGTAAAGGTGGATCTTACAGATTGTATATCGCTTGGTAACAAGTGCGGATGTGTAGCTGCTAGAGAAACAGGCTCTTCGGTAACTACAATAGAAAGTACCAAAAAGTACCAAATTAATTAATTAATTATTGATTATTTTGTTTCTATATAATATTTTACATACCCTCCCCAGACGATGCATTAAAAATCGGCTGCATAACGTGTTGCATGGGCTGTGCAGGCTGCTGAGATGCCATCAGAGGCGACTGTTGCAACAAATGACTGGGGACAGCTCCTGAAAAGTTTTGGGGCGCGGCCACATGAGCTCCTGTCTGCTGGTTGTAAATTCCAGGAACAGTTTGCTGCTGCATGTGCGATTGCATCTGCAATTGGTGCTGTTGTTGCGAGATCATTTGCTGCTGGGCCGACATAGTCTGCATGGGTGGGAGCTGATGCGGCATTCCCTGGGCCATGCTCACCACCTGAGGCGGAAGCGAATGAAGCTGGTTGGGTTGTGTTTGAACAAACTGATGTTGCGGATGAGGCTGCTGTGTGCCCGGCATGTTAAATTGTTGCGATCCCTGCTGGGATCCTTGTTGCTGTTGCATTAGGATCTGTTGCTGGGTCATAAGAGGCATCTGGTTCTGTTGCTGCTGCTGTGGCGGTATCGGCTGCATCGGTATGGATTGCGGTTGTGGCTGCTGCTGCTGCAGAGTATTTGCCATCGGTGGATGGCCGTTTAGTGGTGTTTGCTGTGGCTGTTGTGCTAAGTTCGAATGCACAATTTGCTGTTGCGGCTGTAGATTGGAAATTGGTTGCATTTGGGTGCCATTCTGACTAACAACTTGGGGCACCACTATGCATTGAGCCCCTGCTCCACTGGTGGAAGTCGAGGTTCCCCCCGATAACTGGTGAATCGGCTGGGGCTGTTGGTAAATCAACTGAATTCCGTTAATGGCCAGCGGAACATTTTGAATGGGAGAGCTGATGACTTCTGTTGGAGTATTGACCACACTGCCATTCTGTACCGAGCCATGGGTGTGCATTTGGCCACCAGGGCCAGCAGCTTGTAGGTCAATTTTTAGTTGGCCTTGTGCAGGTTCCTCCACACCGGTTGAAGTTTTCTGCTCCTGCACACGACTGACACTAAATCGTGATATTTTTCGGGCACTCGGATTTGCGACCTCTTCGACTTGCTTTGGCACTACCGACAAAGTGACTGATGCAGCCTGTAAATTTAAGAAATCATTCATCATAATTATATATTTTTGTTGACAAGGAGAGGAAAATAGATAAGACTTCGATTCTTACATCTTCAGCATTTTCGGTATTTCGCAAGGCTGCCAATTTCTTTTCTAAATCTGCTATTGAGTTCTGGTTAATTGATCCGTTGCTGGGATTTCTATGCGGAGGATCGCTGCTGTTGGTCGCAATTGATGTGGTAGATGGTTTTTCCAAACTTGGCTGCTTGGACAGTTGCTTCTCGTGGCTCGTTCCTATGGTTATGCCAACTGATGCTTCAGTTGGAGTCGGATCCGAGTTACTGACCGTACCCTCAAGATTAGTGGCAGTGTGCAAGTGCACATCGGAACCCATGCTGTTGTCGATGGAAGTGCGACGCGAATTGTAGACGGAGGAGCCAGAGCCCCTGGCGGATGTCAGAGCTGCAGTGGGAGTATTCTGACCCACTGAGGCTGTCGAAGCTCCAGCTCCGTTGTTTGACTTGCTTATCTAAAAAAAATTAAGTAATTAAATTGGATGGGTTCCTGAAAGTTTTTTCTACTGGAGTTATTTTAATATTACCTCTTGTGTTTGGTGTTGTCCAGAAGCCTTCAGTGAGGACATCGCCGGCGAGGCCTGGTGGGGAGCTCTGTTATTAATTGAAGCCACTACGGCTGAAGCAAAAGCGTGGGCGTGAGTTATATTTTCGAGTTCTATCTTTAACTGCTCTAGAGTGTTGGCAGCTCCGGTACCCTGGGCTGCCCCTGCCTGGGCTGTCTTTTCTTTTGTCTTCTCAGCTTCCACTGCAGTGGTTTGCTGAGCATTCTCCGAAGGTTCCAGTGTGGCCTTGTTGGGCATGTCAAATGTGATCTTCACTGCGGTCAAGTCGTCCAGACTTCTGGTGTGTTTTAAATCCTCTTGAATCTTTAGGTGACGATTCAAAGGCAGATTAAGGCTGCGAGGAGCGCCTCCACCAGTAGACTCCAAAAGCTTCTGCATTCTAGCGATTGCAAGGGAGCAAGGTTTTTGTTGAGCAGTCTGTGACTTATCCCTGCCATCGTCGAACGGCGGTTCCGGGCCAGTCGGAGTTATGTTGCTGTCTGGCATGTAGTCTATTGACAGCGAAGTGTATTCCGAGGCTGTGCTTGTCTTTCGAGATACGGAACCAGACCCAATGGTTACGTCATTGCTGCTGTTTGGCGCATCCCTCGATGCGGTTGATGAGGAAGACATGGTCGAAGTGGTTGTCGGCGGAGTTCCAACATTTAGCTGGGGTTCTTGGGAGTTCGTTATGTTGGACACATTTGGCCTGGCCTCGAAAGTCAGGTTGGGGTTCGATGGTTCCACACCTCCCCCGCCAGAGGGCAGCGTTTCAACACCATGAATAGTGGGTTCGAACATCTTAGTAATGTCGCTGGCGGTTTCATCCCGCTAGAATAAGTTTTTTATATGTAAGTTAAAATAGTCAACCAAAAATTAATAGTGCCATTACATTTTAAATAAAAATTTAAGATTTTAAGTGAAAGTGAAATAAAATTTATTTATTAATTCCACTTTTTAAAAGGAGCAGAAAAAATGTAATAATGTTCCTAGTTTAGGCTTCTAAAATGAAGTTAATATAAATGAAGTTGATGCAAAGTTTAAATCTCTTACATTTTCAGGAGTTTAAACAAAAAGGGCATTTGGCTGATAAAAAAAAACCTAGTTTAACAGAAACTAAATCTTAAAGTTTTTGTAACGGGCGTAGTACCAAAAGTTATTGTAAATATATGAATAATATTTTTTTTTTAAGATCCATATAAGTAAAATTAAAGGAGTCGAAAATAAAATTTGTAATTTAACTTTTAAATTTAAACTTTTATATTTTGTCTATAACTGTGGAATCTTATTTTAGGTGAATTATTAAAAATAATTGAAATTGAATTTACGAGAAAATATAAAGTTCACGTCAACATAAGTTATTTTCTGAATCAAGTCTAAGAATCAAAGAAAAATCCTCAAAGGGAAAGAAACATTTTAGCTAGAAAAAATAAGTGTTTACATAAGCCCAGTGCACTCAACACTTACAGATCTATGTCTTTGGTGTGACCTAAACGTGGAACGCTGTCGAGTTAGAGACGCGTGTCGGACCTGCTTTGTTATAGTTGGGATAGACAATCAAAAAACATGGATTTTGTGATATACATATTAAAAACGCTTAGTTAAGTAATTTACGAAACCGTTATAAATAAATTCTTTAGTATCAAATCCCAGATTTTCAGAGCAAAAGAAAGAAGTCTAAATGAAATGTGAATGAGGTGTGAAATACCCGAAATAAACTTGTATAATCTGTAATAGTAAAATTCGGCTATGGACAAATACATTTATGTTTGTAAAAATGTATTCCTAATGCGTGTTAAACACTTTTAGGGTTTAACATTCCCAAAAGATCGGATTGGCCTAAAATAGATCACCCAGGAAATTATGGTTTTATACAAATTTCTAAATTCAAATCGGAGAATTATTTGTTTTCATCAGTACTTGTTGATCCAACAAACAGTATTCATTTCTGCGTTTTATGAACGCAAAGGTCTCGTACGAATAGTTTTTCTGTGAGTATTGTTTAGTGATGTACCTTTTCAATATTGCGGCGATAATTGGTCGGTATAGGGATTTGATTGGGATTCTGTTTGACTTGCTCAACAATTTCATTGATCATTTCCACAAAAACTGTACTTTGGCAATTAGAAAGCAAATCTTGGGCGATCTGAAAAGTAAAATAGTAAATGGTTAAATGTTTTTAGAATCAGGGATTTTACTTACCAATTTATTGGCGATTTCAACCGGATTAACATCCCCAATGTCGAATTTGAATGTAATCGTTTTCAGTTTATTCTCCATGTGACAATTGATGACGCTACCCTCGTCAACACTGGTTACACTTAGCTTGGGAATCCTTTCGTTGCCGCTCCGGTTGGAGCGCCTTGGTTTCTGGGAACGGTTCGCCGTGCTTTGTTTCTGCTGCTTTTCCGCATCTACAGATGCCTGGGTCTCTACTTTGGGTGCACCTTCAATGTTTATTTGGGAGCTATTTACTGACATGCCTTCAGATGCGCATGCCTGTTCCTGGCTAACCAAGACTGGCTGTGGATTTTCCGGCTGAATCAGGACTTGTGATGTAATCTGTGTATGTAATTCTGCTTGAGGTTGCTGTAGCTGTGATTGTTGCTGCTGTACAACGGGGGGCAGCTGTGGCTGAGGTTGTGCTTGCTGTTGGACCAAAGGCTGCTGATGCTGGACCAAAGGTTGTCCCTGCTGTTGGTTTATGGGTTGCTGCTGTGGTTGTTGCTGCTGGGGTGGCTGGCTGTGCAGCAGCTGCTGCAATTGCTGTTCCAAGGGCATGGACAACTGTATTGGTTGCTGTGTAGGCTGGGGCACAAACTGTGATTGCTGCGGAGGAAGTGTTGAAAAACCTCCATGTTGCTGCTGCTGGGAATCACTAAGCGCCACTTGCGGAGTCTGCTGGTTGTAGGTCTGCGGTAATGTTTGCTGCATTGCAGGCGCCACTGAAGTGGGTGGCACTTGCATCTGAACTGAAATTTGCATAGGCTGCTGATGTTGCTGCGGTGCCATCACCTGCTGTGCTGCAGGGATTATTTGCTGGTGTTGCTGCTGTGGCATAGCCTGCGCGTATTGCTGCACGAACTGTTGCTGCTGTTGAAGTTGCTGTTGTTGAATTTGCTGCTGTTGTTGCTGCTGGAGCTGCTGTTGTTGAAGCTGCTGCTGCTGTTGCTGCTGTAGTTGTTGAAGTTGATGCTGGGCAAGCTGTTGCTGCAATATCTGTTGTTGGTGCGAGACCGCTGCTTGCTGTTGCTGCTGTAAGATCTGTTGCTGAATTTGAAGTGGCTGCGATAATTGTTGCTGCTGGCTTGTCTGCTGCATGGCATATGCCTGTTGCTGCTGCGCAAGTTGATTTGGATGTAGTGCAACCGGCGCCTGTGGTTGTTGCTGGAAATATTGCTGGGCCTGCTGCTGTGCCATTTGTTGCTGCTGCGCCAGGTCTTGCGTCTGCACATTGGTGTGCATAAGCTGCTGTAATTGCTGTTGCAAAGGAATTTGATGGCTCTTTTGTTGATCAGCCATTGGTTGTGTTTGTTGCTGTGGCTGCTGTTCGTGCTGCTGTGGCGGCAAAACTGTTGGTGTTTGTTGCTGCGGAACAGTTTGCTGCACTTGAACTTGCTGTGGCATCTGCTGCATTATTTGTTGCTGCTGTTGTTGGTTGACCTGCTGCTGCTGCACCATCTGATGATTAACGGTGGGTGCAGCGGGTTGCTGCTGCTGCATCTGTTGGGTACCTGTCGGAGAGATGACCTGGTTGTTGCTAATCTCCTGCATCGTCGGATTCGGGTTTTGATACGAGGCGAGCTGCGGCGGTTGAATGTAGTGCACGGTTGGCATCTGTTGCATGGGAATGGCCGATGAGGCAATAGCCTGCGGCTGCACCGGAACCAACTGCGGAACGGCTCCAGGAACTGGACCCTGGACAGGCTGCTGAATGCCGCTATTCGGGATCGAAGTGTTCGAGCGTGTGGGCAGTTGCTGCGGCTCAACGCTGTTCGTGGAAAGAGCTAGGCTTGTTTCCGAATCTGTGTTGAGCAGGTCGTACCTAAGCTGCAGGCGCTGATTCCACTTCACGCCATCTTCCTCGTCTTCAGACTCCTCCTCTTCTTCCTCATCTTCGTCGACATTTGTAGGCAAACTCTCGCGTTGTTTCTGCAGTGCTAATTTCTCCAGGCGCGACTTTTCGTTTTGGAGCTTAATTTGGGTTTGACGCTGGGCCCGCTCCTTAAGCAACGATACGACTTGTACCTTCAGTAGTCGAGCTACAGCTCGAGAATCATCCTCCGATATAATATTTTCTTTCATCATTTCCTGCGCGATCTGCTCGTACTCGTCGTGCTTGATGTTGTACTCGAACTGAATCGCCTCGTTCTCCTTGTGGCGGGACGAGCGCTTCTTGGGATCCATGAAGCGCAGTCGAAACTCGATAATGCTGATGCTTGGATCGGAAAGGAACTGTTCTGAGGCAGTAGGCTCCACGCGAATACCGATGTCTTCGTCGAAGAACTCCGATTCCAGAAGCTCATTGCAGCTTGGACGATCCTCTTTCTTTAGTTCAATGCACCTCTCGATGATGTCCCGCACGTTGGGATCCTCCACCTTGGCCAGTGCTGCGGGCTTAATGCCCGAGATCACCTTCTTATAGATCTGCGCAGGACCTTTGCACTCGCTGTATGGATATTCGGAGATGGCCATCTCCAACATGCACATTCCGAACGCATAAACATCCACCGACTCGTCATAGTGCTCCTCGTACATTTCCGGGGCCATGAACTCCGGAGTACCAATCACAGATTTTGCGTGGGAGCGGTTTTTCAACGTTGCCAGGCCCAAGTCGCCGATTTTAACACTACCAGTGGTGCCAGTTATAAAAATATTATCACATTTCAAATCACGATGAATTATAGGAAATTGACGAGTATGCAGGAAGTTGAGGCCTTTCAGGATCTGGCGACACCATGACTTCAATACCTTTGGGTGTATTTTCTTGAATCGTTTCAAATAGCTGTAAGTAAATGAAGGCTTGTATTTCTTACTACAATTCAACCCTAAATAAACGCTTACGATTTTAAAGTTCCAGATAACATTAGCTCGGTGACTAGTACTATATTCTTCTTGCGGCCTATTGGAAATTCCCAATACGTATAAAAGCGCACTATGTTCGGGTGCTGAAGTTTCTTCAGCATGTCTGCCTCCTCGCGGAATCTGGTGCGTTCGCTTTTCTTCACTTGCTTGTCCTATAAAGTTGAAAACAAATATTGCATTTATAGAAACGAAAGTAACATTGGGATTTTTTCTTATTTTAAAACTTTGACTACATAATAATAATAATAATAAATTTGTTTAAAATATTTTAGTGAATTGTCTATTATTATTTAACATACCAATAATTCGCACCAGGCAACTGGAACACCCGTCAATGTGTCCAGGCCGCGATAAACGGTTTTAAAGGAACCGCGTCCGACCTCCTTGTCGTACTTGAAGAAACGACCGCACGGAGACATGGCCACCGGATCATCGTCTTCATCGCTCTTGCTCTTTGTAATCGATGTGGCTGAAGATGTGGTGGACACCGTTGTTGTGGAGGGCAGCAGTGATGTAGATGCATCCGTGGAGGACCCGGTGACAGTAGCTTCCTCCGCGCTAGCCTCTGCGCTTTCCGACTTCTTTGCTATATCATCGATGCTCTTTGGCTGCTTTTCGCTCTGAATCTCAGTATCGTCTTTTTCCTCGACCTGGAAACCAACGCGCTTGACGCCGCTCGAGTGCTTCGTGGAGGACTTCAATGGCACATCGTCTTCAGTCTTTTCGATCGTAAGACTTCGTGACGCTTCGGTAATAATGTTGTCGATGATGCCGGCCACCTGGTGGGCGGCGGCATCCGTAGCATTTGACCGAGTAGGCGTGCGGAACTGTTCCTCAAGGTGCTCCGCCTCTCGGGACAGCATCTCAATGTTGTCATCATAGTCACGAGGGAACTCCGTCTCAAGCTCGACGAACTGTAGTGGATTGGTGTTCCTGCCCGACTGCTCCACATTTTTTCGCACAAACCGAATGTTTTGGACGAAGTTCGCCGTTAGGGTCGTGGGCGTAGTCTTGGATGAGTGTAGAGGCGCCTGCTGCTTGATTAACGGCTCGATTACCGTGTCCGAGGAGGACTTCCTGGCCTCCATTTTTTTTGTGTCTGAGACAACCGCTTGGGACGTCCCCTTGACCGTCTTGTCTTTTTTAGGATTGCTCGAAGCTAAACCAGTTTTCTGGTGGCTCTTGGCATCTGCAGGCTCTGTATTGCCATCCATTTTGTCCTCATTGTGTTCCCTGCGCTGGTTCTCCTGTGAGCAAAGCACCTCTACATCGGTTGTTTGCTGTTTGTTCAGAGCGCCGTTGTTGTTATCATTGACCTTTGGTGCGTCGACTTCGTTTTTCGTGTTTACCGCCGTCTTGCCGGAAAGGGAGTTGCTTGAAAAGCGTCGCAGCACCCGCACAAAAAGATTACTTTTGCTGGAAGCCGGTGTTGTGTGAGTGGTGTGCAGCGTGGGCAGAGAGGAAGCTGGCTCGATGGGTGATGGTTGAATAGATGCGGTGCTGCTGGTGCTCGTGCGTGCAGAAAGTGCGTCCTGCTTTCGATGTGGCTTTCTGCTTAGTGCGTCTTTTAGTTTTGATGTCGGGTTTGGGTTTTGCCTAGAGGAGGCAGACCTATTAAACGAACGGTGTCCCGACTTTTGTATATTAGCTCCCTGCACAGTTTGCTCCTCGCTAGAAATGGAGGTATTCCTGAAAAAAATAAAATAAAGTGTCAGTTATTTATATTTTTGCCTAGATAAATTAAATACAGTAAATATATTGGACTGTTTATAAACAATTATTGCGAGTTACGAAAGGTTTCATGTGTCAACTTTTATTTATTGGGCTAAACAAAGCTTACGAAACTACATAGTGTACACTGTACATGTAGTGAACAACACACTATTTACTATTAATGAGGAAAATTTTTTGGGACTTTTAAAACGGCTGAGAGGTTACCAATCAATTATCTCTGACTTCAACTTACCTTTGAGGTTGCGTGGTGCAGGAGGTAGTACCATCTTCGCTGATGGCGCTTCCCTTCCGAGCACGGTTCGCAGGTACGACCTCTTGTTGTCGTACAAAGTCGCAAAGGGTTTGTCCAATTTTGCAAGATTTTCAGCAGCAGACCACCACGTTTAATCTAGAACGATAGGCATGACGTTCGGATGAGTACTGGAGGGCAGGGGATTCAAGGTTAAAACCAAGCCAGTTTTTAGTGGAAGGGGGGTATTGACAGAAGCAGGAAAAGGGGCAGTAGCAGATGGGGCGACCATCCCACCCATTTGTGTTCGTTGCTGGGTGCCGACGTCTGAAATATCGCTTACAGCTGGGTGGAAGCACCACCATCTCCTGGCGGCCGAGGTGTACGCTTTCCATGAATCACTAGTTTCGATTGCACTACCGTTCGTCACTTGTTCTGCTCTGCTTTTCTGTTCTGTCGCGAGGGATATACATATGTGCGTATGTGCGGTACGCTGGCTATACATACATATTTATGTACATTTGATTCGGGGCAGGAAGCATATGCAACGGCTATGATGTCATGGTCCCGCTCCACTCCTTCCGGAAGTCCTCCGCTCGACGAGATTGGGATTTGGGTTGGGGACTACGGCTCGCACTGCTACTATCCAACCGTTCGCATCGAGGTTTTTTGGTAACGATTGTGGTGTTCAAAGGTAATACGAGTTAGAAGGTTTTCATATTACAACGCAGGGGGTTTGCCTTTCCTCCGAGGGATTCGGTCGCCGATACAAGGGTGAGCAATTGCATGGGACGCGAGCGAGAGTCAACGAAAAATTAAAGTATTTAGCTTGAAATTCCCTTTACTTTCACAAAAATTTTACAAAGCAACTGGGTTTACTTGTGTTCGTGATATATCGATAGCGCATTATTGTTACACAAGTGTTATCGGCGGTGTTGCCACCAGGCTCGCTGTTGTCGTTTCGGCTAATATATATGTTATGCATTTAACAGGTATGCTAGCTGGCCTCTGTTAAGCTAAATAGAGTGGCGTCAGCATTTGAATCGATATAAATTACGCCAAATTTTCGAAAAAAAAAACTTAAAAATTAGTCAATGACCACTGCGCTTACATAGAGATAGGATGGATAACCAGTAACTTACTTAAAATTCTATAAACTATGCCGGCTAAACCGACTCGGCTGATAATCCTGATCTGGAATATGCACATAAATGTACATATGTATGTACATACACCAAAAGTCCTCTAAAAAAATGTTGGATAGTTTCTAAGCAGATTTCTTGGTTAAGTCTATCGAGTGATCAAATTAAATAAATTAGGCTAGTGAAAATGCTTCTTATAAGTTATAACTGACTAGATTATAAGTTATCTTTTGTAATACTGACTGTAAATATAGCAATCAACTCGGGTTAATTTGATATTATGTATTTGTTTATTCCTTTATTATATTATTTGTTTATATTTTTAGCCCGTTACCAAATTTTAAAGAATAAAAAACAACACACTTTGCACTTTTTAATTTTATAATTTATTACTATAACTTATTTTTCGAACTCTTTTTGGGATCGTATGTTAATATGCAATATGCAATGGGAATATTCATGCACATATAGTATTTTAATGATTTGATTACTTTTTTTGCTCTTAGATAGCAAAGTTAAAAATGCACAATATTTCTTATACTTTATCAAAATCAAAATCACGTTTAACAAAACCCTACCATTCCCAATGACAGAAGTCAGGCATAACAGAGAACTATACCTGACTGGTTGTCAAATTATTGTAATCGCTAAAACACATTAAATTAAAATAAATAATTTTTTATTTTAGTATTTAGTATTTTATGAGCATGATCCTTTACTTTTTATCGTCACACCTGAAAGAAACAAGGAAACATTTACGTCACAAACTAAATAAATTATTTAGCAATACTTCTTACTTATGTTGAGACAAGACGAATAGCACTGCAGTTGAGTTTCCCCCGTGTACATATATCCATCGGATCCACAAATGATTTCATCGTTTTCATCGTACACATTAGCACAGATTTTCTCACAGTAACTTTCCGTGTCCTTTGGATCATCAGGAGGTGAAGAACTTATTCCATTTGGCACCTTCGGTTCCTCTTGCTGGATTTCGTAAAAGTTGAAAATATTTCAAAAATTTAAAATGTTATATAGCTATCTAGTGCAGAATAAATGTTCTTGTAAGGGTTCTTTGTGAAACATTTTTAGTTCCAAAAATTCAGATATGGACTTAAGCCATTTTTAATTTTTAAACTCTTCCAAAACTTAAAATCTTATAATTTTACCCTTTGTTGAAAATCTTATATTTCCTTTATAATATCTGTGGTTAATGTTGAAAGCTATGCTTCACTAAAATATTAGGTTCAACTGAAAGTCAAGTTGAAATAGGCCCCAAGAAAGAAGAACAAAATATAACATAATCTATTCAACATGAATTTCTAAAAATAGTTTTCAACAATTTTTTTATATAATTTTTTCCTTTTCCCAGTAAAGTTTTTTCCGTTTAGGAAAATATCAAACCAAAACCGACCTGTTTTCCACCTTCAGTATCGGCACTGTCTTCCGGATCGTCACTGTACTCCTTGATGGGCTTGCTAAGTTCGAGGATCGGGGCAGAAGCTTTGGCGGGTTCGCGGACACTCTGGGCCACCGTTTCGTAGTAATACTGATTCGCCAGCGGGGACTGGGTGTACTTCATGGATCCCCTGATGGCGTCCTGCTCGGTGAACTCGAACCGCAGAGGTTCCGGCGTGAAGCTCTTGTGGCTCTTCGCCAGGTGCTGGCTCTTCGGCGGTGTTTGAGTGGATGTTTGGACCGACATGGGCGTAGAGACTACATGCTTGACCGCCTTGTTGCCATCGGACTTCACCACAAAAACATCCTGTCCAGCCTGGTAGCTGCCGCGAACTACAGCCGCATTCGCCGGAGCGGGATCTTGCTGGTAGAACAAATCGGAAACTTGTATGGGTTCGTTGTAACTGGAGGAGGCAGAGTTGTCTAGACCACCGGTCTTATAGGGAACGTGCTGCTTTAGCGGTTGCTGATGTTGCTGAGGTCGCTGCTGCTGCAGCTGCAGTTGCTGGAGTTGCAGCTGCTGCGGTTGCTGCTGATGCTGCTGATTGTATTGCAGCGGATACTGGTGGTGGGGCTGCTTCTGCTGGTCTCGCTCGGCATCCAGCTTCTTGTAATCGGGGTCTCTCTTGGGCAGGAAGTACTCGTTGGTGCTCATGAACTGCAAGTACTCCTGCGCCTCCTTCGACTCCTTGGCTGGAGGCACTGCCTGGCGGAAGTTGACCCCCTGACTGAGTCCCTGCTTGGGCAGGTTGTCCGAGTCCTCGTAAACGGAGTAACTGTTCGGGTCCTGGGGGAACTGACTGTTTTGCAGGGCGGTTTGCTGGGAAGGCACCACACTGAAGCTGGCACCCTGCTGCCCGAAGAGCTTGGGATAGTGCAGATATTGGGAGGCCTGGACGGGGATCGCGTGCTGCTGAATGGGTGCATACACTGGCTTCTGGTCCTTCATAATCACGTTGCCATTGAAGCGCGGCGAGGACTTGAAGTTCTGTATGTACTGCTCGGAAGGGTACTGCGGTGGGAACTGGTTCTTTCCGACGTCCAGCACAGGAGTGTCCTTCACGTGGGCGAATCTTCCGGCCTGATTCTGGTCGAAGTGGTATCTCCGGTGCTGGTCGTTCGCAGGAAAGTTGCCCAAATGCTCGCGACGCATGATGTGCTGAACGGTTGCAGGTTGCGGAGATCTCAGGAATTTGTTTGGGTTCCCCGAGAGATGAGGTACGTTATCCGAACGCGATCTTATCCGGGGCAATAAGCCAGGACCCGGTGGTCGGTTGTGATTGAAGTGGGGTTGGGGTTCACTTAAAAACTGCATAATCCGCGCTTGCCTCGGATCGTTCACATCGCACTGCACTTGGCTGAATAGACAAATTGACAGAACTAAAGCCCCGAAAAGTGGGGTTGATTGGATGACACTTTGCGACATTTTCTTAGGGTCTTTGACGGGCGACGGGCGCGTCTTAGTTCCACGACGGTCTATTGGTATTTGACATTTGTCTGTTCCGCGGCCAAAAGCAAAAAAGTTTCTTTCGAATTAACCACGCACACGAACGCGAAGCTTCTTTTTCTTTCGCCACGATCTCGCAGACTTGATCTCACTTTCTTTGTTATCCGGCCAGTCGTTTAAAATAAAAATGGAACGCCTCGCGGCAATGCAGCCGAGGCCAAAGCCAAAGCCAAAGCCAAAACCAAACCAAAGTCAAAGCCACAGCCAATGTTTTCGGACCAAGATGCAGTGATCTATTCAAAACCGAGTGGCTTTACATGAGCACATTTCTCGGAGCCTGTTGTTCGAACGCTAAAGAACCGTTAATCAATCGAGGGTCTCCACCATCCGATCACTTTCTTCTCGAAATTCGGCGGTGTCGTCGGTTGGAAAGCAACTGAGTTGCAAATGGAACGTTTCTGAGCCAGCTGTGCTGGAATTTGTCGGAATGGCCATTAAACCAGTTTTGAGACTCTGCCACAGAGGAAATGTGGATGTGGATGTGGTGGCCACCGAGAGATCACCGAGAGATCACTTCACACTCGGAGATGAAGAGGCCGAGACACTCGAACCCCGGGGCACAGTGGTATCGCTTCAGATGCGATAGATCTATTTGCCAGATTTACTTTTAATTTGGTTATCTCGTCGAGTGCAGGTGAAAGTAATTTGGAGCTGATCGGGAAATAACCCTATGCGTAATTGGTGGCATCTGGCTCGAAAATTCCTCAAAGTCCGAACTTTAATTGGCTTACACAGAATGCCAGATCGGGGGATAAGGGATTTGAAATGTTGTGTTTATTTACCTCTGCCTTTTTATCTTTGAGAAAAAGTGAAAATTTATTTTAATTATAAACACTGGGATAATGGGTACGACTTTCGCTTTTGCCGTCAATTTGGCATTGCTTTTTTCGAGAGAACAAGCCATGAAAACGATAATTTTGATCATTGTTATGCAAAACGCTCGAAACCGTAATCATGCCTAATGTATTCATTCATAAAAGCCCTGTTATTTGTGGTTGTTTAAAAAGTTGTAGTTCAAAGAGTGTCAAACTTCTGGGATTCTTTTGTTTTACGAATCCGAAAATATGAAAAAAATGCTGACTGTTTTTTCTGCAGGAGATATGATTCTTTTAATTGTCAAATATTTTGAAAATTAATATTTGGTAAAAACGGTAAAAATACAAATGCTGTTAAGTATAAAAGTTGACTCATTTTTTATTTAGTAAGATGAGATGTGGTCCTAATAATTTAATCTTCATGTGTGCGAAGTTAATTAAAATTAGTCCAATTCCTAGAACAGACTAACTCATTTCCTAGAAACAATAATCCTAGTCCTATTACTAAATTTAACATAAAACTTTGCGTTTAACCTTAGGTTTTTCACTCGTGATTCGTTAAAAGTTCAACAATTAAAGTGTCCTTAAATACAAGTTTCCTGGTTTTCGATCCAAATGTCATTTTCAACTTTTGGTTCCTCACAAATTGTGTGTCGAGCAGTGGAGTTTTTTTCCAGTACAATGACAATGTCAGTTGTGCTTAGGACAGCAGAATCCGAATTCTGCAAATAAAAAAAGTAATCAAGTAGTTCAATGTTAAAATGTGACATTTTATTCCCTTCGAGTTCAAGGAATTCCAACAATTCATTGGACATGTATCGAAAAAACTTATGTTCCCATAGGTACACATGTAAACAAAGGCAAGTAAACCTAAACAAGGGTAAAACAAAAGTGCTAAGCAACTTTAGCACTGGGAATTAAAAAGTTTGTGGAATTGACACAGGATAAAATGACTTCTTCATTTGATTTATTTAACAGGCCTTCTTTCTACTTTAACAAAAATTTTGAGATAGTGGGTTAAGGCAAAACTCAATGAAAAAAATGGTATGCCGAAATAACAACATCTTTCTGTAATACCTTTAATACAAATTGATGTTGTACAAAAACCCTCGAATTTTCGCTTGAATACTAACCTTTGGAAGCGGCAGACTGTACGTTTTCTTTATCAGCACTCGATTTGCAGACAAGGGGTCAGCTTCGTTCTTGCTACTTTGATGCCGACTTGACCTTACATGAACCTGATAGATACATTAGATATATTTTGGGTTAATATTTATCTTAAAATAACTTACAGAGTGGACCCGGTCATAGTGGATGTTGTTTCCCATACTCGTGGCTGTACTGTCCCGAAAACTCGAGTGATCCCGTGCAAATCCACTGTTGTAGTACGCGCCCACTGGCTTTCCGCAGAGGAGTTCTCTGAATGCGACCCTATAGCGACGTGACATCACGCTATAAACTATTGGATTGACGGTGCTGCCAATAAAATCGGTTAACAGTTTGTTAAGTCCACAATACAAGCATTTACCAAGAAACGTAGTACGCGAATCCAGCAATGGAGAAGAGCGCCTCGTTTATATCCAGATAATTATCCAGATCCTTCGCATATAGGAATATAAGTCGTTGCAGGTGAAATGGGAACCAGCACACAAAAAACGTTATCACCACAGCGGCTATACTGGTTGAATGGGGAAGAAGTATTGGATTTGGCATTGGCATTTCTCATAAGGCGAAGCTTACCCAACATTCGTATTACTGTCTTCTTTCTCATTTGTGAGTTTCGTGTTTCTCTGTTATTGGTGCCATGTTGAACACCTAAATGATTCACATAAGGTTGGGTTTTGGGAACCAATAAAACCATCTACTTGCCCAATTTTTGGTTTGTTCGCGAGCGAATCTTCGCTCCCATTCGCCCGTAAAGTAATATTATAAGTATCATTGGAATCACGAAGAATATGCAAAAGGATACTTCAAACACGGGTATAACATTTACAATCTCAGGAGACATGGAGCAAAACGCCGATTCCTCAATGCGCGAATCATCTGAAATTTGTTTTAACATTCGAAAAGTTACTCGGAGAACAAAATCTCTGCTATGAGGCAAATATATAATTGTTAAAAAACTAGTGGCATACCTGGTGGGTATTTCAGGTATTGAATATCGGAGAGCAATCCAAATGGTATGGCACTTATAAAACTTGCGATCCAAAGAGCTGTTATTATCCGAATTGCGCGTTTAAAACCAACCATTGCATATAAATGCAATGGATGGCAAATGGCTAAAAATCTTTCCATTGAAAATGCAACGATGGTAAATACGGAGACATATGTACACCTGAAAAAGAGCTTCATTCACATCATTTGCATTTTAATAAAAAGTATCCATACTAACGCCTCAGAAATAAATGCTCGAATTTTGCAAAATGGCATGCCGAAGAGATCTGGATATTGGTGCCAGTATAAAAACACTTCCGTTGGTAGCCCTGTGTAAATTAGGAATGGTCTATAGGATTTACTTGATGTGGCACCAAATTCACTAACCGAAGAGTAAGTACAGCAAATCTGAGACCGCCAAGCTGAACAGATAGTAATTCGTCGCCGTGTGCATTGCCGAGTGTCGGATAATCACAATGCACACCAATAGGTTACCTATGACCCCGGTTATAAAAACTCCGCCAAATATAATTGTTATCTGAAAGATAGTTTACATTAGGCGTTGGTTTTTTAATGATCTCAAGGACAATATTTATTAAAGGCAATCAAAAATGATTTATTATTATTCTACTTCAGAAGGGCTTTGGCAACTTTCGCAATTAATATTGTACATAAATTATTTATCAGCATTTAAGAAACTCATAAAAAATATCATACATAAAATAGATTACCTAATACAAATCTAATCCAATAATATTATTGTCATGTTTTTTGACGATATGTAAATTGCTGATCAAAATGTTATAATAAAATAATAATCTATGAAAAAAAAATCTTACCAAAATTGCCTTATAAAGTGGTAGGGTCTGCGGACCAAGAACAAAAGCCACAAACTCTGTGGGGGAGCAGTTGAATGTGCCGCAGGCATAATTATCCTCGGCTTCTAGATCGTTGGGTGGCTCCAAACTAACACTAGTCGCATATAATCGTGGTATAGTGCTAAAGCTTGTATTTAGGTCTAGAAGTGTGGGATCCGTCGACAAACTCATTTTAAAACTGTATTCAATGTTTTTGTTTATTCCGTGTAAAATAATAATTAACGGCTGCCGTTGGATCTAAAATAACCCATGGCACACGACGATTTCCGTTTAATTTTTTATGGGTTGCGAGAAATCCGCGCTGCGCTATCGTATAATACAGCCACTGTATCTTTTAGATGCCCACAGATTACTGTCCGCAGTCTAGCGCTAAAAAGATAAGAAGGCATGGTTTAGGCTAAATTGTAAATAAATACATACATGGGAGTATATATGTATGTACAAACACCATGTACATATAAAAGATATATAAATTCAAATGGCATGGTGTTCATGCCGCAGAATGAGTAATTTTTTTGTTTACGTCAAAAACAACAAAGTTTAATCTTAAATTAGTAGATAAGTATATCAAATGTTAAACAAATGCAACAAACACTACAAACTTAGGAACTTGTTCAAAATGTAAAAAATCTGAAAAGCATTTACTGTTAAATTTTTTATAAAAAATGCTTTACTTGCTAATATCTGTTTAATAGTTCTTGAGGTTTGTTTACTTATTATTTTAAATATACCTATTTAGTTTCGTAAGCTAATGTCAAACATTTTGTATTAGGATTATGATCAATTTAAAATCAAAATCAATTTTTTGGCTCAGAAATATTTGTAGTAAATTTAAAATACCCCTGTGGTTTGTAGGCCCTGGGCGTTACACATTTTAAAGAGAACTTCAAAGAAGTATTCCGAGCGTACTCGGATACCTTTTCTTCTTGCACACAGATTAAATTGGAATGTCAACAAGCATTAATTTTTGAGTCCAGAGAAGGAGGAAATTATGCCCCCCAAAAGTTTTAGCAATCTAAAGAGGCGGCCAAAAAACGTGGACTATTTCTATTTAATTTAATAAAAAGCTCTAGAGCCTATACAAACTCCTGGCCATTATTAGCATAAGAAGATTTTATCTTATCTACTGCCACCCATCTTGCTCTCTAAGAATACAAAATCGGGTGATGTACAACTTAATTGCTGTCAGTTAATTTTGTAAGCCAGATTAAGCAGCTAAATATCTATAAATTCGTCTAAAAGGGTTTATTAATAATTACAAATCTGCTTGCACAAGTCACTAACAAACTTTATCGACTGTGCAAAAAAAGTGTGCAAAGTATTGTGGTTGGAAGTGTTGGCAGCAGCAGGAATTTGCCAGGTTTAATAGGCCACTTTGAATGGGGCTAACAATAGCTTATACGCAACTGCGAATACTCGCAAACAGAAAAGTTTGCATGTATGTTGGCCACAGAATTTGTCATTATTGTGAACATGAAGCCGAGTCGAGCTCGACACACAACATTGAGACATTTTGGCTTAGCGAAGCGAACTATAGAATTTTACGCACTTGCAAACTTTCCAACTAAGTGTGCTCAGACGTGAATTTAATTTGACGAACTATGCAAACAGCAAGAGAAGCACACGTGTAATTAGGAAGCCAGCTTCCAGCTCGGCTACGACAGTCTGAAAGATAATAAAATAATAAATAGCAGGAGCCTCATTAGGAGCAGCCTCCGAGGACACCAGTAAATCAGCCAATTTAGACTCAGAGGAGCACTCGTAGCACTCTCGAGACACCCAATCCAATCCAGCATCTGGTCATTAGGGACACTTAGCCGGTGACCAGCACCTCCCCCCTGGTCACCTCTCTCTCCGGTAACCCCATCCAGTGGCCCAGCCACGTGTTGCTAATTACTGAGGTGCCGAGACCCTTAAGTTGGTATATATATTTACATGTGCAATAGATGTCAGGTGTCGCTAAAGTTGAACACAATTATGTATGGACATCTGGGAGTTTTCCTAGCACTTTGTCTCCAGGTGCTTTGTTTTATTGGATTTATTGAGTGGAGATGAAGTTAAGTAAGTGAGGGGGTCCTGGGTACTTTTTGTATTATTGAAAGCTTAAGTGTCGTGTTGGCACCCAAAGCCAAGTAATGACATATGATCCCACTGCAAAAGCTTTAATTTTAGTTATTTTTAATAACGCAAAAAAATGCATTCATAAGGGTATGCTATTTAAAACGAAATCCTTAAATAGCACATTGAACAATGTGGAAAAGTATGTAATGCCAGTTTGAAAAAGCTTTTTTAATATTTGTTTTCAGAGGTTTTATTGAAGCAATATATGAATTTCCTAAACATTTTTCGAACCATTGCTTCTTACCTATGTTTAAATATTTGTTATTAAAAATGAGAGAGACTATAGAGTATGGAAAATAATTAACAATATTGATAAGTTATAAAATTTAATTTCGTAATTAGTTGTTGAATTAAAAATACCTTTTGTTTGTGATTCTATTAAGTTTTTTTTTAATTGCTTAAATAATTTCCTGATTTCAGTAAAAGATAGTTGAGCAAACTATTTTGAATCGAACGATTTGGAATTACCAACAATTTTTCTCTGGTGTTCAGTTTGCACATTTACAGCCTCCTAGTCCATTCATAACTGCATTTGATTCAACACTTGGTAATTGGACTCTTTTGACACTCTGGTTTTCGTAATTAGTGCATACACTCGAGTTGATTCAAAGTCACAGCGATATCCCGCAGGATGCTTGGCCAACGACAGGTGGAAAGCAACTGTTTGCATATCCAGATGTCCTGGCCAATTCGAGGGATAAGGGAATTCGGCAGGAAAGTGCGCAGGCGTTGAAGCCGAACTCCTCGATTTACTGGCCTTCCTATTGGAACTGCATGTGGGAGCTAATTTCAGCTATACTTGTGGCTTTAGGGCAAACCGAAGTGCTTCAGAATCATGCAAGCCTAATAAGGATGCAAGCTTTTCTCATTACTCTATTTCGGAGGCATTACAGCTTTGTCAAGAAGTCTGAAAAAAGGTAAACAAGATATAAAGAATATTACTTGCTTTCTTTGTAGCTCCGAATTAAACTGAAAAAACAATTGATCTCGGATGGCCGAATAATTGGATTGTTTCAGTTAAAGTTGAAATTTGACTCTACCTTAAAATGTGATTCAGTTTTCTTCAAATATTCATCGAAAAAACATCAAAAGAAAAATAAATAAAAAAAACATAAAATGACTTCTATAATACAACCGGATGGCTATATTCCGCAGACTCAGGGCGTTGAAGCAGCTATACCAATATGGTTTAAGATAGACTGGAGCCCGGAAATTGAACAGGGCATTTATAAGGACTGGGGGACGTATTATTGTCGCCGGCGCCGGGAAAATCTTGGCATGCACTACTTTGACAAGGCCCTCAAACTCGGACCTCAAGACTTTACGACTCTATATCGTCGAAGTCAGAGCAAACGCAAAAATGCGCTGACCGAAAGTGCTTTGAATGACTGTTTGGAAGCGAAGCGTAGGCATATCTCCGCACTCTTTCAAACTTAATATCGTTAAATTGATGCACTTCACAGGGCTATTAAAACTTTTGCAACGCAATGATGCTCCTATTAATTTGGAAATCTGCGATGCCCTCTATGAACTGAGCCAGTTGGAAAACGCCAAAGCCGAGCTTCACGATAACTTCCGTTTGTTTACTGGTAATAAATCAAAAATTTTCGAGCAACGTCTAATTGTGGTAAGACTGCTTTCAAGTGCAGTTTAATAAATTCTTTATAATTTTTATAACTTTTCTAGGTGGATGCAAATATTGAAGATGCATGTGGCCCATCAATGACTCAGTTTATATCTGAAAATGAAAAACTTATAGTGCAACTAAAGGAAGCTCTAAATAAGTTCAAACAAGACACCAGACCTCTCTGGAAAATATTAAAAGAACAGGAAAAATGCGACATTCTGAGCATCCCAGAAATCGAAGTGTGTAATTATAGAACACTAATTTTTACAATTACAATACAAATACTTTTTTCAAGGATGTAATGCTATCACCCCTTGAAGCCGCGAGAAGGAGTCGTGCATTTGATGTGCTCAATCAAATGTTTTTGGATAGGTCATGGATCGATGTAATATTTCTTAAGCATGTTCGAAAGTAAGTGTATTTGTTGCTTTATTAGAATATAACGGGTTATTTTTAGAGTAGGTTTGGAATAACTTTTGCAACCGTTTTTAAAAATGTTTATTGGAATCGATGAAGTGGTCTTTGCCATTTACGTTTTAAAGATAGGTTTATCGAAGGACCCCCCAACTAGCCAGTGCAGAAATGAACTCTTACAAAATTAACCTTAATTATACCCTTGCAGAGCAAAAGGGTATTATAATTTCAGTCAGAAGTTTGCAACGCAGTGAAGGAGACACCTTAGACCCCATAAAGTATATATATTCTTGATCAGTATCACGAGTAGAATCAGAATACGTCTGTACGCCTGTCCGTCTGTCCGTTTCCGCGCAAACGAGTCTCTCAGTTTTAAAGCTATCTAGCTGAAACTTTCCCAAAAGGTGTGTAGTTATGGCACGCAGTATATAAGTCGGAACGGGCCGGATCAACCGACTATATCGGATACCTCCCATACGAGAGAATAAAATAAAAAATTCTCACGCTGTTGGTTTTGATCAGATCGACTTGATTTCTTCAAGGTGGCGTTTTCGAACTGTTATTGAATTTCGGATTAAATTTGATCAAAATCGGATAACTCTATCATATAGCTGCCATAGGAGAGATCGAAAAAAATATATAGAATTAATGGAAATAAATTGATAACATCGCTGTTTTTTTATCCCATGAGCATGATTTTTTGAATATCAAGTTTTTTAACAACTCTCATATGAGAAAAAAGTTTCATGAAAATCGGACCACTATATCTTATAACTGCTATAGGAAAGATCGAAAACCCTGTATAGAAATAACGGAAATAAAATTATAACATCGTTGATTTTCATCAGACAAGTATAATTTTTGAAATATTGAGTTTTCTTACGACTCTTGAATTAAATTTGATTAAAATCGGAAAACTATATCATAGCTATGGAAAATGAATAGAAAAATCGTCATAGCTTCAATGTTGCTTACCCCTTATCCATTTTGTTCGACCTATGTATTTATTGACTGCAAGGGTATATAAGCTTCGGCTTGCCGAAGCTAGCTTCCTTTCTTGTTTTTTATACCCTTGCAGAGCAAAAGGGTATTATAATTTCAGTCAGAAGTTTGCAACGCAGTGAAGGAGACACCTCAGACCCCATAAAGTATATATATTCTTGATCAGCATCACGAGCAGAGTCGGAATACGTCTGTCCGTCTGTCTGTCTGTCCGTCTGTCCTCCTGTCGGTTTCTATGTAAACTAGTCTCTCACTTTTAAAACTTTCTCGCTGAAACTTTTCCAAAAGTTGTGTAGTTATTGCACGCAGTATATAAGTCGGAACGAGCCGGATCGGCCGACTATATCGGATAGCTCCCATACGAGGGAATGAAATGAAAAATTCTAACGCCGTTGTTTTTGATCAGATCAAGTTGAATTCTTCAAGATGGCGTTTTCTAACTGTTATTGAATTTCGTATTAAATTTTATCAAAATCGGATAACTCTATCATATAGCTGCCATAGGAGAGATCAAAAAATATATATATAAATAATGGACAAAAATTATAATGTTGTTGTTTTTAATGCAACGAGCATGATTTTTGGAACATCAAGTTTTTGAAATACTCTTAAATCGAGAAAAAAAAATTTCATAAAAATCGGAGTACTATATCATATAGCTGCCATAGGAAAGATCGAAAAATCTATATAGAAATAACGGAAATAAAATGATAACATTTTTCATCAGACAATCATGATTTTTGGAATATAGAGTTTTCTAATGAGTCTTGAGTTACATATTAAGTTTTATCAAAATCGGACGACTATATCAAATAACATAGCTGTCATATGAACAATATGGTAAATAATAGAAAAATCGTCATAGATTCGATGTTGTTAGCCTTTATGTATTTAGTTTGACATATTTAATGACTGCAAGGGTACATAAGCTTCGGCTTGCCGAAGCTAGCTTCCTTTCTTGTTGATAATATGAATCCCTTTTTCTTAGAAATCCGAGCTTATCCTTGGACCAGTGTAAAAAAAGTAATGAGTATTTAAAAACTCTCACTTTCAAGAAGTATGACGAGATTAAAAAATTCTTGGTGGGTACCAAGTTAAGCAACAAATCAGTACCTTAAAACATTAATTATATTTTATAGAAAATGTTGGAGGCACGCAGTCCCATGTACAACATACGCTACGAGAAGTTTACAAACAAAAAATTAATGGACAAATTTCGGCAGGAATATCTTTTTCGAGTTCAATACCAAACGAGACGAAACATGGCCAGTGCGTTGCGAAGCATTCGATATTTACGAAAAACTAAGAACCTAACAGTAAGATTTCCATTAACTCTTAATTTATTTTAGTTACCTAATTGTTCTTGCAGAAACTAACCAGTTACGTGGAGGAAGTAATGGGAGACTATGTGGTGAAAAAAACTAACAAGATTATGCCGTGGAAATTCGAATTCTTGAACGAGGTATACAACATCTTGGCGTTGGCCTACGTAGATCAGTATACGGTTCCGAAGAACTTCCGGTTCGCAGATAAAAATGCCCTGCTCCGCTTACTTCGTTTTCCTATGGATAAATCTATGGAGGTAAAACACTTCGTATTTGGAGATCGTAGTACATATCAGGGAACTGAGACAGTGGATCCAGCCCTTTCAAAATATCGGTAATGCCTTTATTATTTATTAAAATTAGTATTTTTTTTACGCTTACATTGATTTTTAGTCAAGTGCTGAACAGATTCGAGAAGCGTATGGTTTTCGCCAAGTATTCCATCGAAAAGTGCTACCTACTTCATCAAATTGGAAGCACTCATCTTCAATCAAATCGATTTGATGAATGCTGCTTTAGTGCACGAAAGTCAATCGAAGGTTTGTTTATTTACTGACATCATTTTACATATAAATACCCATATTAATTGTTTTAGAGTCTAAAAACTGTAACAGCAACATTTGGCAGTTTCTCAGCTACCTTTTAATAATTAAAGCCAATGCTGCTCTCCACAAGATCGAAGGAACTAGTGATGCCTTATCCAAGGCAGTTGATGTTGCCGAAAAACTTAGGAGCAAAGATCTACTTAACTTCCTAAGTAAATGTATAAGTTGCAACGAGGAGGAATTCGTGGTTAAAAAACAAAGCTTAATGGGTAATTCCAGCCGGCGTGATAGTGAAAAATCAGTGCGCAGTTTCCTGTCCTCCCAGCAAAGCCTATAGCCTTTTGTATTACGTTTATAAAACCAAAAAATATTGCAAAATAAATTCTCAGTGCAATTAGTAGAATAACACATTAATAAATCTGCCCTCTTTTTTTGGTTTAAATTCTGGCTAATTCAAAAATTTTATAGTGTACCTATGTCAACAAAATACAGACGATAAATAAAAGTATAGGAATAAATTAATAATAATTTTCCTTATTAGCAACGCTAATCAATTCCTGCTGTCTTAACTGCAACAGAACGGTTTCTTTTTTTTTTTTTAAATAAACTTTAAATAGAAATAGAGGCGATAGATTGCGATTATAAAAAAAAATTTTGATACGTTTGCGATATCGTGGACATAAAATAAGGTTGCATCTTGCTGGAGATTTTCACTGGAAATTTATTTAAAAAGGCAACTGATAACAATTCCTTGCTTATGTCGAAGGTTTCACAACTAAAGTATTATTAGGCAGATGACTTCTCCACCAGCTTGGCCATCATCTTTTCTTCCTTAGCCTTTCGCTTGGCCTCCTTTTGCTTTTTCTTGTCCTCCTTTTCCTTTTGTTCCAGCATCTCCTTAAATCGTTCGTCGCGTGTGTCCACCTTGAAGCCAAAGTGTCTGCGCACCTCCTCCACCAGTCGTTCCTTCCGTTTTATGGCCGCGGCCGCATCCGCCTCCCGTTTGGCAACCTTTGCGTGCAGGTCCGCCTTCCACTGTTTCAGCTTTTCCACTTTCTTAGCTATGTCCTCCTCGCGGGCATTGATCTTCTCAAGCTCCTCGGCTTTCTGTGCCCGATTCTTCTCCAGCATTTTTAGGAGCGTTTCTAGTTGCATAACCTGCCTGTTGTCAGTCTCTCCACGGGAATTAAAACAGATTTTGGGGTCGACCTTGCTCTGGGCACCGTAACGCCCAAAGGCCTGCCTTTGGTATTTCTCTGTCAGATGTATCCAGGAGTGGGGCTCCTGATAGGGCAATTTGTTTAGAAGCACATTTTTGTGTTGTGGCTGTAGGCCGGATCGGTCAACAGCTTGATAGTAAGCCGTCGTCTCATCCTCGTCGCCAACCAAGGATGCCGGTAGTTCCGCTTTAGCCGAGCTGGAGTATCGCAAGCCTGGGCGGAGGGCAGAAAGTCTGGTAACAGTGTTTATTTTTCCTAAACTCATTTTTAAATGGCTAAGCAAAACAATTCATTATTTTCCAATAGAGATGATATGCAAGAAACCACGTAGTTATCGATGAATTGAAACAGTTGAAGCGGAACAGAGAAGGACGTTTGCTATTTCATGTTTCTAAAATTTAGGTTATTTCATAAGTAGCTGTTCCGCACAGATTCAATATTTCAAAAACTCACATATTAAACATATATTTTTTGTAGCAGCAAACAGATTTTAAACAACCGAGGAGTCCCCCCAATAATTGGGACGATAGTTCTCTATTGTATCCGCACTGGCAAAATGTTGTCGTGCAAGTCGGCCTTAATTTAAAACCAAAACTCAGAAAGCGCGGAATTATATTTAAAACAATATAGATTGAAACCAACTCCTGGCCATGGCAGGACACCGTACGCTAAGTACCCAGCAACTTACGGGGCGGATACATTCCGTATATTGCAAAGATTTTGTGTAAGTGTGTATTCAATAAAGGCATAATTAGCCAATGGTGTTAACTATGCTTAAATCCAATCGCAGATCGTATAGTGAGATCACGTTTTATCCCAAACACTATCTAAATGTCCTGACCGGTCCCAATGGCAGCGGAAAATCCACAATAGTGTCTGCCATTATTCTGGGTCTTGGCGGGGAACCCCATCTTCTGGATCGCTCTGCCAGCGTTGCTGACTACATTCAGAGCAACAAAACTATGGCCACGATAGTTGTCCGGGTTTATGGACGGGTAGCTAACACCAAGGAGTCCTTCCGGCGCATCATTCACTCGAATGGTTCCTCCACTTTCTCCGTGAACAACAATGACATGTCCAAGAAAAACTTCCTGGCTGCCGTGTCCTCCTACAACATACAAGTCAGTAACTTGTGCCAGTTCCTCCCGCAGGATCGGGTTCAGGTGAGTTACTATCCCTTGATACCAAAAGAACGACGAATTCACTGCAAATGAACCGCTCCAGGACTTTTCCAAGATGAATCCCCAGGAGCTTCTGCTAAATACCATGTCTTCCGTGTGTGACGACGAGCTTACCAACAGTTTTAATGAGTTGAAACAGATGCGTTCTCAACACTCGAATACCCACGCTAATCGAGAAAAGGAGAAAAACGAGCTTGCAAAGAAACAGAAACGATTGGAGCAGTAAGTCATACATAACTAAAGTACTATGTATTTTGTACATTCTTTTTCTCATGGCACATGGCCAGTCCCTTAGTTGTATACGGGTTTTCTTAAAGTTTCGCATGCTCCAAAACCTTTCTCCCGTTTTAAATATGTGCACATTAACAAAAATTTTATTTTCTTTTTTAAGTTTACAGATGACCGTTGCCCAATTCAAGGAACGCGAGGATGTGAAGAAAAAATTGCAAATTTTCAGTGCCAAGAAATTGTGGGTTGAGACACAGGCTGGAGAAGAAAAAGTTGCCCAATTAAAAGGCCAAGTTAAAAAGGCAAAAACTCAAAGCGAAAAGTTGAAGAAAGAACACAATCAACTTGTTCAGGCTCAGGAAGAAATTCGTAAAAAAAAAGATGTTATTGTCAGAAGCCAGTTTGGAAAAGGTAATGACTTACATTTATGTATAAGTCATTTTTCAGATATACGATTCCTATTTTAATTTTTTTCCAGACCCGCCTATTAGATAAAGCTGTAGCAGAAAAGAATAACATTGAAAATCAGCTAGACTCTTTAAAACAAGGAATTCGCGAAAAAAATTTTGAACTCAAGGTTTGTTGGCCTTTTGACAGTACATTACGAAAATAAGATTATTATGAATTATTTTGCCAAATAGCAAAACATTCAGAAATCGTTAAGGAACGCCACCGAAGCTGATAAAGTGAAGCAATTAGTGGACAATAAAACCCAAGAGTTAGAAGACTTCAACAGTAGTAGGCCTCAAATTCTTTTGGAACTAGAAAAGGTTAAAGAATCGTGTCGTTGGGCACGTGACAAAGCCATGGAACAGTATAACAGAAGAAAACAACTTGAGCAACAACTAAATGATGAAAAGATTCCGGAAATCACAGCCCTTAAGCACAAAATAGATCGACTAAAAAATGTTAAAATTAAAAAAATTGAAGTAAGTACTACATATGAACAAGTAATAAACAACTGATAAATAAGTTATCGTGTTACTTTTCAGGAAATTGGAAGAAGAAATCCAAATTTGGTTACAGCTATGAATTGGTTGGCACAAAATAAACATCGGTATAAACTAAACGTTTACGATCCAATGATTCTTGAGGTGAGTTTTTAATATACTGCCCAGTTAAAAACTTTCTGTTACAAATTTTCGTTTTTAGCTTAGCATAGAAAACTATGAAGACGCTAAATATCTAGAAAACGTTGTATCACAGCGCGATTTATTCGCTTTTGCGTGTGAAGATAAGGAGGATATGTCGGATATAATAAGCGAGTTGTGTGTAAAACAAAAGTTGGGGGTCAACATTATATTTTGCGCCCCAGCCGATAGAATTATGTACAGTCCTAGTATTCCAAGGAATGAACTGCGGTATGCTCATCTTAAAGTTAATTTTTTTTTTTAATGGTGATATTTTTGTTTGATGTTGTTGGTGATATTTTTGTTTCAGCCACATGGGTTTTCGTGCATATCTTGTGGATCTTGTTACCGGTCCCATACCATTAATAAACAAGCTGTGTGCTTCCTACTCAATCCATAATATTCCGATTGGTACAGATGCTGTAGGAAATTATACGTCATCCATTCCAAAATCTATTCGAGTTTATTTTGGCGGTATGTAGACTTCCCTCTCATATAAAACCCATTTTCCAAACTTGATTTTTTAGCAATATTTTTTAGTAGTTTGCCGATAAGTTACTGAACTCGAATTGATTTTGATAATTCATTTCAGGGAACAAGAAATTCGTTGTGACGGCGTCACGCTATCGTTCCGATACCATTCTTACGGAGAGTACTATCCGGGGAAAAAATCAACTTATTGCAGTAGACTCACAGCAACTAGCTCAGATCACGAAACAGTGTGTCGAAGCCATAAAGGAGAGCGACAACATTAAGAACGCTATAACCAGGACTGACAATGAATTTGAACGCTTGCAAGGTCTTACGAAGGAGGAACAAGAAAAAAAACGAAAGCTTGACCAAAAATTATCGCATTTCAATAACTTAAAAAACGAAATTGAATTACTCATGAGAAGGCTGGAAAGCCTTCAGAAAAGCGATGGTAAGTTTTGAATACAACACAAAATTTTTACTCATCACACATTATACTTTTAGGACTGGAGGCTCTGAAAAATAACTTTAACGACAGCTTGCAAAAGGACTTCAAAAAATTATTTAACATTGAGGCAAAATTGTGCAGCAGCCTTAAAACTTTAAAAACCCTTATGATTGAAAAGAAATTGGCCCAAACAAGGACTTCCGTCTATATGGTTCAACATGAAAGTCAAAGTGAAGCACTTAAGGAAAGCGAGCAACTGAGTATATCAGCAACCGTAAGCAATTAATGAACAATTTAAAATAAATGTTTATAAGTTTTGTACTCGTAGAGGGAATTTCAAAAATTTCTACAGTGCATGGAAGAACAGATCGCCGATATTAGCAAGCGAAAGAACGATGTTCAGCGACTGTGCGACGGAGAAATTCCAACCAGTTCCAGATTTCCCTTCAAAAGGGAATTTAAAGAATTGGAAAGCAAAGAATTGCCCGAAATTCGTGAAGCTATACATGACTTCCAAGCGCGATTAGAGTGCATGAAAAACGTTAATTCCGAGGTAAATTTTGTGAACTTTTCACTAACTAAAGAGTTATTGTTATTTACTTAGTTACTAAAATAAATGTTAGACCGGTAAATAAAGATTTTTAAACCCGTGCTAAGTATCTTTGACCTATTTTCAGGCAATCGACAGCTACCAACAGCTGCAAAATGAAGTCAAAAGACTGGAAGAAGGCATTACAGATTCTGTTAATCAAGCGAAAACCATCGAGTCTCAAATGTCCAATTTATACGACAAATGGGAGCCAAAACTAACAAGCTTGGTGGAAACTATTAGTACCAAATTCAGCGAATTTATGGAGTCAATTGAATACGTCGGTGAAGTTGTGTTGTCTAAAACAGATAAAGTAAGCTATTTAACTTCGTTATTATTTATTTATTATAAATTCTTATTTTTAACACTTTAAATAATATCCAACTGTAGTTCGACTTTGATTCATACGGCATTCAGATAATGGTCCAGTTTAGGAGAGGGGCTCAATTGCAGCCACTGGATAAGTTTATTCAGTCAGGAGGCGAACGTGCTGTGTCTATTGCAATTTATTCATTGTCATTGCAACACGTTACTCATGTGCCATTCAGGTAATTTTGATATTACTAATTAAATAATACTTTGCAGATTGAATGAACATTTCCATTTTTTCAGGTGCGTTGATGAAATAAATCAGGGCATGGACGCTAAAAATGAACGTCACATATTTGATTTACTTCTTAAAGAAGCCACTAAGCATGGATCAGCACAGTATTTGTTTGTTACTCCCAAGGTATGTATACAAATTTATTAAAATGATATTAAATTACATTTTAAAATGTTTTCAGTTGCTTCGAGACCTGAATTACAACGAACATTTGTGCGTTTCAATTGTTCACAACTCAAAAACTGTTTGTGATGGGATGAAGTTCCCAGTGATTTAAAACCTTGGGATTTTAGATTTCTATATAAATATGTTATCATTTAATATTTCTATGTATTGTCACCATATTAAAATAAAGGAAAACCAATTTTCGTTATTTAATTCATATAAAGCTTATATCTAGCTTATATCCAACGACCAATCATCAAGGAGACTTATTTTCAAACTGTGGCTGTCATAACAGAAGCAAGAGTGCGAAGGGATCACCTTAAAATTTTAAAACAAGTCGACGCTCAATGGTGCCTAACGATTACTTTTCTCAAGTTTCAGTTTACCCTTCGATTTAAAACCCCACAAAGGCACCTCTATCTAATTTCAACTTCTGTTTTTGCTTTTTAACACTTTAATCGAAATAAATGTGTTTAATAAACTTTAAGTTATGGTTATATAAAAACGTTTTACTTTTTTCTTTTAATTTTATGAATTTTCATAACTCACTCAAATAAACCGTTTCGACGATTTGACACTAATACATATTTATTATTTAAAAGTTACACTTTAAATCATCTTAAAGGGTTAAATTAAAAAAAAAAGGTGTCAACATTTTTATGAATACTCCATTACATAATATATTACTGAATTCAACTACTGAAACCTTATTGGTGACTATAAAAGAACAGGTTCACTTAAGATGGTTGGTCAGTTTTTAACAAGGTTTTAAAGAAATCAGTGCCAGATCGAAATCCGTGTGTGCCCCCATTATGGTTGGGATTTTTTAGATCAGCAGTTATTGCTATAGCCATATTTATTATTAATCTACTGGCCTACTAAGTCCCAACATAATGAGAGTAAAAACCGCAGGCCATGTCAGTAGAATGTCTTAAAAGTGTTAAAAAATAAATTTATAAAATTTATATTAACAATAACGGTATAAAACAATTTAAGTAAAGTTCCCAAAAATAAAATTGCAAAACTGAAAAGTTTTTAAAATTGCCTCTGATCCAGGATGGTTTAATATATGTGCTTGCAATCTGTAACTCTCCGATGTAAGGCATCAGTATCTGAATATTATTTAAAAAAAATTAGAATATTTGTAAATTAAGCTAAATTAGATTTAAAAATTTTTTAACAGCTTTTTTTATTTTTTTAAATTTTATGTGCTATTGAAGAATTTTTAACATTTGAAGAATAAATTATCTTGTTAAGCGCTATCGCTTACTATCGAAACCACACTATTGGTGTGTTGTATTGGTACAAAAATATTCGATATATCGATACATTCGTAAGTACCCAGCTCTATTACTTGTACGATTGCAAATTAAAATTAAAATTGACAATTTGCTAGAGAAATATGAATTTAAAGGCGGAGTTTGTGCTTTTCTTTGTGCTGGCCTCAGTAGCCAGCAGTTTGGTGAGTATTTAATCTTTTTGGCAATGGATTTGTTTCTAAATCAATTTTTGTAGGGGTTTTTGGAGCATGACAGTTGGGTTACGGTGGAGCTTCAACACTCGCTGGCTGCCAACTCGGATAGCTTTTCCTTCCGTGGAAACGTGACCATTCCAAGCTTAAACTCCGGACTAGCCAATGTGGACCAGTCAGCCTTAAGTAACTCTGAGCTGGACATGTTAAAGGTAATGTGGGTCGCTGCCACCCAGAAACAGCCGGCGCTATAAGCTACGCCTTTTGCCTCTTCCATACATAGTAAAGCTATTTAACCAAAAAGTTAATGCTGATCATAGAACATATGGTTTAACCTAAAGATGCTAGCTTTGCAGAAATGTTGAGTTCCGCATCAAAATCTTAACTTCCATAACTCATTACAACAAAAAAATTTGGAATTATTGATTTGAAGGCACTTCTAAATTCTCTTCCCTGACTTTATAAAGCTAGGAAACTAAAAATACATAAAAGCTGGTCTATTTTATGTAACATTTTCTTTTTCAGAAACTTGCCCTGCAAAATGAGTTCTACCGCTTGAAGGCCACTGTTGTATACTCTAATGGTGCCAAGGCACAGTTCATTACTTCCAACAAGGCCTGCCGTCTGCTGCAAGCGCAGTTAAACGACGTTCTCTGGGTGTCGCTGGATCCCTCCGGATATGTTACCGGCATTACTGTCTCCCAGGACACGGCACCCGCCACCTCTGAGTGCAACCAGGACGACGTCAACAAGCTAGTTGAGTCGCAGTTCAGCACCGATGTCTTGATCCGCCACGCTGAACTGGCGCCTGTGCCAGATACGGCCGGATTTATTCAAAAAGTTGAGCGCGAGCGCGAGGCCAGGGAGCGCGGAGAGGTTCGCGATAACCGGGGTTTTTTCGCTAAATATGTAAGTATAAATAGTCCTCATAGCTTTTAAACACTTAATTTAATGTCATTAATTTCAGTGGATGTACATCGTTCCAGTTGTTTTGTTGGTTTTCATTTCGAGCGCCACCAATCAGGAGGGTGCCAAATAGGTTTGCCTAAGTTAGTTTGGTGCCCACTTGTGTTTGTTAGCATTTTCTAATTAAATTTCTAGGCAATTCTGGATTTATCAAGTCATAGCATTTTAACAAATGTAAATTAAATAATTATATATTGATACAACAAACAAGTTTTAATATACATATATGCAGAAACGTTTATTTGCTGTTTTTGGAATCTTGTAATGCTACTTTTTTCTTCATTAATGAATTATTAATGAAAAATCTTTTATTTTTTTATTAATGCAGTGTTTTATAAAATCCCCAACAAATATATCAAACAGCGCTGTAATAGCTGAAAAACTACAAGGTACATATGTGCGCAGGCGAGTGCATTCTCGGTTCCGCTTCGATTCATTTCTCAGATGAGTCCTGGGCTGGCCAAGATGGGCTCGTCCGAAAAAAACACGGCCAATAAGAAGGCTGCAAGGTGTGACATCCCATTATACTGAAAGCTTTTAATATTTTCAGAACTGCACTATTTTTAGTCTGTCTAATAAAACAGCTTTATGTACAGGTATTTTATACCTTTGCGGAGGGTGTTGTAATTTCAGCCAGAAGTTTGCAGCTCAGACGCCAAATCAGACATACATATTTTTTAATTTTTGTATGAAAATTGATTTATTTTTAAAAGTAGGAGAAAATTTTGTTGATATTTAAATAATAAAAGAGTTTCCTGAACTTTCTGGGTTAAAATTTTTTTGATATCTTTGCTAGTTAAGAAGCGGTATAGATTTAAAACTTTGTTTTATTCTTGCACGAAATAAGCTTGAAGCCACTGTATATCTTTTGATCTGCACTAAACCATCGAAATTATTATGATTCAGTATTAACTGATCCCTCCAAACTATATTTAGAAACTACATACTATCAAGGGCGTCGCCAGGGGGATCGAGAGGGGCAGCTGCCCCCCCCTAGAGATTTCAAACTCCTTTTTATTTTATTTTTCTAATAAATGTTATAACCCATTTACAAGTTTTTTAGGCTACATTTCATTTTGAAAAAATTAGGGATCCTTGGTAATATTTAAACAATATAACCCTACTTTTCTATCGAACGAGAAATGTATGAATTGTAGTAGGTAAAGTCAACTTTCCCCCCCTACGCCATGGGCTGGCGACGCCCTTGCATACTATCTTTAAGCAGAAAACCACTTAAGTCGTGGGATGTATCGATGGTTACCTTTAAAATGATATTATTGACTATGGCTCTAAAATTAAACCAGTGAACAGGTAAAGCATTTATTAAGTAAGCAGTATGTTTGGAGTACCGTTTCACGTTTTGCTAAAACTCGGCAATCTAATTTTTTTAATTTTTTTTAAATTTTGTAAATTTCAGTATAATCGAATTATATAATAATATAATTCTTGGTCACACTTAGAAAAGGCTCTATCTTATCTGATATTATTATTTACTCTAAAACCCCTTGAGTTATAAGTTAGTAAATTTTTATAAAATTTATGTTTATAACCATTGATTGAAAAATGGAAAAAGTTTTCGTTAAATCCGAATTAATAAGACAATTAAGCGAAGCTGTGAAGGGTTTAATTAACAATGAAGACCTGACTTTTAAAGAGAATGACTCGTACAATGTCAACATTGTATTCAATAAAAATGAAATAAGGATAGAAACATCAAAACATAGATCTGTTAACAGTGGCGTAACTACCGGTGTTCCATGTGTTCCAGGAACACAGGCCCCCGAGCTTTGGGGGCCCCAAAAGGGCCCCGAAAGGTCCCCCAAAGCTCGGGGACCTGCAAGGTCAATTTTTTTTGACGTAGTTACGCCACTGCGTGTTAACCGCCTGGACTCGATACGTGCCGTGTTTATTGAAAAAGCTAAGCGGAAGGCTGCTTCTTCTGAAAATGATGACTGAATTACCAACCGATAACTGAAATTCCCGAAATGTCCGGTTGGACCGTCATTCAGTGTCGTAACAGCGGACGACTTGATTTTATTACGGAGAGCTACTTGTACAATGTCGGATTTGGTGACCCAAATGACGAGTATTGGATCGGTTGCGAAAAATTGCATAATACATACTTGATTTTTTATTTCCAGAAATTGATTCTAACCTTAGTCAAAACATTGTTTATTTTAAAAATAGGATCGAGATGTAATAAATACCACTTTAAAATTAAAAATAAGTTATATTTATTTGGTAATATTTACATGACTTACATACATTTTCTTTAAGCCAATCAAATCCAATCTGTTAAAACTTAGTACTTATTTATGTTAAACAATAGCACGCCATGAAATTGGGGCAACTTGGGAAGCGTGACAACCACAAGGGATATGAAGTTCGCTATAAACAAAGATAGGATGCAAATGCACATAAAATAAAATGTTATATAAAGATCGGTAAAAATAAATATTTTTTTAATAACTTTTCAAAGGCCTAGTGAGTTTTAGCGAAAAGCTATTGGATTTAAACAAAATAATTATATAACTTCCAAACTGCGCAGTGAATTTAAAAAAAAAAACAAGAAAGGAAGCTAGCTTCGGCAAGCCGAAACTTATATACCCTTGCAGTCATCAAATATGTCTAACAAAATGCATAAAGCCTAACAACATCGAAGCTATGACGATTTTTTTATTCATTTTCCATATTTTCGACTATAGATCATATGGGAGCTATATGATATAGTTGTCCGATTTCGATCAAATTTAATTCGTAATTCAAGAATCGTAAGAAAACTCTATATTCCAAAAACCATACTTGTCTGATGAAAAACAACGATGTTATAATTTTATTTCCGTTATTTCAATATAGATTTTTCGATCTTTGCTATGGCAGCTATAAGATATAGTTGTCCGTTTTTTATGAAATTTTTTTCTCAATATAAGAGTTATAAAAAAACTTGATATTCAAAATATCATGCAAGTAAGATAAAAAACAACGATTTTATCAATTTATTTCAATTAGTTCTATATATATTTTTCGACCTCTCCTGTGGCAGCTATATGATAGAGTTATCCGATTTTGATCAAATTTAATCCGAAATTCATTAACAGTTAGAAAACGCCATCTTGAAGAATTCAAGTCGATCTGATTAAAAACAACGGCGTGAGAATTTTTTATTTTATTCTCTCGTATTGGAGCTATCCGATGAAGTCAGCCGACCCGGCTCGTTCCGACTTATATACTGCGTGCAATTACTACACACCTTTTGGTGAAGTTTCAGCAAGATAGCTTTAAAACTGAGAGACTAGTTTGCGTAGAAACGGACAGGCGGACAGACGTGTTTCAATTCAGATGGTGATGCTGATCAAGAATATATATGCTTTATGGGGTCTGAGGTGTCTCCTTCAATGCGTTGCAAACTTCTGACTGAAATTATAATACCCTTTGCTCTGCAAGGGTATAAATATCTGCTGCCGACGAGTTGATTACTTTTTAAATAGTGGCGCGCCCACAAACCGCAAACTTACTCCCACTGGAAAGTAACCAAATTCAAGGAAACCAGATAGTTTAGGCACTATTATGTAGAGATAATTTTTTATTTTTTTTTTTATTTAGTTTATAAATTAAATATTTTATTTTATAAAATGACAATGTAATGTTTTTGGTAAAATTAAAAGGAAAAACATTTAATGCCCCTTGGACTGTTTAATCATGTGTTCAAAAAATGCAAGTAACAAATTCAACATTGGACCTACTTAGACGTATTTATCCAACAGAAAGTGTAAACCGTAATTAAATGCTTTTTATTCCGCAAGTGACGGGGTATCCGTTGAGAACCGTGAATTACACGGTCGCTTAACCACGGACCACCCCGAAATTGACTTGAGAGCGATGCGTGCCGAGTGGTTGCAATACAAATTTGTAATTACAATTCCTGGCGCCTTCCCAGGGAAGGTCTGCTAGTGGAACCCCCCAACACTTGCTAAAAAACAATTTTCCCGATGTTGGCCATCCAGTGCGGTGAGGGATACGTGACAATTTGCCGATACCCAAATTTCTCCATCGGACAGGAACGCCTCCGTTGGCGTTAAAAAACGAATCGCCCGCGGGGCCTGTTTTTTTCTACCCACAAGGCCAGCCAACATGTGGTAACCCATAATTTACGCCTAGGGATGTTATGATTTTGATTATATCAAAGACTTTCCGAATAGTTTCTTTAGAAGCAATAATGAGACACGAGTTTACTCCTTTTGATACTTTAATAATACTGTACTGTCCAGTTCTAAAAAGTATATTTATATTATTCTAAGTGGAATTTTTTAAATGTATAACAACAATGGTTCAACCTCGTCTCTTTAAATCCTCTTTTAGAGTATAAGAACTACAATAAATCCACGTACGTACTTTTTATCCATATATAAAAATATAAATTTGGATCAATTTAAATTCATTTAAATTTACGCAAAAAACATTCTAAAGAAATAACACTCTTTGAAAATAAGCTTCAATTTATTATTGAGACGTAATATTTTTTTATGTGTGTTTGATTCCCATTATCTTACAACGTTGTTCCATGTTATTAATTATTCTTAAATGTATAAAACATATGTTGGACTAAATCATCTTAACCTTTTTAGCTTTATAAGTAAATGTTTTAAATACAACAACTTGTAAAACAAAAAGAACCGCCGTTTAAGATCCTGGGATCTAAACAGACAGAAAGATTCAATCTGATAGCAAAAAGTTAAAAAGGTTGTTTTCCTACACTTCTCGCACTTTAAAGGTTGTCATCTAGATAATCCCAATATTGTGACAGTAATATTGACATCAACTGTATTGTAAATTGTATTCTCTTTTTATGCATCTTAATCCGTCACCCCTTTTCGTTTAAATTTAAATTACCTATTTGCCAAACAAGGCGCGCTGAAGGATAACAAAACACTTTTAAATGTGAGCCCACAAATTGTCAGATCAAAAAGCAGACTCGGGAACGAGCCATCTGTCAAAATTCTCGTCATGGCATGCAATCTGTCACTCTTCACATTTTTCTGGCTCCGGCAACATTAACAATGTTGGAATAAAAAACCATCCACATGCCCGATACTCATAATTATATATGTCCTAATAAGTGCTATGTGCATATCCCGGTGCACTTGTCAAGTGTTGGCATACCAACTCGACCAAGCCGTTCATTAAAGCCTACATTTTTCGATGTTTAAATTAGCCACCCCCACGGCGCAGAGAGGGTTGCGG